ATTTCCAATCCATTTCAAGTTCCTTATATTTTCCAGTATTACTTAAATCTGGATCCAAGATCATGTTATAAGGACGTTTCCTCATTTTCAACAAGTTGTATTGTTCCAAAACAATCTTAATCATTTCACATTCAAAAGAATTCGTTTGTTGCCATTGTGTCATGATTTGAGACAAATTCTTCAATTGCATCTTTCCTTTCATTTCCAACCATTCTGGCTTTTTCAATTTCAATTTTTCAATTTCTTGATACAATTTTCTGTAATCCGATGGAGGAGCATCACTTTTCGTGGCATCAATGGATTCCGCATGTGCCACACAAACTCTTCTTCTCAATTCCAAATTCGATGGATGAGAATTCGAACGTAACACGGTTGCGTGATAATACAAGAGACCAGTATGAGAATTCTTATTGGAGAAGGCCTTAATATTGGCTTGAATGCAATCGTGAATGGTTGGAGTGGAATGAGCAACAGCAGTTTTCTTTCCTTCGTCGTAATCAATTTTGGAAATGGGAATGTCATGGAAGAGATTGACAATGTTTGGGATTGTATATGACTTTTTCTGTGGATACTTGATGAGTTTGAATTTTGTAAAATCACCTTCATAGGTCAATGGCTGTCTGTAAACAATGACATGTTCTAATTTTTGATACTCACCAAACCTAAATCTTGAATCAACTTTTCACACGGAACATAAATTTCATCCTCTTTCAATGTTTCACTCTCATCAATTTCACCTATTAAATCGACACATTGGAAGGGAATTCTCAAATTCAAAGTATCTTCCAGCATGGACTGAAATTTGTTTTTGATTTTTTTGTGAATTCTTTTTTGTAAAAACGGATTGTCCAATCGCTGTCCTGCCAAAACCATGGAATGAATCACGGTGTCCATCGAATCTATTGGAGAATCTACTTGGATTGGAAATAACTGATTGCAAATGAACGCACGATCATCTTTTTTCACAACAAATTCACTTAAATATTCTCTTAATGATTGCATGAAAACTTGTTGCATTTCCTGAGGACGATCTGTTCTTTTCAGTAAACAACTCATGTCATTTCTATTCATATTACCTCCCTGTATGCATGAATAATTCAAAATATCCATATATGGATAAATACAAGTGTTTCCTTTGAACTTGACCATGGAATCTCGAAACACGACTCGAATCGAATCTTTCAATTTGTACTTTTTCTGAAGAATGGCCAATACGAAGCAGGAATGAGTTGCAACACTCCCTTACATCCAGAATATCGAACTTGAATGGCACCAACACCTCTCAATTCTTTTTGATTGTTAAATAACAATTTTTCTCTGGTGACAAAGTCATTGATATTCAATAACAATTCATGAGCGAGATGTTCATGAATGAAACCAATGCCATCCGTTCCAGGAAATTCCATTTCATATTCTGGAGGTAGATATGCAACTTGTTCTTCTTCACATAAAGGTCTGTCACTTTTCACACATTTTCCAAAATTTAAGGCCACTCGAGAAAAGGTTTTACAAGGACCACTTTTTTCAGCTTTTGAAAAATCTCCTAATAAATTTCGTAATTGTTGCAAATTGAAACTGTCATGAACAAAGCAACAGGTTTCTCCTTTCGTTCCAGAATTACTAGTGGCAAAGAATTTGTAATTTCCTTTCATGGTTGGAATTTGAATGAGAGATTGACATGCGAATTCAATGTGTGAAGAATTGAATTTCTGAGCTTCGTCAAAAGTTAAGGATTTTTGAGGAGAGGAATTGCTGCCATTGGATGATTGTTGTTGTCCATTGGGTTTCTTGGTATTGATCATTCTGACGAATAAGAGAGCTTTTCCTAAATTGAGAGAAATGAGAATTTGGGAAAATCTGCAGCAGGAATGCCATGCAGAATCTCTACCACGTCCATCGTCGGTGAGTGTGAAGGTGTGCTTTTGAATGTCATAATTGCCAAAATAGGGAAAAGTGGACATGTTGAATAATTCCAAAGTGGATGAACTAATGTTTTCAAATAAATTGGATAAGAATTGATTGAAATGAATATCAGAAAGAGAAGATCCCAATGGTGATTCCTTCAACTTTTTCAACACTAGTCTTCTTTCTATTGGGACTGAGCTGTCTATGGTGTTGTTGACATTTGACACTTGGCTGTCAATCATTCCAGAACATGGAATAGACTGTTCTCCTGGGACCATAAAATCATACTTCTTACTCTTATATTCATTTCCATGACTGTCTTTCAAATAAAAATACATTTTCATCACACCATGTCGAATCATATCTTCCACATTCAACACAGGTTTCTGAAACACGATCATGTATTTACTTTTATCCATAAAGGACCAATGAGTTGAATATTCAAATCGATCGAAGAAGTTTTTGGTTGACCTTGATCATGTTGGCAAGTGACAAGTATCAATTGTAATTGAAATTTCTTGACATCAACCATCTTGGATAGATTGTCATTGGAATGATTGGCAGGTACAAAGTAAGATTGATACTTCCTCTTTGAAGAATATCGATGAGAGGAGTATTCTCATCGTCCAAAGTGAGTTCATGATGAGAATAATGATTGGATGGATTGATCATTGGAAAATTGTGAATTCAATCGGATTGAGGATAATGTTCAGACAATGGTAATAAATAATTACAGTGTGTTGATGATTTTAAAGTTTTAGAGCACAATCACGACACGTGTGATAGGAAACCCAAAAGGATTAAAACGTGATGTGCGTTGTTTTTTTGGAGTGATGACTTGGGAATTCAAATTTGGGAATACCATTTTCAATGTTCCCATCACGTGGTCAAAATATTTTGCAAAATGAAAAAACACGTGTGCACGCCAGAGTGGTAGCAGCATTACTTTTTTGCAAATCATTTTCACAAAGGACCGGAACGCTACAGAATGATTCGTAATTGTTGAATGCAAAGAAAAAAAAAATGAGTAAATCCTATCCTCCACAGACTTCACACATTGCACCAAATCCCGGTCTTGAACGGCCCTTGTTCAATTGGAGAGGTATCTTTGATCGTACGAAAAGAAATTCGAGAACCACCGTAACGGATAAGATCTTGGCAGAAAATCCGGAAGGAGAAGCCTCCATACCGTTACGGCCCAACGAATACAAATTGATGAAACAGAAATATTTTAATGAGTTATTGACGATGATTAAAATTAAAAATTGTTGGGAATATAAGGAACAATTGTTGGACATGATTGAAAAGGAGAAGGATAAATATCCAAATGATGATTTGGTGAATATTAATTTATTGAAATCGCATTTGCAGGAATCGGAGTGGATTCTAATTTTTTGGATTATTTCGGAAAGCATGTCTTGTTGAAACAACCAGAACAACAAGTGTTGAATGAGACCATGCTGTTTGATGATCCGGATAAACCTCATCAACCATTGAGTATTGGAGAAGATTTTTCACAATTCGAAAAACACAAAATTTATTCTCTTTATGGCCTTTATCACAATTGTATGCAGCTTAGCTTTATGAAAATTGTGACGGTAGAATCAGTATTGAATTGCAAAAGACCACTCGCAGAGTACAGAACTCTTCCTCTTCATTTCATACAGTTCGAGAAAAAAACAGAGCGATATTGGAAAAAGTATGAGCAGTGTGTTTTGAAAAGTGCCAAACAAAATGCGTATCATACTGAGAAATACCGCCAAACTCACAAGGATCAAACCAATGAAATGTAACTCTAACTTCAACACGAGGTGGGCCTATGGAACCATTCACTCACTCTGTGATCCTATGCTGGTGGTTAGTGAAATATGAATCTATTTTGTGAGAGTTGTTGTTTGGGGACTTTGAGTTTCCATAAACTCTTTGTCCACTGATTGGAGAACATCTCCATTTTCACTATCATCTTCATCAATGGTCATGTTCATCATTTCCAAATCATTCTCATTGAGCTTGGAATATTTGGGCCCTTTTTTGCTCTTTTTACTGCCACCACTGCCACGACTGGTGCTGCTACCACTCGTGCCACCACAGCAACACAAGGAACATGTAAAAACAATCAACAGGATAATGACAGAGAAACCAATGATCAATACGACAGCAATCAAGACTTGCATGAGGAATATAAATTGGTTGATTCTTGAGGAAAATTGCTCTTGGTCTTGTCCAATAAGCGCTTTTTGGATGGCTCTCTCAGTCTCGCTCAAATAATCATGAAAACATGTGGTAGTCATGACCTTTCTGGGACATCTGAAATATGAGTTTCTTCTGCCAAAATCGGCATCATAGTCGTTGTCAGATGCATGACATCCATCACTGACGCTGTTAATAATGATATTATTGTCACGAACGACTGTCACAGAGCCTCCACCGTCAAGATTAATGGCATTCTCAACGCCTAGCTCAATAAGCAACAAGGCTAATTCATGAAGTGTTGGACCTTTGTTATGATTTCCATCACCATCAATAGACACGAGAACAAGATGACCCTCCTTGTTGTGACCGAGAGCAGATCGAGAAGCACGTACGGTAACAAATGAAGGACCAGTCTCTTGTGTGGACATTTCCTCAATAATTTCACTTTCAGTCACAAATGATTTACCCTTCCTTACAAGCCAAATAACTCCTGCCATCAATTGGTCAAAATTGTTTAAATTTGTGTTCTCATTCAAATATCCAACGAAATATTGGCCTTCCTTCATGATTCCAAAATTCACATTATGCCTCTTACTTGAATGAATGACTCTACCATCAGAAATAACATTTCCCAAACATGAATGAACATGAGTATTAAAAAATCCAGCGTTTGTGGAATACAGACAGAAATGATTGTTCAAGTTATGTTTTGCTGTTTCCACAACAGTCGCTGTCACATTATAGTAACAACCACCTCTCATATCCCTGTTTGATTGTTGGTATGCATTGACAATTTTGGATATGGGTGACGTGCTTTCTGATTTTTTGCTTGGTTCTGCTTGTGGTGGAGGGCCAGGTTCCAAAAACGAAAAATGTTGAATAGGATTTTTCAAAACGATCAAATGTCCATTCACATATTGACCACCAAAATCCATTCCCAAAAATTTGTATTCAATATCAGCTTTAACAGCTATTGGTTGACCACGTCCAGCCATTGGAAACAACTCGAAAGGTTGCTCTCCTCCGTTCGCCATACTCGTGACAACATTTCGTTTTCCAGAAAGATGAAATTCTGTGTTCTTTGAAATAGCTCTCATGAATTTTGTAGATACGTCGCCCACAGATGATTCTTGATCATTCCATAACTGCGATTTTGAATAAGGATTAGAGGCTAAATCTTGAGTGATGACTGAGGGCTTTGAAGCATGTACTACCAACGTCGGAAGAACTCCAATGCACCACTGACTTGACATCTTGATGATAGTCAAGATGAAAATAAATAATAATAAATAATATTTACAGGAGGAAGAGAAGTGAGAAAATAGTTTCGGAAGGTGTTTATGAATAGGGAGGTGATGATGTGGGTTTGGATGTTGATGCAGCGAGGAGAAAAATCTTTTCAGTCGTGTCATTTTTTTGTAATCCGTTTGTGGACAAAAAACTAATAATTTTTCAAAATTCATCACATTGGTTCTCCAAAATTTGCAAGCAGGAATCTTAATTTTGAATATTACTTTTTCATTTCCGAACTTTTAAAATGGTGTGAATAGCGTCCACAAATTCAAATAATAAAAACACAAAAGCCTTCTTTTCATCCGTTTGATTGCTCGTTGATGTCGTAGATGGTCGTACATAATTATTGATATATTCTTCTTCAATTCTGGAAAGAGAACCAAATCAAAATACCTTTCCAGGGCCTTGTACCAATACAGAGCTTGTTGTTGATAGTGCTGTTGTTCTTGTTCCGAATGATTTTCCAATCCCAACATGTTCATCATGGATTGTTGAATTCCTTTCAACCATTGATACATTTCCATATTATTACGACATCCACTCGATATAAAGTATTGCAACAAGGCTTGTTCCTGATTGAGTAATTGTTGTTCTTCCGATGGTGCTGATGAGACTTGCTGTATAAGAATATGAACCGTCGTGAGTATAACAATGAGTGTTTTTAAACACTTTATACTTGGTGCTATCATGAGAGAAGATTGATGGACTGGGTTGAGAAATGCTTGAACCATTTCGGAATGAATCAATTCTGAAACAAGATGAGGTTGATGTTGGAAAAGTTGTTCAACTTGAGAAAGTGCTTGATTTTGTCTTTCAATGGCCATGGCCTGTAGTTTTTGTGTGTAGTATTGAATGTAATAATCTCGATTCATCGGAGTGGTGGTTTCCGAAGAGGATGACCTGTGTTGTTGCTCATGATCGTCTTGCATCATTTTTATTGAAGTTGTTTCTCTTAACAAATTTGGTCCACCTGTCATTATGAAAAAAGGTTATTGAGGGTTCTACCTTTCTTTATTTTACAATTTTATTGGGTACGTACAACCACCATGATTTTCACACTAACAAATTTCTCTATTCATCTCCATTGTCAAATTCTGATTTGAAAACAAACGAGTTCAATACATGAAGACATTGTTGTAGCTTTTCGTCAAGTGCTGTCATTTCGAAAATACCGTCTTTCTCGTCCTCTTTGGACGCTTTTTGAGTTGTGTAAAGTTGTTTGAATTTTCCAATCGAGAACTGTTGCTACGTGGAGAGGAATAATCGGTGACTGCTGTTGCTGATGATTCAGTAAAATTGCCATAATGATAATTGAAATTAGAAGACTCTAGGATGGATTGATATTGATATTGTTGTTTTTCTAAATGGTCCTGCGTTGTAGTCCCCATCGATGGAGGGAGACATCTCTTTCGAAGTGAAGGAAGCATTTCAAGCCGATCCTTAATTCTCTTTTTGAAAAACAGTGACGAATTTCTTTCATAGAGAGGATTCTTAAAGAATTGCTCAGTGTCCTCTTGGTCATTCTCATTTTCATCTTCTTCCTCAATAATGTAGGCAGTTAATGGATGCTGTCCTTCTTTCGAATAGTGTTTAAAGTAAAATACACACAATTCTTGAAACACGTCAATGACTGCAAACGTCAGATTGGACAAGAGAGGATTGTGATAATGTGTAATAATGAATTGTCCCAGAATTTGTAGTGCGTTCGATTCAATGAGTCGATATGCGGCCTTTCTGTACTTGCATAATCGTTTCACAAACATGATAAAAGTATAACATTTGAAAAGTCGAAAATTGAGATTGCTATCGCTGACATCCGTCTCGCCATCTCTCACGTTGACCACGCTGAAATATTTGATAAACGTCAGACAATATTCAATATAGTTGGAAATGAGTAAATAATACATGCCAATGTTTGTATCAATGACATAATACAGTAATTGCATGACCATATAGAGCAGTTTGTAGTTCTTATAAACTCGAATATGATTAACGTTCAAAATAAACTCATTGAAAATGATGTTCACTAAATTTGTGCTTTGAAGGAGAGCCAACAGGAAGACGCTGATGTGATGATGGTGAAATTCATTAATTTGAGATTGAGTGCTGCCGTTAATTTCATCTTCTGTTGCTTGTTGATGAGTTAACGAGCTACTCTTCTTCAAGTCATGCTTGATATTGAGAACCAAACTTGAGATATGGTGATACATTTCTGTGAAAGATGGGACTGATTGAGTTTGGCCAACGTCACCTTTTCTTAAATAATAAAATACACTCATGTTGTACTTGAGAGCACTCTCCGTTAAAATGCGATAATTGTTATAGACCTCGTAGAAATCGTACAAAATCAGAAGCTTGTCAATGAATTTGTAATCTTTCAAACTTCTCTTAGTCGTGCTATTATTCGAAATATTGTCATAGGAAAAAGCGTCAATGATTTTTCGTTTAAACACATCCAATTTTTCCATTATAGTATTCACCATGGAGACATCCACAGAGACTCCCAAAATTTTAGCATATTCTTCTTCATCTTCTACCAGACTTGAATATTCGCTAGAAGTGGTATCCACCTTATCAGCCATGACCACAGAAATACTCTGCTTGAAATAATCAAAATAGTAGCAAATTTGAAGTAAAGTCTGTATACTGTACATTCTAATCTCATAAAAGTTGGCATCTGTCAAACTTTCATTGAGAATATTGTCCAAAATTTTGTCAATGATATCATGGTGAATTCTGAGAATGGCATAGGTACCAATGTACAAGTTGCTCACTTTCATAATACAATAGTATCCAATTCTTTTTACGTTTGGCATGGCATCTTCCGTCAATAATTTAATATATGGCAAGAGAGAAAGAAGCTGAATTTGGCCTTTCACACTCACAGCCAATTGTGACAAGATACTAGCACTGTATTTTCTCCACTGATTGTTGTCATCGACAAGCCATTTGTTATTTCGTATGGTTGTGAATATACTGGAGCTATCATTCACAGAGAGTAATAAATCGATTTGATTTGCGTCACTCGATAACAGCTTGTCCAAGTCATAAAGATATTTCAGTTTTTGCTTTTTGATGATTTTTTCGTCTTGCAAATATTGTAGCAGCTGTAGAGCATCAAAATATTCGAGAGAGAGATTATTCTTTCCAGGAGTATTGTCGGAAGGAGAATCTGTCATACCTGTGAAATGTAAATGCCTAAAGTGAGGATATTGTTTGAATGCATAATTTCTGAACTTGGATGATTCTGTAATGAATTGTCGTTGAATCTTTTTCAACTGGCCAGAGCTTGTCTTTAACAAGGATGCCTGTTTTTGTGGATCTGAGAGAACATCCGAAGTAGCATTATTAATAATCTGTAATAATTTTCCTTTTGAGAGCAATTCTGTAATGAATTTGATGTTATGAGTTTTGAATTGTTCACGAACCCATTGTTCTGTCTTTCCTTCTCGAATTTCATTCATGACGTTGAGAATGAAAACCTTTTGATAAGCATTGAGCTTTTCGATTTGTGTGGGTGAGTCTGATTCATTACCTGCATTTGGTGACGCTCCTCCCATTAGGTCAGAACCAGAAAAATGTGGTGGCATCTTTTCTGCAATTTGCACCTTACGAGAGTTGACACTAAGACACACATCCCACCATTGCGTGCGTTGGTTCTTTCCTTGTGTTTCAAATAGCGCATTTGTGGTTCCAATAATATATTCTGGAATTTTTGAAGTTGCTGCCATAACATCATCCATATCAGAAAGTGGAACATAGGGATGAATTCGATTCACATTGATTTGAAACGGATACACAAGAAGTGGCAATGTGAAACATATTTGTGAAACCAATTTTGCAGGTGACCCAATGACCATAATTCTCTTGTCAAGTAGAAGAGCATTCCAGCACGTAAGCATCACCTCAACGCCAAATAACTGAATCAATTGAATGAGTGAAGTACCGTGAGTATACGCCACAGGTGTGAAAGGATCAATTTGTCGAGGAATATTCAATGTGAAAGTCGTATCATTGGTCATGGTTGGAAATAATTTCAACTGTAACATGTTACAGGTTGTGCATTGCTCATAGAATTCTTTCAAAATGTCATTAATTTGTTCATGTACTTGATTCAACTGTTGCAATAATTCTTCCGATAATTCCTCTCCGGGTTGTTTTTTCGAAGCTGTTGCATTCACTTGCAAATAAATATTTTCCAAATCGAGAATTCGATTAATGGCCACTCTCAGTAAATTTTCATAGACAGTAAAGTGAGGCTGTGTGGAGAAGAGAATGAGAGATTTTTGAATGGCTCCACGTTTCACTCGTGAATCCTTTTTGTTTCGGAATAAACAGTGAGCATACATGGGTTTATCAACATAGGGTTCAATAAAGGATAACATATTTTGCTGTTGCGAAGAGGATGATGATGAACCAGTTGCTGTGCTCGTGCTTTGATTGTTATTTCCCATATCACCCTCTGTTGCTCCGATCATGCCATTTCCAAGACTTGTTTCTTCATTCTCATCTAAATTGAAACTTTTAAGGCTACCCGTCTTGTTGATTGTTGTACTCGATAAGCCTCCTCCTGGCGTGATGGTTGTTGTTGTTGTCGATGAAATTTTTCCATTGGATGTGATGATGAGATAGTTCCTTTCCGTAAAAACGAGTACAAGGCTGTACTCACCACATTGGAAGGAATCACGACGAGAGTGGTATCCTCTTCAAAGTAGTGAGCACCATCGGGAAGACAATAATCTCCCATATGTTGAGAGAAATGAGAGAGAATGGCTCTCCGTTCGGGTGGATAGACGTACGAGAGTGTGTTGCCTTTGAGGAGATCAAATTCGGCAAGACATAGGCAAAAGATGTCCATTGTTGTTGTTGTTGTGGTGTTGCTGTTGGAGAGTAATGATAGAAAAGAGAGGAAGTATGTTTGTGCCACAAATGTACTTGCTGGTTGGTAATTATCGCAAGTTTTTAAAAAACGGGATGATGATGAGATAATTCTCTGAATATTGTTGAAAAAGTAGAAGAAAATTTCGTTCACTCTCTCTCCTTGTTGTTGTGTGATGATGAGAATTGACACGTCCGTGCGAATGGATGTGTGTACGTGTGGACGACTCAATGTTGCTGAACGAATCTTTTCCTCTCTCTTTGCTGCAGTTTTTTTAAATCCTGGGTGAGTGTGTGACAATGTGAAAAGTGACAGAGGTTAATGGGTCAGTCATGTTCTTCAAAGTTAAAGCCATCCTTTTCCAAACTTAAAACCATTCCCTTTCACTTCAAAACAACAATCGTTAGTAGAAAGCCTCCTTTGGAATGGCTCTTTATTCTTCAGAGAAGAATAAGAGAACAAGAAAGAACGAAAAAAATGTTCGAGCCTCAGCGATCATTCGGGGTGGTGTCTACTCCCGGTGCTACGATGAATCTTCGGAGGAGAACAGGTATTTCCGATGACCAATTCTCGTCGTATTCTCATGAGGATAAGTCTAAAACGGAGATGAAGACTAAAATCATCAAGAGCATAAGAAATTTTGATTTGTATCCTAAAACTGATTCGGTGGCAACTAAAAAGACATCGCTGGGAGGTTTTGGTAAGTGTGATGATATTGATGATCGCACATAACAAGACTAATATGATCATGTTTTATTATGTGATTATTATAATTCCTCAATCGGGCGATTTATCAAATTTTCAAATTGATTAATATTTAAATATTAATATTTACATTTTTATTATCATCCTTTCGGACCTATTGAAACATAATCTCTTTAAAACACAACACCAACCATCATGGCAAACACAATCACCAATTCCTTCAAATATTTTCACACCAGTCTCTTTATTTGCCATGATCATTATTACTTTTCTCGTTGGATCTGCTCTCATTCGATATTTGAGTGTGGACCGACGAGATACACTCTCAGTTGATATTCAAGTAGAGGACAGAGTTGTTATTTTCTTTAATATTACCTTTCCAGATTTGAAATGTTATGATCTTCATTTGGATTCTGTGGACGCTAGTGGTGATGCTGCCATTGATGTTGCACATCACATTCATAAAGTACCTGTTGATTCATCAGGTAGAATTACTCATTTGGAATCAAAACATAAAGCTAAGCTCGGAACTGAAATGCCCCAAGAGAAATATGATCCTACAAAGGATCCACATAGTGTCATGTTTTGTGGAAGCTGTTATATTGAAAAGAAAAGAGGGCAATGTTGTAACACATGTCAAGATGTGATGGAGGTCTACAAGAGACATGGTCTTTCTCCTCCAAGAGTTGAAGACATTGAACAATGTTTATTTGATGCTTCGAAAAATCATCCTGGATGCAATATTTATGGAACGTTGGATGTTCAAAAAGTGAATGGAAATTTCCACTTTTGCCAGGTAGAAGCTTTTCACAAGAATATGAGACACGTGTTCACCATATTCACGAATTTAATCCAATTCTTGTGGACAGATTCAACAGTACTCACATCATCCACTCACTTTCATTTGGTTTAAGAGTTCCTCATGTCACTTACCCTTTGGATGAAACGGTTGGAATTATTCCAAAAATTGATGAAACAGATGAAAGGCCACCAAAGACTGCACTTTTCAAGTACTTTGTAAAAGTGGTTCCAACCACCTACAAGAGTGCAACTCCAATTTTGGGAGCTGGTTTGTTCTCCAAAGTAATTAACACTTATCAATTCTCGTTCACCAAGCATGTGATGCCATTCGATAGTCAAAAAGTAATGATGTTGCCAGGAGTATTTATTGTTTACAATTTTGAACCCATTCGAATTACGTATGAAGAGTTTACGGTACCCTTTACTCACTTTTTGGTTGATTTGTTAGCTGTGTGTGCAGGTGTTTTTGTTGTACTGAATTATGTGGACAGACTTTTGGAATTTGTTGTGTTAAAATTGAATAAGAAGCAAGCATAGACATTTTATTGTCGTGAAATTTCTCACAGCACCAATTTTTCATCCACACAGAACTTTCTAAGATTAAATTGTTCTTTTATTTTCAATTTTCACACCAATCATCAAGGCTAAATTGAAAAGGCATTAGAAAATTGCCAAAATCAAAAAAATGACCCGAAAGCCAGCAGAATTAGCTTCACGAACCAATCTGTCCTATGATAATCCCAAAAGAAATTTCTGGAGGGATGCTAGGCATCACGTTCATAGAAATATGATTCCCTATCTCATTGCTTCCCCTTTTGTTGTATGGCTTTTCTCAAATTATTGGATCCGAGGCTCTGGAAAGAATGAGAAGGTCATTTCTGCTCCGAACATTCTTACGTGGAAGAGAGAATGTGAAAAAATCGGACAAAAGAAAATTGATGCTCTCGGAATTGATTTAAAATCCGAATTGGAGAAGAATACACCAGTGAGGGAAGAGGTAGTTTCATTATATCCAATTGTACATGAACAGAATTCAAATGTAGCTTCATATAGCATGAGCAAGGAAGAGCAATTGAAGTTTTTCGAAGAGCTGTTCCCAGATTTGGTTTCCAAATTTAAATCACAAAGAGGAATTTTAAATTAATTTAACCGTGAACATTCATGTTTTAATAATTTTTAATGTTTAATAATTATTGTGGCCAAAATTATGAGAAAGGAGATTTGGTAAATTGTTTGATTAGAACGGATTGGGTTCTCACCAATGATGAAAATTATTGAGAACAGCTGTGGAGAGCTCTAAAGATCATTAAGTAAACCTGCCATTATCAGAGTCGATCTCAATTGAGTCATCATTATTTGTTCAACTAAGGCTAACAGAAATATTTCAGAACGAATCATCGCTCGAGGCGATGAGATTATCATGGGCGAGGCAAATACCCGAATTGGTCATGGCCATCACTATCAAAAAAATTTAAATATTTATGGCCTGTGCATACGTACATACTCGTTATAGAACACTCAGATGTCAATGTTTGTAAGATTCAAATTACAGTCTGCTTGTTGACATGCATAATGAGCGTAGCATCATCAAAAAAATGAAACTATTTACCTTGATCTTGTTCTTCATCGGAATATTGTGCCTGATTCAGAGCTCGTACCAGCAAGATCGTGGAGAGGCTGCTGTGGATGCCGCATTGAAAGTATTGGATTCAATGGGATGGCTCAACTCGAACACTCATTTGTTCTTCAAGAGAGTGGCGTTATGTGAGAGTAATTATGGACAAGATCCAAACACCTACAGATCGGGATAGTAAGTAGTAGTATTGAGAGAGTTCGATTGCTCATCTTGTGAAACAGTTATGGAGGAATTTGGCAGGTCGATTCGATTACCTTCAAGAACACTCAAATGCCTCAATCACATCCAATTCTCACCCAAAAGTATGCTGATTTGAAAAGTTATCTTGGTCTTGATTGGACAAAGACCACTTGGAGTCAATGTGTGAAAGCTGTCTACTCATTGTTAGCAGCAAGATTGAACTTGTTTACCATTCCTGCAAGTATTCCATCATCCTTGTATGACCAAGCTGTTTACTGGAAGACTTATTACAACACCAATCAAGGTAAGTGTCAATATATATACTGAACTTGTTCATTACACCCAAAAACATTGACCAAAGGCAAGGGAACAGTTCAATATTTTATTGACTGTTGCAAGAAGGGTGGCTTGGGAGAAGATCAATAAATGCGTGATGACTAACCACCAGAAGTTCTTGTCATGATCAGATTACAGATCTTTCGAAAACGGCTTGAAATGGAACGCCGTCGTTTCACAAAAAAATGAACAAATTCACACTCGTTGTGGCCATCATCCTTGTTGTTGGTTTGATCCATTCTTCATCATTGGCAACTGTGGATGGAGCCGAGAATGCTCATTCGGGCTCACCCACTCCTCTCGATGCCTACATGTCTCTTCCAGATCCCTATTATTCCTATAAATTAGCCTCTCATATCGATAATGCTGCTGCCGACGTGTACGTGATTAATATGACTTCTCTCGGATACCTCACACCAGCTCAGTCCAATCGTCCTATTTGGACTCATACTCTCACACTAGTAGTTCCAAAGAATTTAAACACTCAAATCCGAAGAGCTTCTTTACTCATCAACGGTGGTGATAATCTTCAGCCTAATATTCCTTCTGCAGATTTAAATGATTTAATTTTAATATCAAGCGTCACTAGGAGCATCATGGCTGATTTGATGCAAGTACCTAATCAACCTATTGTGTTCGCTAATGATCCATTGCACATGAAGAGATCGGAAGATGACATTACTGCCTTCACTTGGAGATATTTCATGAATAACACAAAACAACAACCTGACGATGCCTACAAGTGGATTATTCAACTACCAATGGCCAAGAGTGCTAAATACGCTTTGGATACCATGCAGAGTTTCACCAATGATTTGTTAAAATGAAGCAAGGTGAAAATTATATTCAAGATTTTATTGTGATGGGAGGATCTAAGAGAGGATGGACTACTTGTAAGTTGTTGTTCGAATGTTTGTTGATATATTGTTGTTTGATGACTGGATTGGTGATTGTTAAATATGTGAAACTTGTGTAATCATCTTCTGAACATACGTTAATTATGAATATTTCACAACAAAAAAACATAGATTTGTAAGTAGTCATGAAGTGTTTATGAATGTATGACGAGATCATAATATTGTTATTATGAATAGATTGGCAAGTACTGACAAGAGAGTTAAAGTCATGATTCCAATCGTGATTCAAATTTTGAACATGAAAGTTGTATTGGAACATATTTATAACTCGCTTTGTTCATTCCCAATTGCTATGGGTAAGTTATGACAAATTAATGATATCTTTGATTTCCAACAATTTCAAACATGTCCAAATTTGGGAAATGATCATATGTGCCATATTCATTTCGAAATTCAGAGGCTTATCTTCAGCAAGGAGTAATGACTCGATTAGAGACCCCAGAATTCGCTCAATTAGCCAGTATTATTGATCCATTTGTTTATCGTGATCGTTGGGCTAATGTTGAAAAATTTATTGTGAATGGCTTGGGAGATATTTTCTTCTGGCCTGACATTGCTCTCTATTCTTATCCATATTTACCTGGTGGAGATGAAAATAAGAGAATTCGTTACGTTCCTAATGTTGGTCACAGTATGGCTGGAAGGTTTGTATTTTTATTCCACACCATTGAATAATTGATAATTTTTTACATGTAATTTACAAACCTGACAATTATCGAATTAACCTTAATTATTTTATACACATTCAACCAGTGACATTTGGGAAACCATTCTCACCTACCTCTATGCCACGTTATACAATTTGAAACTCCCAGTCTACACTTTCGATCACATTTACAATGACAATGGAGCCATTGTAACCATTCGCATTCTCAACCATGTCATGCCTGCTCGAGTCACTTTATGGCAATCAACCAATCCAAAAGCAAGAGATTTCAGAATCACTGAAACTGGAAAATCCTTTACTTCTTCACCTGTTCCATCGGTCACTTCAGATGATCCTTACACATTTATGGTATTCGTGCCAAACCCACCTCAAGGTTGGACTGCTTTTTCAGTGGAGATGGAATTTTTAATGATTGCAGGAAGCATTCCATTGCCACCTATCAAATTCACAAGTGCTGGATATATTACTCCTACAACATTGCCTTGCAAATATCCTGGATCTCAATAAAATGGAGTTGATGTTCCACAACAAGATCCATCATCATCTAACAAGAGAGCACACAGTGTTTAACTTCTGCCAACATTGGACAGGGAACACTGCATTAGATTTTGTAAACTCAAGATTTCAAATTAATTAGCAAACCAAAAAATCATCAAAAATTACTCAAATCGATTTTGAGAATTATTCACATTTGATGATATCATCAAAGCTCTAGTAATAATTTACAAACCAATTTTCGTGCAGTGTTGTTGCCATTGTTGTTAAAGAACTTGAGTGATCGCAAACTTTTGTAAAGAGAGTGCTCATCATTTCAACATGTTGCCGAGAAAGCCAGCATTGACTTCCGAAGAAGAGGAAGCAAGTACCTATCCTGCGAGTTTGACTGTTGCTGCTTCTTCCCTATCGGTCGTTGAAGAGAATGATACTTCTAGATCCAAGAAGAAAAAACCAAAAGCTAAACAATTGGCAACTTCGAAGAAGGATGAATCTACGGATGAGAAGGTGGATTCGGAGAGAAAAGAAAGAAGTCTTCCAAGAAGGAAAAGCCCTCTTCTTCGTCCAAAAAGAGAAAAAAGAAGGATGAAGAAGATGACTCGAATGCTCACTCTGATGAAGACTCTGAAAAGAAGACGAACAAGAAGAAAACTTCCAAACAGTCCACCAAAAAGATCAAGCCTGGCATGCATGAAATTCCCAATGTCCAAGAGGGAGATGAGGAGGGACGAGATGAATTATCTCAGCGATATAGGCCTATTCCATCCTCAATTGCTACATTTGTTAAGCCTTTAGAACCAAAAACCAGGATCATTGGACGGCAAGAAATGTAAGTTGTGCGTATGCATGCAGTATGTTACAATTTTCGTATTATATTGATGTTCGATAATAATAATAATAATTGTATGGCATACTAATCGTGTTAGGATCCATTTTCCTCAACTTGGAGTGATGAATTTATTGGGAAAGGTGGACTCTGGAGCCAAGACCAGTTGTTTAGATGTGGTCAATGTTCATCATGATACCGTGAAAAAAACCTTAAACTTTGATGTGGTTCTCGATCGTAACAATAGAAATATTGTTCGACAAGTTCAGGATTTCCCGTTTGCGAATACCACGAAAACGGTCATGTCTTCGAATGGACATGTCTCAACCAGATATGTGATTAAGACTTTGGTGTCCATTGGTCCAGAATTTCGAGAACAAGTTGCAGAGTTCACTTTAGTGGAACGTCACAAGCTTGCCTGTCCGGTATTGATTGGTAGAAATGTAATTCGAATGGGAGAGTATGTTTAGTAATGTATATTATTGAATACGTTGGTTCACAAAATTAATTCATATTATTAATAATGAATTGTGAAACAGATTCTTGGTTGATTGCAACAAAAAGTTTGTCACTGGAAAGAAGGCAAAACAAAAATTAAGGAGCTTATTTACATACCAAACGTACACGAAAATCCAGTCATAGAACTAGTAGACCCTCCTGAAGACGACCAACCTCAGACTCCACCAAAGAAAAAAGGCAAGAAAACCAACAAAAAGAAAGCCGATAATTGAGACATGAAACCAAGTTGTGTGAAGAGAGTTTTCACGCTCTCATACAGAAACGAAATGTTGTTCTGTTTGCGATAGATTCTGAACATTATAATTTCTCCAGATGGGGTTATGGATTTTCTGAAGCATTGGTCTAATCTCACTATGGCGGATAGTATTGATCATTTCATGGTAATTTGATCATGTAGCCAAAGAGTTACAAGCACAAGATTGTTCTTAAATTCTTAAATCTTTCTTTAATTTTGTCCAATCAATTTATTACTTGTTTAATCTCTTCAAGAAGGCAGCTTTCAACTTTTTAAGTTTGGATGATGTTGTTGTGGCACTTTTGTCTCCACCATGACTATCCACAGAGAGAGGAGACAGCATGGAATGTCTATTATGATCCACATCCAAATCATCGGCAGCTGCAGCACTCTTATTCATTTGAATATTCTTCTTCTTATGATGAGGAGAAGTATCTATCACTGAATGTCTCACGGCTGGCACTCCCTCTGGGGATTGTTCGAAAATATTATTCGTCGATCGTTGACTCTTTCGCCATGAGAAGGATCCTGTTTTAGCTTTGGGTTTCAATTTACGTCGTTCCACACTCTTAATTTGTTTCACAGCATTTTGAATGGTGTTTGAAATATTTTGTTGAACTTGTTGAGCGTTGCCAGATCCCACTTGAAATTCTTTGAGTGTTTCTTTGGATTTTTCCTCAGGAATGCAATCCATTCGATCTTTCACATAGAATAATCCACTGAGTGACGATGTTGTATAATTGGAGCAATATTCAAGGAAATCTAAAACAGTTTCAAGACATGAAATCCATCGTTGATGGGTAATAAATGTTTCAATTTCCACATTAGAAACTGCTGACCTAGAACTAAAGAGTGAGGACATGGAACTTCGATCTACAGGTCGATCTGACATGGTCTCCAATTGAACTAAATGTCGTGATATCCATGAACCTGCTTGTTTTGCACATGTATCGACAGCTAAATGCAAAATATTTCGATGTTGTTGATCTGTTTCTGTGAGCAGCAAGGTAATGAATCGATCTGAGGAACTATTCGTGCAGTAATCTTTCAAAAATGCAAATAAATGATTCATGGCTTTGATATCGTTCAACACGGCACATTCCATAATGATATTTCTACCAAATGCATTCTTTTGTAGAAATGCCTTTTCAAATGTTTCAACTCCAAAGATCATTGTTCCTTTGAAAAGGAATGTAGAGACAAATAATTTGTCATCTTCATGACTGTGATCAACCGAGACTAGTGCTAATGTGCTGGTACTATTGGCATACTGTGGTGTGTGAATACTACTGCTCAAACTTCCCAGAGTTAACGACGATTGAGCACTTCCTTCACTTCCATTACCAAGTAAATAACTGTCACTTGTCTCTGAAAACATGGATCCAAACTTGTCAGCAACATCCAAAAAATCCAAATCAGAATTGGTAGCGGCAGAAATTTCAGCACGTTTTTTACGTTTTCTCCCTCCTCGTCCATCACTGAGACATGAAAAGAGTGGATTCTCTTCTCTTTGATTTTTCCTTAATAACAACGATGGTTTGATTTTGGCAATATATTCCACCATTTGTAAATCCTTTTCTCGAACTGCATGATGCAAAAAAGTTTCACTATTTCCAATTAACACATCGATTTTAGCTCCAAATAATTGAAGAAGGTCACACAATTCGTAATCTTTTTTCTTGAGAGATATATACAAGGGAAGATAACCATATCGGTCGTGACTAGTGTTCAGTTGTTCCTGAACCACTTTAAAACTGCATAAATATGCACAAGCATCATGTGCTGACGTTTGACAAGCATAGAAAATGGGTGTAGCATCATGATTGTCTTTGGTGGACAACAATTGTGCTTGAATCGAAGACCTAGGTGAAGTAAATGCTGAATGTTGTTGACTCGAAGAAGATTTTCCAGAATCTGCTTCCACACTATTTTCGTCACTTACGTTCGAAGTGACTGTACTTTGAGAACTGCATTTGGCAATATCTCCTGTCAAAAGCCATTGCAGCATTTCTACTTGATTGTATTTTGCTGCTGCATGAATGAGAGTGCAATCATGATGGTCTGGAAATGTTGTTGTCAACACAATGTGACGAAAATCATGTGATGATGACATGGAATTGAAAATTAAACTCGTTGTTGTCGTCGTTGTCGAAGATGAAGCAGACAAGGTTCCATTCTCGACTGACAGTCGATACTGTTTTTCCATCTCCATTAAATGATTTTGAACGGACTTTAAATCTCCGCGAGTGGTCGCTTCGTAGAGCATGGCTTTCAATGCATCGTCTTCACAGAGTCCATGATTTTGACTGTGAACCATGGCGAGTCCAAATCCTAAATTATTTTCTGCAGCAATTTGTCCCAAATTAACAATTGGAAAGGACAATGAATGAGAATGCACATAACCATGGTCATCTTCTTGTTCCAAACTGATGGAAGGAACATTAAAACTATCAAATTCGGTCATTTTGAATGCATGCACAAATTATTCTGTTGTATTGTTTGTGCTAAATATGGAGAGAGGTGTTATCCAAAAAACACAACAACAATGCCAATATTACACGAGAGGAGAGAAGTGGTAGTACTTCGGGTGTGTGTTTTTTTCTTTTTGTGCTTCCACTTTCGAAAGAACGTTTTGTATTAATAGTATTGCAATGAGTGCGATGAAGAAAGGCTTTGACACAAAATGCAAACGTTTGACAAGCCCTTGGTGATGAAACGGTCTATTTTTTTTCGGTTGTGTATTCATAAGATTGGAGGGAAATGAGAAGAGCATCTCCATAGAGGATTAACTAAGAACAAATTGAGAAGAAAAAATGCGAAAGACAAGTGACATTTCATAACGACTAGGTCGCTCATGTGAGCAAAATTGAACGTGGGTGTATTACTTTCGCATGATTTCAAACAGGAATGGAAAGAGTAATAATGAATACAACGTCTATCAAGTCCTTCAATTGACAAACTCTCACAACTACAGAATTAATTGTTTGACTCAAATAAAGATAAGAAAACATTCTTAAAGCTAACCAAACTTTTTGACAAGACTGGGAGAAACAAGAATTTGTTTTGAACTGTTTTTCCGTAATCAATGAAGAGGTCATCTTGATTCAAAGAAATTTCAAAGAATGTACCTCCCCGCCAAATTTAAACGTTACAAAAAATAAAACTGAAAAAAAATGCAACAAGTTCAAGCGCTTGTGGATCAATTCAAAAAAGCTTCCGAAGAGTACAACCATGGACTTGTGGCCTACCAGGCCAATAATTTTGAGAAGGCTGTAACAAGTTTGGAGCAAGCCAAAACACTCTTTCAGACTGTTCTCAATACTCCCATTCCCGAGAAGTATGCCGATAAATTTAAAGTAGCATCGGATCATCTGGTCAAAACGTTTGAATTATTACTGAGAGCACAATATAAACTTCCGGATGCGCAATTTGTAGAAATACAAAAAGGATTTATCAAACTCATTCGACAACATGTACAAAGTGGAGCCTTTAACGAACAGAAATTACAGTTTTTATTTCAGAGTTATATCAGCTGTAAATTGAAAGCACACAAAGCTCCACAACAACAACAACCAATATATTCCATTTTGGAAGCCATTGATTCATTTGAGAATAGGCATTTGGCCTTTCTGAAGATGGAATTACAGGCCATTGAAGAATTAAACTGCCAAGATGTACTCTTCAAAGAGAATATTCTGGTATTGCAACGATTGTGCGAAGTTTTAGAGAAGAAGGATCCAAGATCTAGTGACATTTACCTCTACAAAACAAAGAGAATTCTTGCATACTTACATTCATACTATGGATCTCAGCCAGTGTCGGATTCTCAAATTACTAAGGAATTGGAAGAGGTGACTTCTCTTCTTTCAAAACATCATACAACATTATCAGTTACAGATCCTCTCGTTTCATCCATCATTCCATTCGTTGTCAATCTAGTCACGACATTTGTATCATGCATGCGATATCTTGAAAAACAACCATCCAATATTGATGAGCTTCTCTCCGTGAACACCAGTAATGATACACTTTCTATGAAGAATAAGGATGTTTTTTGCAAAATTTTGAAAGGAGTCTTCTCAGGGAATCTTGAGACGATGAATTCCATGCTCAACTCACTAACAGTTAATCTTTACTTTGTTGATTTAATGTCCGTATTCAACAAGAGAGATGTTTTGTACATAACTTATTTATTAATATCCATGATACGTTTCTGCACACTCTATGGATTTGATGAAACAGTTCTACATGTGAGAAAATTATTTATGAAACCACTTCCATCCAATGCAGATGCTGATATTGTCAAGCAATACAACAGCATTATTAACATTTTGAATGATCATACTCTCCATATGAATGACCAACAATCCATTGTGAAAGAAAAGCTTGATGTTTTTCAAGATTTTGATTTCAAACGACGATTCAATTGTAAATATAACGACTGTTATGTCAAGTTAGCGAATGAAATTTCAGACAAGATGGCACAACATTCTCAAGACGACATTAATTCTCTATCAAAATTTCACTATACACACTGTAAAATAGCAATGAAATATGATATCCAAACTGCCTATCAAAGTCTCATTAAAAGTATGAGATATCGAGGCATGCTAGAAAAAGAAAAGAGAGCAGAATCAAAGCTGATCGATTTCATAACGAAGAAGTCTACAAAGAGTGAGCTAAAGGCTTCATTTTCGATCGCTCAACATTTCGAACACACGTATCTTACCTTGCTACATTACCAACAAATGATTCGAATTCATGAAATTCGTGGCAATTTTTCAACATGTGAGACATGCATACGACAAGCATTGCGGTTCTCCATTTATGTGAAATGTCTCAGTTTTACTCTTTCGTTTTTATACATTTGGCTCGCCTTAAACTAAATAGGCATGATTTTGACGATGTTGAAACATTGGTCTCCCTTGTGAAGTCACTCACTAATGATCCAAAGCAATCAAAGAATGCAATTGTTACCAAGTTTGCTAAAGAGTTTGTACTCTTGGAGAGTACCATGCTCATCATGCAAAATAAGGATGAAGAAGCAGAGTCCTTACTTTACAATTCAGAAACTTTGAAAAACGACATTGGTCTCGAGTTACAAAAGGTCATTCTTCTTTTGAAACGAAATGATGAACAAGCTGCCAAATCAATATTGCAGAAACTCTCCAAGATGGTAGAGACGGATCAGACACGTGAGGAAACTCTGTGGGTGAAATATTATTGTAATGCTCTCAGCAATAACCAGAGTTTGAATTACGAGTTTCGATCTAACTTTGGTTTGGCATGGAATGATGTGCCAATACCTCTCAAGAAGAGAATTCTTTCTCACATGCGCTCTGATCATTTACGAAATGTGAATGAGGAACGAGAATTTGCATTCTTGTCCTCCATGTCGATGGGTATTCGGTTGAAACATACATTGCAAGATTTACTCGATTTCTTTAACACTCCTAACAATGCAACTTCACCAACAAGTTCTGGAAGCCAAGATGACACCAATGACAGTAATAGGGGTGTAGAAAAGATGATGAGAAGACTTTCTATTGCCAATGAAGAGCTTCAATTCTCCTTCATGATGGATCTCAAAGATTTGACAACAAAGAAAACTTTTATGGATAATTTGATTTCCATACTGCCCAGCAATATATCTGTGTGCAATATTTGCATTTCTGATGGTAAGTGTGAAATCATTTGAACATTGATTTATGCCCAAATTCTTATTTCCATTCTGTATTAGACTATTCATATCTTGTAATCACAGTAATGAACAATCATAGAAGTGACGAAGATTGTATCGTGCTACCCATATCTTTGACGAGAAGTGAAGATTCAAACACGAAACTCAACAGATTATTCAGTGAATCTAGCATCAAACAAACACAGTTACAATATCACAAATCCTCTAACTCTGACACTCATTTAACCTCAAGTAGTATGAGTTCGTACTCTAATTGGCAATCCTATCAAGCATTGTTTGGAAAGGACAACAATATTTTACACAAGATGCTACTTTCGTTTGATCATTTACAAATTTTAAGCAAAGAATCTTTTACCATCACAGATAAATCATTGTGGTGGAAGACGAGAAAAGAACTAGATGAAAAACTAACCAAACTTTGCGAATATGTCGAAGATCTTTTATTTGGACCTGTGAAGCTGTTGCTAATCCCTCGTCTAATGAACGAATTTGATGAAACACTTGAAGAACGATGTGACACATTTATCAATAGATTGAAAGAAATCACAAATGGTTTGGATATTACCTTCGACGTACGAATTGCCAAGCTCATGCTCAAGTCTTTCAGTGCTTTCAGAGAAGAAAACGACCTTGTTGAAAGTATTCGATATTTCATACTAGGAGACGCTACAGAATACGATGAATCCATCATGTCAGAAATTCAAACCTTGTTTTGCAATACCTTTATTCAAGCGTTCACTGACAATGAAAAGAGAATGGCAAGTAAGGAGGCCATGTTCCGTCATTGCAAACGAATAGAGTCACAAAAAATCAAGAGAAAGCATATTGTCTTTTGTTTAGACAAATTAATTCAACAACTACCAGTAGAAACAATGCCAACCATTAAGAATTATCCATCTTCAAGAATGCCAAGTTTACTGCTTCTGTATTATCATCTCAATCGAATGACAGAAATTAATGGTGAAGTCAAGAAAAACAATATTTATTACTTACTCAATCCGAGTGGAGATTTGTCATCTTCTGAGGAGAGATTCAAACCATTATTTGAACAACAACAGAACTGGAAGGGAATTATTGGTAAAAGTCCAGCCACAGAGGAAGATTTTTATCAAGCTCTTTTGGACAATGATTTACTTGTTTATATTGGACACGGTACAGGAGAGCGATATTATAATCCACACAAAATACGAAAGCTGTCCAGATGTTGTCCAATTCTCTTGATGGGATGTAGTAGTGGAAGACTGAAAGAATATGGAAATTATGAACCAAATGGAACAGTGTTGAGTTTTCTTCTTGCAGGATCGCCGTTTGTCATTGCCAATTTGTGGGATGTGACAGACAAGGATATTGACCGATTGACTGAATTCATGTTGGAAAAGTGGTTGTGCAACAATACCCAAAATCAGTCCGTTTGTGAAGTGTTGTCAAAAGCGAGGGACACTTGTTTGTTACCAAGCTTGATTGGAGCTGCTACTGTGTGTTATGGATTACCAGATTTGTTAATAAACTAAGGAAACTAAAAATATTAAAATTTTACAAGATACAAAAATTAGAATGAAAGATTGTCACCAAATTGCACACAATTATCATCATCTTCACCACCCTTAGTTCCACTCCACTTGTTGGTGATGATTTCACGAGCCAAGTCAACAATTCTATGCTCGATTTCTGCTTTCAACGTTCTGTGATGTTCAATCCATTCAACAACAATGTCGAATATCTTGTGATTATTTTTCGGATGGTCAATAATTTGAGCTCGTTGCAAGCTCGTATATCCGTCACCTCCTTTTAACAAGTATGTAACAGTTGCGAATCGATACACTCTTTGCTCATCAATCTTGTCACCGTTAAAGGTCATTTCTACGACTCGTTGCAAGGGTGGTTTCTTACTGTCGTACACGATTTTAATTCCTTTTGAAAAATGAGGAAATGCTCCAACAACCTTTTCTGCCTTTTGAACTCCCTCTTCGACCGCTGCTAATAGATCTTTTCCTAGAATGGTTGTAAGAGCTAACTCATTGGGGAAGGGAAATTCTTTTAACATGTCATATCTTTGTCATTGAAATAATGTTAAATCAATCAATCCCAAATTTCATCCATATAACAAAAAGCCTTAAATCAACACGTACCTTGTAATTTTTTTACCAGCATCGTAGAAACGATCTCCTCTAATTCCACCTCCATTAAACATGGCAATTTCACATCCAAAAACCTTTACAAATTGTTTGAAAATTAAAAACAAACTCGAAATTCACTTACCTCCAACAAGAGATCTGCAATAAAATTACCAAACGTTGTTTCCTTTGTTCGACAACTCTCGGTAGATGAATAGAGCTTTGATTCAGTCACTCCAATTTGTTCCATAATTCCAGGAGGTAACGTACTCATGTACTTTTCAATGACATCTGACACTTTCTTTTTTGGTTTGTACCCATGATTAATCATCATGTTGCATGAGGGATAGACTTTCACTGTTTGAAAATGTCATCTTGAACTGTTGTCTTATTTTTCTCAATCTTTAAATCAATTCGTGTTAAATATTGGCCATCATGACCAGCTTTGTGAATGAGACAATTTTCTCTGACCACTGTAAATGGTTCATGATCGTGTCCTCCTAAAACAATGTCAATTCCTGGTACTCGTTTCACTAATTCCTTGTCATCAGCAATATTGAGATGAGTGATTGCAATGACCACGTCACACTTGTCTTGGTTTCTTAATTCATTGACCATCTTTCTTGCAATTGGAATGGATGGAAGAAATTTAATTAATTTTCCAGGTCTACTGAGATATTCACTGTTTTTTGTGCAGAGACCAAATAAACCAATTTTTAAACCATCTAAGGAAGGATCTGTCAAAATCTTTTTTCTGAGACATCCCTTCAAAATATTCTTTTCACTATTGTCATAGGATTTTTCATCTGAATTATTGTACACAATATTTGAACAAATCCATGAAAATCTAGATTCTGCAATTCGTTGTTCCAAAATTTCACTTCCAAAATCAAATCTATTCAACAAGGGATGGAATAAAATTATAATAATTTTTTATCATGACATTATAATGTATGGAAAGTTTTTGTCATTAATACCTACTCATGATTTCCAGGACAAACAAAATCTCTAAAATTCCAAAAAATTCCAAAACTTCACAATTCATTGATTATAAATTGAAACTTACATTGGCATTTGATTGACGACATCAATCATATGAGCTCCCTTATACTTCTCAGCCAATGTAGAGGCTGATAAGAAGTCACCATTCAAAGTTGCAATGGCAAATCGTGATTTACTCTTTTCGTTATCAATCATGGTTGATAATTCGGCCAAGCCACCTACACCCTTGTCGTCTCTGTGTTGATCGTGATCGGAATTGGATGCACCAATAATTTTTACACAATATTTAAATAATTTTTAAATTATTTATTGAGCGACATGCCAAAATGTCATTCATCATTCAAATAAATTTATAGAATACTTACGGCAACATTTCATAAACATCATTCACCATAAGTAACGTGATGTTTGCAAAATTCACTGTTTCCGTACGGGGAAGTGTTTTTGTTCGTTGTAAATACGAAATCATTTTCGGAACTTTTCAAAATGTTTGTCAAGTAAAATTGTAACAAAATGGTTATGGAGATGATGATCCAGTAAATATTTCGGTTGGCATATAGGAGGAACCACTAGAATGATTTTTTTTGAATTTTTTGTTTTTCAACGAAATTTCTAAAAAGGAATTCAGCTTATGGCGTCCATAAAAGGCGAAATTAGTGGCGGTGGATAATAATGAGAGACAAAAAGAACGACCCTCCATTTTGTAAGTGACATGCAACTGTAAAATGTGATTTGCAATAAAATTATTCAAATCTTTATTGGACGATTTTCACAAACTTCATTTTCATTCACAAAAAACAAAATGCAAGCAAACTCTCCTCAATTATTATTTTCTGTCAAAATTGTGGCACCTCTTTCTACTGCGAAATGTTCTTCAGTTTGTAAAACACTCGATGCGAATGATCCATTTCATTGCGTTAATATGAATGGAATCGATTCAGAAACTTATTCCGATTTAATTCTGTTATTGGATGAACAATTTAAATTTGAAAACAAACATCATGAAGATGCAAAACAACATTTAGATACGTTTTTGAAAGAAGTGACTCATTCTTCAATGAACAAGCTCATCATTGTAGTTTCAGAAATGATACATTTTGGATTTTCATTGCCTGTGCTCATGCTGATTTCGTTACAAATGAAAACAATCATGAAAAGCATGTTCAAGTTCACATAGCTATGATGAAAATAATCAATTACAGAATCCATGGATTCCTGTTGGATTTTTAAACCTTGTCTTGCTTCCAAAATTAAATTCCAAAATTGGTTATACCTATGTCGACGAATTATTTGTAAGAACGAAATTTAGAAGAATGGGAGTGGCATCTTTATTATTGAATAAGGCGAAAGAATGGACTCAGAATTTGAAATTGGCAGGTGTTCGATTATTGGTTCGTTCAGAAAATGATTCGGCTCAGAAACTCTACGAACGAAATGGTTTTGTGTTGAGTGAGACATTATTTGGTCAATACAGTTCCAACACAACGATGGAGTAGCTTACAATTTCACGTGTTCCGTTGCTATTCTATGAATAGGACACATCGAAGATGATCAGTGGATTTTTCACGTTTCCTATTTTTGTATCGTGAAATATTTACACACAATAAAAATCCAAGTTTTCATGTGAATTCTGAAGAAGACAATATTCAAAAAAACCAACACAAATGAGGTCATTGGTATTTGTTGATGTCGTGCCTTTGATATGGGACGGTTTATATCCAAGAGGTAAGCGACCATTCATAATTTCTATGACTCTTCAAACAAACATTTCTGGCCGGCAGACCAAACGGAACCAGACATAGAATATCGTAAAGAACGATTTGTCATGTGGTCCGCTTGGTTCATTAAAGGTAAATTGTGCATAAGATTGAAATTTCTCATAATAACGTATGATATCACAGACGGAGTCGAGTATTATTTCGAATTCGTTTGGTTATTATCCTTGATCAAAAGTATGCCAATGTTTAAAAAACCTTTTGAGGCATTCTTGAATGGAACCGATCCTTATTCGCTTGGATATACCATTGAACGAATACGAACAAGAAACTCTAAAAAGAAGCCAATGGCTTCTAAATACCCAAAACGAAACTGTGAACATCCAGGTCGAAGGTGGAAGCGATAATCCTCAGCAAAGGTGTTCTTGAGTGACATATACCCAAGAACCAGTTAGAGTGTATCAGACCATAATGATGGATGTGTCACAAATATCTGCCTTATGCTTAATTTCCATAAACTGAGCAAGAGTCAACTTTTGCAGCGAAAGAAAAAGCGCCAAATTTTAGCGCCCAAAGTACAATTTTGTTCAAACAAAAAAATGTCTCGATCCTATACAGTCTATAGCCTCAGTGAGGATGAATATGAAGAAAATGAAGAATTGGAAACCAAGGATGAAAACTCCTTCCTCATGAATGATGAGGGGTATGAATATTCAGTGGAAAGCGGAGAAACTGAAGATGATGAAGAAGGGACCTATGAAGATGAAGAGGAATACGATACTACTTCAGCTAAAACGGAACCTCTACCCATTGAGACTCCAGCGAAGGAGAACTTTGAAGGTTCTAGTACTCAGCACATCAAGATGACTCGTGGAGATTTGATTGCTCAGCTTGAAAGACTCGGGTACACGAATGTTCCTGAAGACGTAGTGCAAGATTTCATCGCCGAATTGAAAAATCAAAACATTGAGGTTCTTCATGAAGAAAACAACACCTCCCGAACTAATTCTTCTTCAATATTTTCTCGCGACGATGAAGACCAGGTTAATGTCGAAGACCAAGAGTATCATGACGACGAGGAGTATGAGGAGGGCAACCATGACGAGGAAGAGGAGGAAAGCTTGCAAGAGGAGCAAGATGAAGACGCCTTCATTCCAGTTTTTAACCCACCTGTTTTGAACGATCATGTTATTTCTGAAACGCCTTCCAAAAAACAGCCCTATCAGAAATATGAATCTCCTCAACTTCACAGTCCAAGCTCAAAAACACATAACAACTCCAAAATGCAAACCGATTCACCAGCCAGAAACGTATCCATGCAACGGGATAGTCCAAGTGTAACAGAAGACGAAGGTTATGATACCACTACGTACTACAACAATCACTACTCATCACTCAAAGACTTTCAAAAAATCAAATCTCAACACCGAGATGCTAGGAATTTGGTTACTCCAAAAATTGAGACTGTTAAATCTCCAATACGGCAAAGTCAACATGTGGATGATTATCACAGTCCTCCCAGCAGAATTTCTAGAGAAAATGATTCACCATCCTCAAAAATCAAATTCAAGCCATTGGAATCGGCAAACTACACTCCTCCCAGTCTTCCAATGAGTCGACCAAAAACAGCCCCTCCTGTAAAAACACCACCAACAGAACCTCAATTAAGAACTCCCACTAAGGATACATCAAAATCATCTCCAAACGGTAATCGGTCGAGCATGGTACGATCATCTGTAACGTCCGTTTCAACGTCTCAATCAATTTCTAGACCCCTTCCATTCAAAACCAATGTTAAGAAGCCAGTCTCCTACCGAAAGAAGGTGAACGATCCAGTATCGAGATGGAGAGAATTAAATTCGGTATGGAAGAATGACACCTTCCTTAAAAATCAGCAAAATCAACAAAAGAATCATAGATGGCGTGTCAGACAAGAAATGCTCGAAATTCAAGGTGATAAGTACTTGAATCCCAAGGAATGCCGATAAATAAATGTATATGTGATAACATGGTGTTTCTTTTTGCAGTGTTGGAATTGAAAATAGTTCAATATAATTAACGTACATTTAAATAGTATGGAAATTGTCATTGAGGTGACCAGTATTAGCTCAGGTTGAGAAACATCTGCTCGTGAATTCGTCACACATTCAAATAATTCATTTATAACACATTCGAGGATGGATCATAGACACCTCCTGTTCCTCCTTCACTTGTTGTAGATATTTTGAGATACTTTTCAAAGTGTTTCTTTGCTACTCTGATATTCATATGAACAGCTTCGCTTTGAATGGAAGTATCACTTAAAATCACCATGATATAGGTGTTTGGTGTAAATCCTTCAATGTAGGCAGAGAATTGAGAATTCTTCACTTCCATGCTTTGGAATTGAGATTGTGCTTTGGAGCAACTCAATTTGAATTGCTTAATAATGTTAGAAATTTTTTCAAAACGGTGTACATCTGGATGCTCATTGCTCGTGCTATGTGAAATGACAAGGAATGTTGCTCTTTCAAACAAAACTACTTCATCAGCTCCACAAATCTTGGTAAAGTTATCTAAATTAGCCTCAATGCTCTGAATGTTTGGAATTAAACTATAGACAATTGTACTCCATGCCTTGTAGAGCGTCTCATCCCAAATTGAAGTACGGAAACATGTGATCTTCATTGGAGCAGATAGCTGTTTCAATTCTTGCTCCTTTTTACGGAAAATTTTGTCACGTTGCTCCTCAGGAACCAGATCCATTTTGTGAATTAGACAAAATATTTTAGCGTTCTTGGAATTTTGCATGATGGCTTCCAAACAGTCATGATAGTATGCCAAGTCTTTTGTCAATTCCTTACTCTCAATGTCAAAAACATAAATTAATACTTCCACATGACGGAAAATGTGATCTCTTTGTGATTCTAAATAAGTTTCCATGAATGCCTCTTGTCCTCCACAATCCCACAAATTCAATACGAGATTTCCAAGAAATTTTACGTGACTGTGTTCCACGTCTATGGTAGCTCCAAGACGCATCGTATCACGAGCAATATAATTAGCAAAGATGATTGAACGCATGGAGGTTTTACCACTTCCACTCTGTATCATGAATCGTGTTCCGGTATCACCAATTATAACAACAATATTTCGGTTCGGGAGAATGGCAAGAATAATAATTTTTACAACCATCGGTTTGGAAATTTCAAATTACGTTTATCACGTAGATTGAAAGTGATGAAAGAAATATTTGGAGTTGGTGAGAAGATCAACCAAGAACCTACCTTTCCCATCAACAACACTTTCTTCTTCATTTTTTTAATTGTGGTTTTTTGAATTTGATTTTAATAATTATGGAATTAGTATTAGAATTATCAATAACAATATATTAATTCAGCCTAATCTACAAAGAACAATGTATTAATTTTTAATTATTGAGCGGTACTACAAATTCGGTTGGATGGAGAGGAGTGGTGTGAGCCCAATCGGATTCATTCGGCAACAACCCCATGAAGTATAACTTGACCATCGACATTCCAAGAGCAACACATTGAAGAAGAATGTAAACAACTTTGGGAAGGAATGTGCTGATTTTACCACCATCTTCTGAATCAAATGTTTGGAAGGCTATGATGATTGTCAACATTTCGAATTTGTTCAACAAAAAATTCATATTCCAATAATAATTATCACATGATCGAATATTTCAATAATACGAATAATATATTGTCCACCAATCTTTTCAAATTACAACAATTTTCACATACCTTGCCCAACACTCAAAATAGCTTTCACTGGATTGATGATGGCCATTACTGTAAATATTATTGGAAAAATATTAATTTGATTTCCGATCATCCACAATAGAAAAGCGTTCATAAATAAATTACGGAATGGACTTGTAGCAAATTCCCAACATTTCTTTTGTTTAAGATCGAGTTGTTGTTGTTTCTTTTCCGACAGAGCAGAAGATGATGTGCCCGTTGTGGATGTAGAAGAGGAAGTGATAGCTTCAGCTCCACTCACGTAGTTGAATGGCTTTTGAGCATCGGAAGCAGGTGATGGCAACAAGGTGATTTTCCAGTCTTTTTTGCTTGTTTGTTTGCTTGCATTTTTTTGAACGACCCTTCCCCGTCCGTAACTTGTTGGTACACTCAAAGTTGTTATAATGACACCTGTCGATAAAGCAAAGGATCAATGTTCTTTGAAACATCTGCATTATCATCGAAAGGAGGGTGCAATCAAAAAGAAAAAATGACGCAAGTGTTCAACAAGGTCATCATGAAACAACAACAGATGACCAACTTCGGAAACAATGAACGACTGAAAAGGCTCTTGATGTGTGTTGGATATAGCGGAAATGGAGTGAGTGGATCTCAATTTCAAAGAAATGTTTCAGTGGAGAAGAGTATGTAATTTGGAAAATACGAGCCAATGATGATGATGAATAATGACTCTGTTGGAATTGAATAATAATAATTGCTATCGTCCATCACTAATTATTTATACACTGGAAAATTTACAGCTATTGAAGGAAAATTGCTTAAACACATGCATCAAGTCGGAATGTTAGGTGTCAAACAGCTTACTAGACAACAAGAAAATGATTATGGAAAAAAACAAGAATTTTACACAAAGCTCCATACTAACATGGATTGGAACGCATCGAGTAGAACCGATAAAGGAGTGCATGCCGTTGCAAATTTCTTTTCTTGCAACATTCCACCTACTGCCCCAAATATAAAAGCAAAACTTTCTGAATGGAGGAGCGAGCTCAATAATTCATTTGCATCGGATGATATTCTACAAGTATTTCACATGGATGTTTTAGAGGACAACGAAGAATTTAATTGTAGACAATTTGGAATGTGGAGAACATACGAATACTTTATTCCTCAATTTTGTCTAAAGGCCATGTATGAAGTTTGTCGAAGCATTCCAAATACAAATCAATCAAATTCACAAAAGAAGGGTCGAGCACAGTTACCTGAAATTAACTTGGAACAGATTTGCACAAGATTCAATAGTGTTTTTTCAAAAATGGAAGGATTCAGAAATTTTCAAAATTTCACAAGCGCATCGTCTGCGCAGTCCAATCATTCAAACAAAGTGGAAGATGAAGAAGACCAAGACGATGAATTATTTCAAGATTTAACACTTTCCGACTCTGTTGGAAGACAGTTTTACAGAACAGTTTTGCAATGTCAAGCTAAATCTCATACTCTTCCAATACCACATTTCAAGCTGTACTCGTCTTCAACCACACCTCTATCTACAGCTGAGACGCTACGAGGAATTTCTATTAAGGTCACAGCTAGCGGATTCTTATACCACCAAATTCGAAAAATGATTGGTCTTGCAATTTCACACTGGCTCTATCCGAAAGAAATTGACGAAGAGTTTATTGACATTTCACTATTTTCACAAGAAAGAATGTTCATCCCAACAGCACCAGGAGATTCACTCATTTTAGTCCACACGGCATTGAAAGATCCTTCTCTGGAGAAATTTGTGTACAACAATTCAGGGAATATGCGCCCAGAGTATATGGACGTTTGTGCTAACAAGGAATGGAAACTTTCAGAACACACTCGCTTTATCCTCAAATCATGCTAGAAACTTCGGCTTCATTCAAACATGTTCAGAATTATTTATCAACGAGATCTAATAGTGGCGATAAAAAACAAGACGAGAAAAAACCAGTTCAGAGATCGTCATGGATTCAACTAGCTCACGAGCTTAAATTTTACCTTAACGATTTGGTCAACCAAAAAGAAAATGTTAAAAAGAGAGCAAAAAAACAAATTGAAGCACAACGAAAGAGAGAAGAATGGAAGAAGAGGGACGAGCAGGAGCAACGAGCTGCTAAAATTTCCTCCATTTCAGAAAAAGCAAAACAAGGTCTTGAGCATGACGTGGATTTTTTACCGATTGGCTACCGATTACATTTCTATGTGAAATTCAAATGCTTGCCTAATGAAGAACGAACAATCTCTGCCCTGAACACCTTACAAGAAATGATTCGACTTGGCACCATTCCGCCCAAAGAAAATAATTTCGAAATACTTGACCAAATAGTTTTGAGCAAGTTCAAGCATTCTTTTCCTGCACTCTAGAGGGATTGACCTTCAAATATTCAATTCTCAAATTGATGACAGAAAACCCTTTTCAATTCACAAAAAGAAATCATCAATTTTTATTTTTAAAAAACTAAAAAATAGAACAAATTCGACTTACACATCTTTGAGACCAAACATCATGTTTCCAATCATTAAATCATATTCCGATGTGAAAGATTGCATCGTTGGAAGGAAAGAGTTCGTCACACAAATTGACGAAGGCTTTCGATTTATTAAATATAAGAGCGTAGTTGAAAATACCTTTTCCGATCTTACCGACATGAATAGTACGTGAACAACTATGTGTTGAAATGATGAATTTCTCAATTACATGTTTTTAATATTCCATGGTGATCATCACATGATTCGACCTAATTTAGATTTGAGTGACAAGGAACGAACCATGCATCTCCTTCGCCGTGAATGTAGAGGAATTGTTTTTGATGCAGAAAACGACAAGCTTGTCTGTCGAAAATTTCACAAATTCTTTAATATTAATGAAAAACCAGAAAGTCATGTAGATCGAATTAATTGGAGGAGACCTTTTGTTGTGATTGAGAAAATGGACGGTTCTCTCGTGGCTCCAATTTTCACTAAAAAGAAAGCCAAAGATGTCTCTGATATTGCATTCACTACCATGCTTGGATTAACAGCAATGGCTAAGAATCAAGTTCAAGGATACATTGATAAGAATTTACAACACAAAGGATTGAGAAAACCATTTTTAGAATTTTGCAAACATTGTCTTGACAATGGCATGTCATGCCTTTTCGAATACACAAGTCCTCAAAACATCATTGTGATCAAATACTTGGAAGAAAAATTAACATTGCTTGCTATTCGACACAACGAAACCGGTCAATATCTTTCCTATTCTAAAATGAAAGAACTTTTACGAAAACATCCTGACTGGGAAAAGGCTGTGAATTTAGTGAGCTTGTGGAAAGATTTCCCACAAGGTACAGACGAACCTCACAAATTACTATCGGAAATTTATGAACAAAAAGGAGTCGAAGGATATGTCATTCGATTTGAAGATGGAGATTTTTACAAGGTGAAAACAAAATATTACATGTGTTTTCATGGAATTTCAGGAGGAGGAGGAAGTGAATCCAGTGCTCCAAGTAGTGGCAGTGGTGCTATGTCTGCATTCTCTGCTGAAAAAATTAGAGAACGACATCTTATTAAGGCGATTATGAATGATGTGATTGATGATGTTATTAGTGGAGTATATTGGACTGCTGAAATGAGACAATCAGTTTCAAAATTTCGAATTGAAATTGCGGCAAGAATATTGGACAAGTTTGAAGGAGAAGTTTGGCCTATACTTTTGAAAGCAATTCAATTGTCACAAAAAGGAGTAAGCAATACTTCATTGGCTACTCGTGTTCTCGTGGAAAGTTAGCCAATACTCCAACTGGAGATTTTGTGAAAGATATGCTTTCCAAGTTGTCATCCACCTCGACTGCTGCTTCGTCAGCAACGAAATCAAGTGACCAGCAGGAAAGTGACGAGGAGAATGACAATTTTTCTCACAATCCCAACCGAGGTAATTTTTGGAGTGTTCTGCAAGAGGAAGAAGTTGAGGATGCTGAACAAGATGCCATTCATGATCCTGTGAGTGATGCAGAAGATGAGGATGAAGAAAAGAGAGAACAAATGTTATTGCCATCACAGTCATTAAGCCAGCCACTACCAGTCCAAACTTTCAACAATGTTTCACAAACATTAAGTAAGGAATCTTCATCAGAAGAGCATGTCTCGCAATCAGCTGCTACCTCATCTTCGACGAGTCAACCATTATTTGACACAAGCAACATGAAATTTGCACCAATTCATCCTGGTAGCTCATCAGATCTCTCAGCAGAACAACAATTAGAAAATCAAAAACAAGTTGCCTTTGAGTGCTTCAAAATATTCTTGCAAAATAAGACATTCCAAGTGAATGATCCAAGTGCATTCGAAAGCAAAAAAGTGAAAAACTATGCATGGCTTGGAGCTGATTTGAGTGTCATGGGACAATACTCATTCGATGGTAAATCAGGATGTCTTGTGAAAAACTCTACCAGAAAAGTACTCTCCAAAAAGGATGATTCTGATGACTATGACTTTAGTAAGCCTTCCAAGAAGGGATCCAAGAAAAAGAAGAAATAAATTGTATAATAATTCATGAATTCTCATGGCCACTTGATTCGTGAGATAATAATATTATTAATTGCTCCGCAAAATGTAGCAGCAAAGAATCTTTCGACAACCTTTACGCTGCAAAGTATTTACATTACCCAATGAATGCAAATACTTTTCAATTTAAAGGTCGGCAAAAAGCAAATACTCGAGTAATGATGATACTAAATAAAATTATCAAAAAGGAGCATACAAGCTTGTTGTGGAGTTGAAGGAACAATTGTACTTTCTCTCAGTGAGAAGATTAGCGTGTACATTCTTCATTCTCACCCAATTGGTCAGAAAGAACCCAATAACAAGTATTAGGCTTGGCAAAAAACACAATTTTCATCATATGAAAGTACAATTTCCCACCATTCAATCCAACTTCCTACGTAGGTGTGCAAATTATCATACACATCATTCCTTTCCGACAATTCTATTCAATATCATCCCGAAACCAACGAAATCAAACGCTTGTTCATGCTCCCATTTTTTATAATATTCTAAACAATGATTCTCCTTGGTTAGCAAGGATTCAACCTGACCCAGATTCACAGACAATCAAATTCAGATTCACAGAAAGTCAATCATTCATTTGAACCTCACCATTCTCACTTCACTGCACGAATGATTCAAATTTGTAGCGTCAACGGTTGTTTGAATGAATCATCACACAGTTAAAAAAATTCAGAAAAAGCCTCGTTTCGGGGATTCTCTCTCCTTCATCCAATAAAATCATCATTTGCCAGTAATCATCATCCCATCAACGTAATATTACATCTATAAGGATTTTTATTGAAACGGGATTGATTTATATTGTAATTTGAAATTATTGTTGCTTTTTCAAATTGTAGAATAGACCATCATCATCAACAACAATTCAAAATATAAAGGAATGGTTTGCCAGAGAAGCAACGGAGTGAGTCCAAAACTGGTCTCTCAAATTGAAACCAAGGTGGAGCAATTACGAGACATTTACAAGAATCAACAGTTCAAAACGGTCATCATGTCTAATTACACGCACACCATCTTTTATCACGATCCCAAAATTCTACTTTCCAACAATCAAACCACTTCATCACCTTCCAACACCTCTTCCAACAATCCAAATACCACCCCGATCAACAATACGCCAACACAACCTATTACAATTGTCAATAATCAATATTCAGCATCAAATGGTTCTGGATCACCACCTCCCATCATCTCTCCAACTAAAAAACCACAACATGGTACAAATCCAAGCATGGTTGCATACTCACCAAAAGACACCATGTCTGCAACAAATTTGACATCACAAATTGGAATCTCTGCCTCTCATCTTACCACCTCTACAAGCCAGTCATCACATTCACCAACCACGGAAGGACCCCCTAATATGGGTATTGGTTTTGTTGTCGGGTCCGTCGAAGACCTAGCACAGAGGCTGAGACAATATTTAGAAAGCGTTGAAAATTTTGTAAAACTCTTCTCAGAAGATGAGACTCAACAATTCATTAATCAAGGAATTTATCACATACGTGGATGTAGTGGTATTTTACCTGGAGGAAGTAATAACATCAGTGGAATTAGCAGCAATGGTGGAGCATTGACGCCAACAAACATTTCAAATTGTTCACTTGGATCTCCCACACTTATTTGCAGCATTTTTGTAAAGACAGACATAACATGTGCCATTTTCACAGATGTATATGAGCAAGATGCTATTGGAATTACAGAAGATATGGACAATGAAATCTTAGAAATTGTGGACCAATTACAATTACTACTCAAGAGTACAATAGAGAAAGAAAAAACGGTAACCAAGAAAAAGTAGAGAAAAACTTGTCTTGAAGGCAATACACCTTTCACTGCCTTCACGATGGAGTTTTGTATCGTCATTTTTGAAATTATTAATAATCTCAACTTTAAGCAATGACTCATTTGCAGATGTGAATTGAACACTGAGCTAATTTGAAATGATTGCTAGGTCACCAAAATTGCTGTATTTTTCGAATCTCTTTGTCTACGATGAGCAAATTATTCTTGCAACAAAGACAAGCATCATTGATGAGATTGTTAGAAATTAATAAAACACATGGAGGAATTGGGGCACAACACTTGAATTTTACACCAACAATTTGTTGGTGAAGAGACGGCTGTCAACTGTCAGTTCCAAACAAAAAAAATACAAGTTGTTTGTGTGGTACTTGTGTTTTCTATTGGCCATCAACAACAACAGTCGTCTTGATCAACATCAAAACCACAGAAACACAACAACAACAGCCACCCTCTAACCAAGCCACCAGTCACCTTTTGACAAATCATTACAAATCTTTAAACTTTGATCCGATTCACTTGTTCTCTGAAACCAACAGCACACATCATCATGGAAGAAAACAACAATTCCTTCATGAAAACCTCCTCAACCATTCACGATGAAACTAAAAAACGTTGGTACGACTACATTCACTCCAATCACATTTGTTCCTGTATCTTCCTTCTCTTTTCTTTGGTGAGTATTGTCTTCATCATTGCCTTTTTGGTGCCCATGTGGCAATTTGCTCCCATCTCCACCGAGTGTACCTTGTTGGCCAAATACATGAATGCTTCCTTCATTGGTTCCGATGAGAAGGCCACTTTCCGTAAATTTCGTACAGAATTTACAGTGAGTTACAGTGCCAGTACTGGAGGTAGCTCGAACGGGAATCAACAAATTGTCTCGACTCTGTACGGACCATCTGCTGAGTCATGGTGGAATACGAGAGAGGCTGGTTATGTCCTTTCATCGGCCATACGGAATGAGTTTTATCATTCGTATCGAGTGGGTCAGAAATTTGAATGTTTTTATTCTGGATCGGATGTGAATGCTGTGGTGTTGGAATATGATCCGAGATTGAATGGATTGATTGCCATTCCAGTGATGTTGATCGTGTTGAGTTTGTGGATTTGCATTCATCCCGAGATTGAAAAGTATATTCGTTCCAAATATCAACAACGAGAGTCTTTGAAACAATATATGGAATTATCTCAGATGGAAGAGACTTATGGCAAGGAAATGGCTGAAAAAGTCGCTACTGATCTCTTCTTTGATGATACTGTTGGTGCCTATCGAAGAATTGGCACTGGAGAAATTGTGCAGCCAGCAGCCGAAACTGATCATCTCGATGGTGACGATGAATATGAATTAATTGAGGAAGAAATTGAAGTGATTGGTAAATTCTTTGGTCAAAACATTGAGGAGCAAGGAAGATTTATCACAAAGAGTGAATATATGGAACGAGAAGCAGAGCAGAATGAAGAGAAGAATATTAAGATTGTCTCTAGCTCGAGTGTGGAGGAAGAGACGAAACAAGAGGATTCAAACGGAGCTTCTCAAGAGGTTACTGCCACACCTAAACCACCTCAACATACCTTGCTTGTGTTGGATTCAGACTCTGAGGATGATGACGATTATGATGAATAGAATTCTGAACTTTTCAATATTGATACCATTTCATCAACCAATTAAAAAACATGAATTTTATTATTAATAGAAGGAGGAAGTTCACACTGTCCATAAGGATCTCAATCAAAATGAAACCATCAAAACAGTGACGAAAGGTTGTAATCAAAATTATATTTAAATGATTAATTTTGAATATTAATATTCACTGCACAACCTGTTAAACGTCCAACAATTTGACAACTGTCCATGCGAAATAAAACAAAAAAATCAACAACATGCCTGAGCAACACACAACATCGCCTTCCTCCACTTACACCTTTCTCAAAGATTTCACACTCGGTGGAGCTTCTGGTGCAGTAGCTAAAACCATAACAGCTCCCATCGAACGTGTCAGAATTGTGTTACAAACATCAAGAGCCAATCCAGAGATCATCAGAGGTGAAATTCCTCCCTTCAAAGGTATTATGGATTGCTTTGTTCGATTGGCACGTGAACAAGGTATCAAATCTTACTGGAATGGAAATTTCACCAATGTCATTCGGTATTATCCAACACAAGCAATTGCTTTGCCAATGAAAGATGTTTTTAAAAAACTCTTTCCAAAGTACGATCCAAAGACAGAGTTTGGAAAATTCTTCCTTGTTCAAATGGTGTCTGGTTCTTTGTCTGGCTTGGTTACAGTAAGTCTTGTCTATCCACTCGACTATGCCAGAACTCGATTGACAGCTGACATTGGCAAAGTCAAAACATTCAATGGCTTGACCGATTGCTTGGTAAAAACTGCCAAAGGCCCCAATGGCTTCCTTGGCCTCTATCCAGGTTTTACTCTCTCCATGCTTACATCCATCTCTTTTGTACCTTTTAGATTTCTCTATTTTGGATTTTATGACACACTTAGAGAATTCAATCCATATCACAACGACTCGGGAACGAAAGGATTTTTAAGTAGATTTGTCATTGCTCAAACCACCTCCATTGCTTCAAGTTACATTTCCTATCCATTGGACACGGTTGTAAAACGTCTTCAAATGCAAGGTGAAAAACCTCGCGAACAATGGGTTTATAAGGGAACTTTGGATTGTTTCAAGAAAATTCTGAGACAAGAAGGTTGGCGTTCATTCTTTGATGGAGCTGGTGCATTAGTTTTACGTTCGGTTGGATCTGCATTGGTGTTGGTTTTGTATGATCAGTTACAGGATTATTATAAGAAGGGTGAGAAGGAAGAGACAGGAAATGAGTAAGGGATGTGTTTGAATCTCTTGAAAAGAATCATTTTCTATGGTGTATTATAAAATCAACAAGAAAAAAATGTTTACATAAAGGCAAACATTAAGAGTTCAAACTTTAGGACAGTAGAGGAATAAACATGAGGTATACTATCCAAAGAAGATATGAATTAAATGTCATATTAGACCAATGGAACACCTTGTAAAATGAACTGACTCACTGAGTCATTCGAGTCATTCGAAGCGGAATGACAAGTGAATTTTCGAATACCACCCTTCTTTACTTGTACACTCCTTATATCGACATGAGGTTTGGAAAAGCTATATAAATGGCCTTAATGAAGGTTGACAATGGCAAACCTGATTCAATGACAACTGATACCTGGTAACGGAAGAGATGTGAGAAAGTGGCTTGCGAATGGCTTGATTCAATGTATCTTGTTGACATTTGCATAGACTTAAATATTGGACTTTGACGGGAATGGACTGAACAGAATAAAATTGGTGAAGCTTAATATCAAGTATTTCAGGAAGTCCAGGAATCCCTTTTAGCTTGATCAAAGTTTGTGCTTCGTTTTTAAAGGTGTGCATTGTTTCTTCACATGGTGCAAACAGTTTTAGAGCAATAGACTTCTTGTTCATAGCATACACATACGAAGAAGCCCCTTTACCACGTGTTAACTCGAAATTGTGCTCAATTGCAGGAGATATTGTTAATTCTTCGTTACAGTTATATTTCAGCATGTTAAATAAATACTTCCACCCTTCATAAGTAGTATCTTCACCAAACAAATCAAACTCTTTGGTGATTTCACAATAGATGGTTTTAAGATTGGGTGCTCTTTTTGCTCTCATAAAAATGATTTTATGAAAGTTGGAAAGGCAGCCCACAACCTCAATTTTGGACGTGTGATTCTGGAGAGTTTTCATAAGATATGCGACAAGCTGTCCTTTTTGTTCATCTCTTCCAAGCCTGTTGAACGGGTTCTTGAATTCCATATAACCGGAAGCAAGAAACGATAGTCCCTCATAGCTAGCAACGCCAGAGTAGTGTGTTTTGGCGATTGCAATTGGCTTTGGGATGAGAGTGAGATCAGGAGAAAGTCCCTGCACAACAGAAACGTATCTAGTATCCAAATAAGTTACATGATATGCATCTTTGTGTTTCTTCAACTCCCTCATAAAACAGTCTTGAACATCCGCCTCAGTACTGATATGAAATTCTGAAAGTCTATGGTAAGGAATGTCATTTTCAGTTAGTAGCCAAGAAGGAACTTCTAAATGATCGTTGATCACATTTTCCTTTACCTTATTTTGAAAGTACTGGGAAAAGAAAACAGAATCGTTTGAACCGCTGCTACTGGGAGGGCCCTTTCAAACCTGCAGCCGCAGCAAACAGCCATTCAGCCAAGATAGTCCTCGCTGCCGAAATTATTTTCAGATGCAATCAACAGAATCCTTTGGCATCCGGTTGAAACAGGATTTTTGCGGCTGAGATAGGATTTGTGATCAGTTTATTTTGTTTTCATCTAATTGGAGAACATAATCACCAATGCTTAAATATTCGGAATTGAGAGTCTAATTTGCTTCTGGTTTTTCAATTTGTTCTTGAGAAGTCAGTTGAGAATAGAGTTGCCATGAGAGGGAGTTTGATTGTTTTGAGATAGTGTTAGGTTTTCTCTTATCGAACCTTCTATATCTCGAAACATCACAAGAAGTTTTGTGACTAAATGTTACTTGACGTATCAATTTTTGTTTGTGAAAGGTAATTCCTCCAATGGTGATATGTGTATTGGATTGTTTGTTTTTGAAATTTTGCAGCATGTTGTGTGGTTGATGTGTTCTGTCTTTGAGGAAGATGCGAGTGATTCCACAAAGCTCTTTTGTTATGAACATTTGTTTGACATCATCTTCAGTCATAATCTTGTTTTTACGTGAAATCTTTGGTTTGGATTATCATTTTCGGGTTGCATTCGGAAAGAAATCACTGCTTCACATGAAGTGCAAATGACATGATCTCTTTATCATCAAATAAATTTAGAACAACAATGCTTCTGATAGCATTTTGTTCAAAAATACGAATTACTGAATTGATGTCTGATGGTGTGAATTTCATATCGGTAAGATAGTCATAGAGAAGATGAAGATCAGAATTCGTTTCGTGGATGTACGTTGATGTGGTTGTCTAGCTCCACATTTGAATTCATTTCGTTCAAGGATAACATGCCAAAGCTTGTTCGGAATTGTTGTTGTTGCTGTTATTGTTTTGCATTTTTATTGTTAAAAATTTTATTCGTTTTAAAGCCAAAAACAACCGCCAAAATCCATAAACATCCGGATTCTGGAGGATTCTGGATTTCCACAAAGTTTGGGAAGTCAGCAGGAGCTGGCAGCCGTCCTTTTCGGCTGTTTGCTGCGGCTGCAGGTTTGAAAGGGCCCTCGCTACTGGTTGGAGTTTGACCGTATTTCAGTTCAAGCTCTTTCATTTTTATTCGTTCTTTACAATCTTTTCCATTGCTATTCTTTCTTTGCTTTTAATTTCTAATTCAATCTCTAATTTTATAAGAGCAAATTCCCATTGAGGAATGGACGTTCCTGTTGGGTGCGATGAGGCACTTGAGCCCGATTCAATGCTGTTCATGATGAGTTAAGGAATTTTTTTAATACTTATTGGAATGTTTACAAAGCGGGATCTGGTTGTGGGTCGAACTGTCTTCACACACTTTATAAACGTGGTGGATATAAATTTGTAATCTGATTTTCGAGCAGAAAGGAATCATCGTTGCTTGAATTGTTACAAATATTTACACATCACCTCAAGAACAAAACGAATGGCTTTCATATTGAACTGGACAAGAAATCTTAATGACAAATTCCTTACATGGACTGTATAGCCTTAGAAATAACAATTCAGACTATTTGAAAAAAGTACTTGCCGAAGAGTACAGTATTGATTTTTTGTATTATGATTCGTCTCATAAATATGAGTCAAAGACATATTGACCATCATCAGTCATCAATAATGTCCATATCCATTCTCGTTATAAAGTTATTCCCCAACATTATTATCAGTTTCCAACACATGATCTTCCATACTGTCACCATCGAAAAGTTCAACAATTTCTTTAGAATGCCATTCGTTAGGTCTTAACACCTGTGAAGAAAGTCCAATATGTCTATTACGGTATTTTCCATTTGTTTCACACAATTCGCCAACTCTTTAAGTCTTTCAAATATATAATCTGAATTGGGGTTGTTTCTATTTAAAGAAACATTCATAAGTTCATGAATAATACATCTGGCTTTGACAAACGCTTCATAGTCTTGAGGAAGAATATAATGAAAAAAGATATTAAATTGTCGCTGTCTCAAATCAATGATGGCTTTGAGAAATATTTTCATTCCGTCAAATTTGGAAATCTTATTTTCTTACTTGGACCATATCACTGCTAATTGTTGTTATTTTGGAAGCATTAATATTCTTGAAAGTGCACAATTGGATATCATTTCTCGTTTCAAAAACCTTAATTAAGGCCATTTGCACATATTCAAGTAATCCCCTCCTGCATGTGCAAATGGCCTTAATTAAGGTTGACAATCCCACAAACAATGTCTGAACTCTGGTATGCCAATATATGGAATGATGCCCGAAATTATAATTAAACCATGTAAAGGGAACCGCGTTACTCACTCTTATTAAGGAATAGTATAAAAAAAGGGTGATGGAAAGTATTGTCAAGAGTCCTCGTCATACCAGTACCTTCCATCCTTCTTCTTCAAATATGATCCTCTCTCAACAACACCAATCACTACTGGATTCGTGTCGAACAGAAGCAGATACTCCTTATTATGAGAAAGATGCTGCTTCATCTCCTGGTTCTCTGTTGGAAGAAATTCCTTAATCAAGCCAAGTCCAGTACGACATCGATCCATACCTTTCATAATCATTTCACAATCGACAAGATCACAATTGACTACTCAAAAAAGGCCGATGGATTGCAGTTTCTATGTGTTCCTGATCATGTCAAGTCGTTGTAATGATGTTACAATTGTTCCTTTTTCCGTACATACATTAACTTAATTAGACCTTATTTACAAATTAGAGTTCTTCAATTCTTCCTTCACTCGTGCCAATAATTTACCCAATAAATTCAAGCCTCTCCAATTGTTTGGATGAGTTTCGATGGCATCCTCTTCTTACCCCAAATACAATCACGCGGATAAGCTTCAGCCAATGTTTTGTCTCCTGTCTCAAATAGTGCTTTTTTTAAATGTTCATTCTGAGTCAATTTCGCCATCAAATGTTTATACACCAATTATTCCTCACGATGTAGTCTCAAATTTTGATGACCTTCACAAGTTTTTTGCAGTTGACGGACTTGATGTCTCTAAAATTTGGGAAGCAATTTCATGGTCGTTAAACAACATGGCCTTTTCATACATCATTCCATTGTTTTGAAACTTTCATACAAATTTGAATGATAAACATTGAATCAAGGAATTGAAGAATTTCAAAAATAATATCATCAATGAATGGGCCATTTCGGTTGAACTTGTCGGAGAGAAATCATCTTTTTCAGCACTATAATTGATCGTTATTGATGAATTTTTTGCTTCAACAACATTAGTTTTAACAGATGGTGAGAGTTTTCTCTTTTTAGAGGAACAAGTATTTATCATTGGTGCGAGGAACTGATGAATCATCATACAAATTTTTTAAAGCTCGTTTTTTGTAATTTTTCACAGTGTCGTTATTGATTGGATGATTTTCATTGAAATTTCGAATTAAAGGATTCTCAAACACTTTGAATCAAAAAATAGCATTTTGACTGAATGTTCATGAGGCAGATAGTTCCAATTCAATAAAAACAAATTTTCTTCAAAAACCAAAGTCTTCATTCAAAAACAAAATGGCTCAACAACAATCACCAAAACAACAACTGAACTCGACCTCTGTTTACACCTTCCTAATCTTTGGGAGGTGTTTCAGGAGCTGTTGCAAAAACTGTGACAGCGCCCATTGAACGTGTCAAAATTATTTTGCAAACTTCGAAAACTGATCCTCGTATTTTAAGAGGTGAAATTCCACCTTATAAGGGAATTATAGATTGTTTCATTCGTGTCTCACGTGAAGAAGGTATTCTCTCGTTCTGGAATGGTAACTTTACCAATGTAATTCGTTATTTTCCAACTCAAGCATTCAATTTTGCATTCAAAGATTCCATCAAACAACTCTTCCCCAAGTTCAATCCCAAAGAAGAGTTTGGTAAATATTTCCTCGTTCAAATGGCTTCGGGAGCTATGGCTGGAGCAGGTTCCTTATGTATTGTCTATCCTCTCGATTACGCCAGAACTCGTTTGGCAGCTGACACTGGCAAGGTCAAAACTTTCAATGGTTTGACCGATTGTCTCGTAAAAACAGCGAAAGGACCTTCAGGATTTTTAGGTCTCTATCGTGGATTTGGAGTCTCTCTCGCTGGTATCATTCCTTACCGTGGTGTGTATTTTGGCTTGTATGACTCCTTCCGAGAAATGAATCCCTATAAGAATGATTATGGAATGAAAGGTGTCGTTTCGAAATTCATGGTTGCCCAAGCGACTGCACTCGCTGCTGGATATGCTTCTTATCCATTCGATACTGTTCGAAGAAGACTTCAAATGCAAGCAGAGAAGCCACGTGATCAATGGTTGTATGAAGGAACGACGGATTGTTTCAAGAAAATTGCAAGACAAGAAGGGTTCCATGCATTCTTTGATGGAGCAGCAGCCAATGCTTTCAGAACTATTGGATCTGCCTTGGTATTGGTCATGTATGATCAAATGCAGGGATTTTTTGGTGTGAATCTTGGAAGTTCCGGAAGTGAATAATGGCACTCTCAGATAAGTCATCATTTGAACTTCAAGAGTGTCTTACCATGAAGATGGCACTCGTTGGTAATAACATGGATGAAGAGAATGGGAATTTGAAAATTCTGTTCATCAAAGGTTAAATTATAACAATTTTGTAAAGAAGTAAGAGAAAATAAATTGATCGTAAGGTTGAATTTAACCATTGTAATACAAGCTCAAACAGCCTCGCAGCCTTAAAGTCCTCATTTACCGCCGACGGAAAAAATGTCTTTGAGTACCCAAAGTGGTCCGTTCAGAGAAGAAAGGTAAGGGATCTCCTTGAACTCCAACGAATATTTAACCATGTACTTTTGAACAACTGCTTCACCTTTGAATAGTCCTCCTCAAAATAACAACTACCCTGCATCAGACGGGGAACCTTGTAGGTCGATTACTGATAATTTGAGTAACTCTAACGACCATGATAGCCTGTTAATGGTTGATCGCGGAAGAAAGATACCATTATGTGAGGTATTTAATGATGAAAACGTAAAGAAGCGTAAATTGATTTGCGTGTACTCAGATGAATTAAATGATTATTTTGAAACTATCAGGTCGCTCAGAAATTCGCAACAGTGGCAAAAGATTTCCATAATGCTTTTGAAACCAGAAAATTCGCTCCTTCAAGATTGACAGAATTTCCTCTATCGAATACTGCACGCGTTTTGGAAAGACTAGACAATTTGTTGCAACAAGGAAGAGAGCAAAGCAAAGAAATATCTTCTATCAACGACAGACTTGATATGAAGGAAAAAGAAATCTCGTCTCTCAAAGAAGAAGTCATCTCTCCAAGAAGAAGTCTCAACTCTCATAGAAGAAAATTCAGCTCTCAAGGAAGAAGTCTCAACTCTAACCGAAAGAGTAGACAAATTTGAATAAAACGTATGAACGAATAGATCCATTCAAAAGAAAAATCACCAATTCAAAAGGCGATTGTTCACCTTGTTTTAAAACATTTTTGAAAAGTTTATTGAGCATTGTTTTATATAAACAATATTTATTAATTATGTAATCCCGTGTAGTCCAATGGTTAGGATACCTGGCTTTCACCCAGGAGGTCCGGGTTCGATTCCCGGCATGGGAGCTGCTTTTTGCAGTACACCTCTTTTTATTTCGGAAGGCAACGGAAAATGTTTCAGTTCCTTTCAAAAAAAGGATGGAAACACTCCCAGTTGTTCTTACTCTCGACGATCTGGTGGACCCATTCCACAATTGTCTCTCAAAAGAGGCTCTCTTTGTTGACAACATTTGGTTTTTGAAATTAATCCAGAAACAAAGGCAACAAAGTAAACTCGTCGTTTCGTTTGTCAATTCAAAGTTTAACGTGCTTGAAGAATTTCGGATCGATCCCAGGTACGCTCAGACACGAGACCTGCTTACACAACACTCCTGGATCCTTGATCCCAGAGATAGATTCTTTCTTTTGCGTGCCCTCTCCGTTAATCCTTTCATTCTAAACTTACTGAGTGATGATCTCAAAAACGATCGTGAAATTGTTCGAACTTCTGTTCAACATTTCATATACACGTTTAAAGATGCTTCTATTCGGTTACGCAAGGATCGAACCTTTGTGAAGGAACTTTTAAAACATCACTGGAAAATATACATCTATATGGATTCATCCTTAAAGTCAGATCGGGAACTCATTATGGAAGCCATTCGTCAAAGCGGAAAAGCTTTTCTATTCACTCCAACTTATATTCAATCCCAAGATAAGGAAATTGCAGCCATGGCACTCATTCAAAGTCCTTCACTTGGAATATCTTGTCATCCATTGCTGTACGACTGTGACTACATTTCACAACTAGTTCGTCGAGATGGAAGAATTTTACAATCACTTCCATTGATCTTGAAACAAAATCCTGAAATTGTTAAATTGGCCATCGAATCCAATGGAATGAATGTGAAACATGCTTCTTTAGAAATGCTCATGCAAAACCTTGAACTCATTGAATTGGCTGTAAGCAAGAATGGTCTCGCTTTGCAACATGTCACCCAACATCCAACCTTCATGCAATATTTGAAATCTCACAAGATATCAAATCAGAAACAAACAACATCCTATTTAGAGGTCATTATCGAAAAGGCATTAGAACAAAATCCAATGGCTCTCCAATATTGTCCCGATTCGTATAGATCGAACCGAGATGTTGTTTTGAATTTACTTTCTCGAAATGGAATGGTGTTGGAATTTGTCAGCTCTGAATTGCAACATGATTTGGAGGTTGTGAATACTGCTCTTCGACAAAATGCAAATTCTTTACAATTCGTTCCTTATGAAATCATTTGCAAGAATGAGAGAAGTGTTCTGAGTGCTATTATGCAACAAAACAATATTCAAGCATTGAAATATTATCCCAAAGAACGACTTTGGAGCATGTACGAGAAAATATTAAACGAAACATCATGAAGAACCATTCAATATTGAAAGTAATTGTTGTTTTCACACCCGTGATCTAGTTTGTATTGTATGAATCCTAACTATTGTAATGTTTCTAAATTGTAAACAACAAATAGAGTTTGGAATTAATTAAAGGAACCCTAATGGAAAACTAATGGGTTTGTAACTCGCCATCCATCCATCTTTTGAAAAGGATTTGTGTTTGAGGGTTTTTCTGCATATTTTATCGTCTGACTTTATTGTTAAATCTGTTCATACATGTTCCATGGCTGATTTCGAAAATGGAAACCATTGAGGCCAAATTGCAACCCTTGGTTGACAAACAGAAATTTTAGAGATTGATTCACAAGGAACGGCCTTCCAAGATCAAAAAAAAACAATCATTTCACAGGGCGTTCATTCTTTTCAACCATGACCGAATTACAGAGTTCAAATGCATTTGTGATGAGTTGTCTTCTTGCTGTGATTTTGTATTGGCTTGAAACAGTCTCACACATTCAGGCGTTACAACTATTCTCGGACGGTGTTTCAAAATTTCACATCCAACATTCCAGAACAAGGAAATATATATGGCCTCTATTCGGCTCCCAACACCCAAGTCATGCAGCTCTATCTTTTCAATCCAGTGAATGCATTTCCTTTACCTGTTGGTCCTCCTTTTTCTCAAGATCTTCAATTAGAAACTGGTTATCAAGTAGCAGATATCGATCCGAGAAATCAGTTGTTTTATATAGTGGCTCTTCGAAATGATTCCAAAGTTTTGAAAGAAGAATTACTTGGTTTGAGTTTGACGAATGGTCAAATTGTGAAAAGATCCATTCTTCATACCATATTCGGAAGAACTCAATACTTGAATGTGAATCCTTTGAATGGAGATGTGTTTGTCATTTGCAATTTGACTCCAAATATTCATTTGTTTTCGTTGTTGAAAATTTCTTTTAAGGGAGATCAATCCAATATCACAATCCTTAATCATGGATTTAGTGGAATTGGCTCTAACAATGGATTATCTGCGTTCGATTTCAAAAACAATGTACTCGTAATTTCTATTTCACTTAATCCAGAAGAGCACCCTTCTCTTGTTGCACTGGATGTAACCACAGGCCAGATATTGAAAACAGATCCAAACAAAGGTTTAATGAGCACTTAGACATTTGACGCAAGCACTGGATTCATACTTGGCATTGGTTTCGATATGGAAAGAAATCAAAGAACCATAGTGTATTTGGAGAGTAGAACTTTGCAAGTACGAAAAACAGTGTATATTGCGAAACTAAGTACTCCTGTATTGTTCTTTGGAGGTTTCTTGGATACAGTAAGATGTGTCATGTATTGTTTCATGTCCAAGCTCAATAGTTTGGAAGTGGATTTGGTAACCATTGATGTTGATACAGGAAAGGTCATTGAGGCATCTCCAGTGTTAATTCTTCCTCAAAACTTACTTGTTTATAATAATCAATAAAACGATGAGTTTGTAAAGGAACAAGTAGTGAATCAAAAGCCATTCAAAATCAATATAGATAAAAACAATGAATTGAGAGATATGGATGACTACGGCCATATCACGATGAATGCACCTCATCCCGTCCGATTTGAGAAGTTAAGCATCGTCGGGCTGCATCAGTACTGAGGTTGGAGACAACTTGGGAACCTGCAGTGCTGTAGCCTTTTTACCCTGAAAGTCAAGCTCCGCCAAAGAATTCAAAGCAAACACGATAGTTTAAATTCTCTTGATTTTATGGACGGGATGCCTGTCAGGAATATGACGACTCTCCCGCTACAACCTTTGGTTGTATGAACAGTGAGGTACAAGAAATCAGGACGATTCTTGAAGTTCTGGTTGGATTTTCAAAATACGAGATTTGACAGTTTGTTTTATGGTTTCTCAAGAGCTTGTTTTGCATCCCAATGTTTTGTGGTTTATGAATATTTGTCAGATGTGACAAGAATTGGTTTTTGATACCGTAGCACACATACACACAAAACATCAACAAATAGCGATTACAACGAAGTATGGGGGTATGACGAAAGACTATTCTAACGAAGGAAAATATTTAATCATGTTTACAGAGGAATCTATTTGAAACTGCAACTACTCATTGAATCTGAATTCAACAATGCATCTAATCCTGCAATTGTAGATCATGTCAACCAAACCTGTAGCCGGTCAAGTTTTCAACTGGTTTGTCAGGTCAAAATTTAAGGTCGTGAATCAGGGCTTCCGATGATCTCTTCTAAACACTACATTACGGTACAGATGGCTTTATTGTTATTGTGATCATCAAACCAAAGAGGAGGAAAGAATTTGGGCTTGATGATTTCTAAGGCGAAAACATTAAGGCTCTCGATGATGTAACATAATCGTATCTCGTCATCCACAACCAATACATTGCCACAGCAAAAGAAGTTTGAAATTTATATCAATATGTGAATAAATATGTTGTGGCTATTGAAAATACTATTAATATGATGACCCTTGTTAGAGTTGTCAAAATTGCATCAAACAAGACCCAGTCGTTGCTTGTATGAGGGCCTAGACAAATCCGCAGCCAGAGCCCACGCATTCTCAGCTGAAGCTTCAATTCAATGTTGAACAGTAAAAGAATTGAATTGAAGCACTTGTTCTGATCTTCATGCAATGATCGAAACACACTCTTGAGAAATCTCTTCACTTTTTGTCGTTTTTTGATACTCTTCGAATATTTCCATATCTTATCCAATTCAATCTCAACACTACAACTTACCAGGGTCGCTTAGGCCAGCTCGTGGCAAAGAAAATGATGCTGTGTTTTACAACAAATTTAACCTCGCCGCAATATTTTTTTCGCTCTCCCGCAGTGGTTTTTGATTGGCTGGAGAGCGTAGCCATCATTTTCTTTGGCGTAAGTTGTTGTGAGAACTACAAACTCACACAAAATTCCATCTTTAGATTTCGACTATTTTCAATAACATTCGAACAGAGCATGCATCCATTCGACTCTCTTTTAAAACGAGCCATTTGGAGCATTGGGATCATTGGGATAACGAAATCTTCTTCCTCCAAAAGTCTCTGAAAACCTTCCAAGAAGATTTCCTTCCTTTTTCGAAACCATCCATTGATCTTTCTAAGCGTATCTTTCAAATTGTCCATGTGTTGCTTCCTTAAAAAGACTCATCATTGAAATCGTTGATACGCATACTACACATGACGCTCAAATTAATTTTACACTTTTTAGAGTATGAATCATGAATAAGGAATTGTTCCGTGGGATTCATTGTTGAGGGAAAATGGGGTGCCGAATGTTGTTGCATGTTGCAAATTTTACTATTTAAACCATCGACCACATGTTTGCTTCTTGAATCACTCAAAAAAAAAGAAAACAATTTCAACACTCCATGATGCTGTCAATGATGACCAAAGAAATCGTCACTTGTAAAGATAGTCCCTCTCGAACTTGTGCTTGTTCTGACTTTTATGACCCTGACTCTCCATCGAATGCGATCGATTATTCTCAACTGGCCACATTTGTCTTTCCAAAATGTAAGGACGGGTCAAATACTCACTCCAACGATCAAGAGGTGTTGGAAGAAGCTGAAGATGATGTTTGCACTCTCCAAGACTTGTTTATTGAGCAGGAAGAGGAATGCTCTGTTCACTTGGAGTTAGATTTTTCATCTGAAGATGAAGACATTAATGATCTTAGTCAACAAGAAGAAGAACTCAGTTTTGATGCACCACTCGACCAATGTTCTCAAATTTCAAATAACTCGTACAAGTTTTTGACGTATTCAAAGTCGATCACAATGTATGTGACTCTTATTTTGGTTTGGCTCCAATGGATGTGCAATCAAACCATTCTCACTCTCTCCATAGCAATCTTGTTCGTGGTAATTCTCTCAATTTTTGAACATCAATTGAGGACGAATATTTCTCTTTCAAACACAAACGCTCAATTGCAAGCAATGATTCTTCAAAAAAAAGGAGCTATACGAAAAAGTTAACTCCACTGTTCGACTCCTAAAGGAAGAACTGAGACAATTTTGATTTGTGTCCTGAGTGACTGAATTTAAGGTACGACTGCAACAAGGTATCATCATTTGAAGATGATCAATGCAGCTACCATACTTGATGTTTTCAATAAAACATTATTACCATCCCTTCCAACCATTGTCAATGTTCACTCTTGATGACCACGTTATGGTGGAGAAACATTTTTCACACATTTACTCTGTAATCAATTACAAAATTGCGATACCAATAAAAATGATTCAAAAAAGATGTTGTTGTTCTTTCACACAATCTCCTGTTAACAAAAAATGTTATTGTTGTTCTTGAGCTACAAACATGTGTGCGAACAATGTCAGTTGTCAACAAATCACTGACGACCAAAATGATAGATCATTAATTATCTGAAGCTGTGTTAGAAATCAAAGTTCTCAACTGATTAATGACATCAAATTGAGCCTTGATCTTGGCATTATGTTTCTTTCTCAACTCTCTGGCCTTCTTCCACGATTCCTTCATTCTCTTAAAGTTCAATCTTTCATTCTTCAATAATTCCTTGAATTGAGCGAGTTTTGTCTCAGCTTCTTGTAATGTTTTCTGTTCAGCAGCAGAAGAGGATGATTCTGTCACTTGTTCTGTTCTTTCAATCACTTTTTCACTCTTTTCAATATACTTTTTATAAATCATTCTTGCTCGCTTATACGTTCGTTTCTTCTCAATCAATGATCGACGTAAAGTCTTGACTCGCACTCGAATTTCCTTATATTTTCTTGTCATTTGTTTCAAAAGTCTTCTCAAACGTTTTTCAACTCGATTCAAATGAGAATGAATGGCTTGAGCGTCTTGTTGAGAGACCATCACGACCGAATGATTGTTTTTAATATTAATTCCATACTTTTTAAAGAGACGAACGAGAGAGGTTTTAAATTTCCTATGACGACGACGATGATGAGTGGTTGTGGTACTTTGTTTCGTAATCACTGTTGTTGTTGTTGATTTGGTGTCTTCGGCGTTCACTGATTGACACAAAGTGACGACCATCCAACACAACACCAAAAGAGTCAACAAGAGAATGACGATGCTTGGTGTGTTTTCTCTCTTGTACATGTTGTTGTTGTTATTCTTCAAAATAACTATCGGCAGAGCCTCTTGTTTGAATTGTACTCGGCTGCTCCAGAGCGAAGAGGCTCTTGTTATTGGCTGTTGAAAATTTTTGTTTTTTTTACGGATGTTTTTGACAGGTGAAGGATACGATCTGGGTCATTGACACAGGGACAGTAATATTTCGTTAGGCAAAGCACACCAAAGTAGTTTGGATTTCGAAACTAGCTCAGAAATTAGGCATTGTCTTTGAGATTGCTGCTCGTGAGTGAATAGGGTGAGAGGCAATCAATATTCTTAGAACTGATTGAGCGTTCATGTTATGACGTCTTGCTTTGTCTTTCCCCGACCTAACAGGTAACTCCGGGGATGGACGCAATAACTTTCCATGTTTTTTTGTGAATTTGGGTTACAAATTACGAGTGTGAGAATTAGATAACAAATTTACAACAACAACCAAAAAAAAAATGCCACAACTTCACTCTGCAAATTTTCCTGTTACTGATGATGGTCGTACGTATCACTTGGACCTCGGCAAGGGTATGATCGCGAATAGAATTATAACGGTCGGTGATCTTGCTCGTGCTGAAAAGTATGCTAAATTTTTAGATACTGATTGCGAGATTACTCGTCATCAGTCTGCTAGAGGATTTTATGCAGTAACGGGCAAGTATAAAGGAACTCCAGTTTCAATCATTGGTATTGGAATGGGATTCCCAATGATGGATTTTATGATGAGAGAGGCTTTGTTTTGTTTTCCAACTGGTTCAACGGTAGCCATTTTGAGATTGGGTACATGCGGAACACCAGATGAATCTGTTGAAACTGGTGATTTTGTGATTGCAGAAGATTCCATTTCAGTGTATCGCAACCCTGATTATTTTACTTTGAAATTAGAAGGACAAAGTACTGAAGGTGTGCAACCATACATTTTCACTCTCCCTGTCAAGTCTAACTCTCAATTCCAAGATGAACTTGAAAAAGCATTCCAACAACTCGAGCTCCCATTCCATCGTGGAAGAAATGCATCAGGAGATTCATTCTATAGCAGTCAAGGAAGAAGAGATGACAATTTTGATGATGACAATGATTTTATTGAAGGAAAATTGCAGTCATTGAACGTGAAAGCAATTGAAATGGAATCTTTCCATTTGCTCGATTTGGCCCGATGCTCAAAAACCATCACCGTCAAGGCTTGTGCTGCCACTCTCGTATTAGCTCAACGAGTTAAAAATGTATTCATTGATGTAAATTTGAAACATAGCAGAGAAGAACTCATGGGCAAAGTTGGCCTTGAGGCTATTGTCAACTTGCAATTGTAGACTACCTCTTGTTGTTGTTCATCACAAAGAATTACTAAAAAAAATAAAACATGTTTAAATATGAAGGGAATTTATTTCAGTTTGTTCAAAGAATTTGATTAGGGATATTTCGTTCAATTATCATCAAGAGAAATTATCGTTTAGTAATAAATAATAATTTACAATTTTAACACAGCATCCGTGAAATACAAGGGATCATCATCTTTAAAATTATCGAAATGCATACTTCTTTTTTCTATTTTGACTTTCTCTGGTCCTTCTATATGCTTCACGTAAATGCTTAGGCTCAATGGGTGCATTCACATCATCTCCCCATTCTTTCTGAATTGATTTTGCCAATTCTACCATTTCTCCAACAAAAACTTTGGCAATACCAGCAATAATAATTTCGGCATGCTTGTTTGCAGTGACGTTGGTAGATCCACTGATCAATCGTTTCACCACAGGCTTAAAAGTACTCCTAATAAAGCATTCATATCTTTCATATTGAGGATGATCAGCACTTGAAAGTTGAGCAATTAGTCGCTCTTTCTTCTCGCTCTCACGTTTTTCCTTTAATTTGCGAAGTCTTCTCTTTCTTTTTTTAATTGATGATGCCACGGAAGCAGATACTCCAAAATTTGCAATTTCTTCATCATCATCTTCAGGACCTAGATACATGTCACCTCTTCTCATCATATGATCACCTCCGTATTCATCTTCGCTAATTTCACTTCCTCCGCTATCACTTCTTGACTCTTCATCGTCTTCATAATTATTTTGCCTGTTCATTTCATTATTTTGTCGAATATTATCCTCATCATCGAATTGATTGTATCGGAAGGTTGTTGTGCCCAAATCTTGGGCAGAGAATGTGGAAGGCAATGAAAATGTTTCGCTCATTTTTTTTTTGCTTATTTCTTCATTTAAACATAAGTACAAGTCTTGAAGATCGAATGTCAGAAGAGAAAGCAAAGAGTATTTAATTTTTCACTTTTTTATTTTGTTTTTCGCACCACGTGCTTTCTCACTACAGAACCTACTCTTGAGAAGAGGCCAATTTGATCTTTTCATATCGCTTATCATCAATGGCCTTTTTCATGATGCCAAAAGGTGAAAAGTCGTCACCTTCCAAAACTGCCTTCATAATGCTTGGTGAGAAGCCTGAAATCATTGCAACTCCTTGCTCGTAGGCATCATTGGAGACAAAATCCCTGGAATTACCATTCACATTCCAAAAGACAATTCTTGGCATTTCATAGCCAGCTTGCTGGTACAGATTCTTCATGTAATCAAAGTTCGTCATGCTTGAACCGGCAGCACTAGCAAACTGCATGTCACTAATGACATACATGGTGGTTGGCATCTCTTCCTGGGTGAGTTTGTTCTTCTTTGCTTCAGTGAGAATCATCTCAAAGACTTTGTAAAAGTTGGTACTCATACCCCAAGGCATGCGCATAATTTCTTGAACTCTTTCGTGAAGAGTAGTAGAGGTGATATTGATGAGTTGAGGATCTTCATGGAAGGTAATCAATCGACCCTTAAATGGAGGCATGCTGAGGTGTGAAACGAGCAAACCAATACTGATACAAACTTGCATTGGAAGTCCACTCATGGAGCCAGAGACGTCGCAAACAGCGAGTGCATGATCCATTGTACCCAACTTCTCAACTCTCTTCACAATTTCCTTCCATTGCTCTTCAAGAATGGTATCAGTGTCTTGAGAGGTACTTCTATGCATGAATTGAGCAACAATTTCATGAGGCTCTACAGTAGAGGCATTGACTTTGACTTCACCCTTTCGCAACTTGCTCATATACTCCTCAAATCTTTCCTTATCGTGCTTGATGAAAGCCTTCTTCAGTTTGTTCATGGCAACACCAGGAACCTTGCTATATTCAATTTCTTCCCACTTCTTCAAACACATCATTCGTTCCACTACTTTGATATATTCACGAAGAGGAGAAATGTAACTCTTTCTATACTCGGCCTTCTTGATTCCCAACTCTTTGCAAATCAACTTTACAGCCGAGTACTTTTTATCGTGTTTGCAATGTTCAGAGGGTGCCCATTTGGCACAGAGGGTAACTGGTTTACCGTCGTGCATGGCTTTGAAATCTTCCTGTAATTGAGTAGCGAACATCTTGGCGATGGTAGGACCAATCATTCCCTTCTCATTGTTGATATGTCGCAGCAAGTCTTCCCATCGTCCATATTCTGGTAAGAGTTGCAAATTGCAGAGAACATCTTCTGGATGATGATCAATGAGCCAGTTGAAAGCCAAATGGAAGAGATCACGTTCTCCTTTACCTCCTCGACAATCTCTCATGTAAAACACGAGTTTGAGAGTATCTAAAGCGTTTTCCTTCCATGACGCCTCTAGTAATTGATACAAAAAGCTCTCTTCTAAACCTCTCACGGTTTTGAAGAATAGATCAAGTCGAGCTGATCCAGTGGTGGAGTGCGAAGGAGCACACTGCTTGGTAGTGATCATGATGATGATGATGATTAATGTGTGTTTTTTTGAACGTGATGAAAAATTGAGTTTTTAAATCGTTTCTGAAACGTTCAGGTTTAAAATAGACGCAGCGTGAAGGTGCAATTTTCAACAGCTACGTTCACGAGTTCAAAGAAAATTTTGCATTCTTCATATTTTTGATTGGCTTTCAGAGATGATGGGAATTCACAACTTCTTCAACTCTGGTCAATGAAGAATATTTAGATGAACACGATGAAAGGTAAAGACCATTCACGGAAATAATCACAAAAAAATGTTCATACGATCCACGAAACACTGCCCATTCCGATCCTTTCCACTGCTGGTAAGAATATCACAACGTGATCACTTTAGCTTGGACCTTCAACAATCATCAAAAAGAAATTACTCTCTTAATACAATCACAACATCCTCAGCAAGCAATGTTCTTCTCCGAAAATTGTTTTATTCGAGGGAGAAAATATCATGACGAGTAAACATAAATTATGTGATCGATTGAAAAAAGTTGGCTATTCTGTAAATTTCATGACACCACATAATAATTCATTATTTGCAGGAGAGTTGTTACATAATACGGCGGATGCAGAGGAATTGTTTTCTACATCTTTAATTCAACATTTTCTAGTGAATTATTATGGGCATTTAAACAAATTTTTAGAGCATCCCGAGAAATTCTTTAATGATAAGGGAATTAAGAACAATGTTGTATTTTGTGATGTAAGTGTGGGTCAATACTTGTAGCAGTTCCTAACATCGTTGGAATTATTTGCAAAATCCTAAATTGACCATTCATTGAAACGATCAATTCGAATGACAACTGTTTACTGTATAATGCCACCATTCAAATAGGCCACTCCATTATATCCTCTAATTTATGATCCGAATATTGAGAGTGAAGTTCAAAATTCCAATAACAAAGTTGGAGATCTTTTCAAACAAACACTTCAAATAATGAAAGAAAAAAATGTTCTTGTCATGCAACTTTCAGCCGACAGACACGAAAGCGCCTATCGACTTGGAAATCACAAATACTTTTATACCGAGGATTGGTCAGATAACCAAGAAAAACAAATTGAATACGATCCAACGACCATTCACATCAAAAACAAACCTGTAGAACCGCTTTCAACTTCACAATATGATGGAAAATTTCATTACTTTAATGGTAAATATTTAAAGGACGAATTTGAAATTGTGGACTTTGTCTATCACAAATTCAATCAATTGGCCTCTACTGTCTATGGAAACAATGGCATTGAGGTTAGACCGTTGGAAACTACTGACACACAACAAGCTTGCTGCCTTCTTCTCGAAAATCATTTAAAAATCAAATTCACACTGCCCTTCTCAAAAATGTCTCTGTAAAAGCTGGATGTACTGTCAACAAGACGACTCGATCAACATACCATAACATGGTTAAGAGAATGTCATGCAATTGAGTTGATATTAAGCAAGCAACATGTAGCCTTGGCCCAACAAACAAGGTTGACCTTTTATTAATTAAAAAATGTCTTCTCATCGATTTCGCACTCTCATCATCAATGCCACTCAACTTGTTTGCATTTCTTCCAACAAGAATGTTACTCTGTTGAAAGGATCCGAACAAAATATTATTGAAATTATATCGAATGGAGCCATGATTATTGGACAGGATGGCAACATTGCTCATATCGGAACCACGGAGGAAATTCAACAATTAATTACTCAAATGATCTCCTCCTCATCATCCAATCATCATAATATTACACTCTCAGATCTCTTTGAAACCGTACTCGATTGTACCGGAAAGAGCGTCATTCCAGGCTTAGTGGACTCCCATACTCATCCCGTCTGGAGTGGAGATCGTTGCCATGAATTTGTCATGAAATTACAGGAGCCACCTATATGGACATCCACAAGATGGGAGGAGGTATTGGTTATACGGTGAAACACACCCGTGAATCGTCCGAAGAAGAATTATTCCAATTGTTGGTTCAGAGAGCTCGTAAAATGTTACGAAACGGTACCACATTGATGGAAGGAAAATCAGGTTATGGTCTTGAAACAGAAACGGAAGTGAAAATGTTGCGAGTCTTGCATCAGGCCAATAAGAAACATTTGGATTTGAATCTCCCAGAAATTGTTTCCAATTATTTGGGAGCTCATTCAGTTCCGAAAACCACAAATTTACACGATTACACTCGACAAATTATTGAGGAACAAATTCCAGCACTTGCTGAAATGATTAAGAAGGATGAAATTGGACCAAGTTTGATTGATGTCTTTCACGAAAAGGGAGTTTTTGAAACGGAGGAAACGAGACGTGTTCTTTTGGAAGGAAAAGAAAAATTGGGACTTGGCATTAATTTCCATGGAGATGAATTGAATCCGATGGGAAGTGCAGAATTGGCGTATGAATTGAATGCATTGGCTGTTTCTCATTGTGAACATGTGAGTGATAAGGGTATTGAATTGATGGCTGAGAAGAATATTTGTGCTACACTGTTACCTACGACAGCTTATATTTTGAGAATTGCCTATCCACCTGCAAGAAAGATGATTGAGAAGGGAGTTCCTGTCGTATTGTCTACTGATTTTAATCCAAATGCTCATTGCATGTCTTTACCTTTTGTGATGCATTTGAGTTGTGTGAATATGAGAATGACTTTGAATGAAGCACTTGTGGCTTGTACATTGAATGCTGCTGCATCGATTGGAAAGGCCAATACACATGGTAGCTTGGCTGTTGGAAAGAGAGGAGATTGTGTCATTATTAACCATTCCAATTGGGAACATTTAATTTATGAATTGTGTGACTCACCAATTTTACACGTAGTTTTGAATGGAAAAGTTGTTTACACAAATCAACAACTTTAGGGATGAATAAATATCATTAATTTATTGAATTGGGGAATATTTGCATTAAATATTTAATGTAAAAAAATGGGCAACTCTGCTGTAACAAGGGGTAAGCATAAATTCACTCGGTTGGAAAGAAATTGATTGAACCATCGGATTAAAGAAAAACAAAGCGACGATCCGTGCCACAAGCTTGCATGTAGGTGTTAATATTCGGAATATCTAAAACTAATTTTGATGGCAAACATTTTGACACTCGGAATAGGTAAAATACAGACTTGTCTCACCAATAATAATTTCAATCAGAATAAATGTGATGAGGAAATGAAAGCATATAATGATTGCGTGAAAAAGTTTGCAGAAAAGAAAAAACTAGAACAATTACAATCACAAAAATAATTAATTTTTCAATAATGCATTAACAACAGAACACAATTTTCTTAACCAAAGCCAATATCACTAGAGCCACGACTGCTGAACACCAAATCTTGGTAATAAAACTAGTTCTTGTAGAAAACAATTCTAATCCATCCACAACTGCTTTGAAACCTTTCATTACAATCGAATATGCAAAATCAAGATATGTCCCTCCAGCCATTTCTGAAGGGTTATTGATTTGTTGAATATCAACTCCAGACGAAGAGTGGGAACTGGTCTGGATGAGATGTGACACAACTTTCTCATCGTGGCTTTCGAGAACTTGAATGTAATGCAGACATCGAGAATTGTGAATCAAGTGGCCAGTAGCGTTTTTAGCAGTTAATTGGCTCGCTTGGTCACCATAGCCAGGAATTAATCTAAGGAGCAACGATTTGATTTCTAGCTCAAATTGCTTACTAACTGGAAGTTCATACCAAATACATTCATGTTTGTATCGTTCTTCGTAGGCAGATTTTGTGACTTTAGCCAAATGTGAAGAAGCATTTACGTGAATGCCAAATGTCATTTGTTGCTTCTCGGTCAAGTCGTACGCCACATTAAGTGTAAACATGATACTACAATACAGTATGAGGGTAATTAAGGTCTTGTGAGTGATGGTGAACCCATCTTTCACGAGTGAGGTCAACCACAAACTAAACATGATACCGCTCATTACTCTGTACCAAAAAAGTAAGTTGTTGGTACTATAAAACTCTACTATTTGTACCAAAAGTTGATTGATGATAGGTTCTTCAAGAGGTGTATCCTCGGGCTGTCCCTCAGTGATAGTAGGAGTGGTACTCGCTCGTTCTTGCTCTCTTAGCTTTTTTAAATATTCAACAAGTTTTGCTTTTTGTTCTTCATAGAGATTGAGATGTTCCATCGACTGATTTCTAATATGGGCAATTTGGCTCTGCAATTTAATGACCTCTTTGAGTCTGTATTCTGCTTTTTCTTTCTTGGAGTTGGAGTAGTAATAAAGGGCGTAGTTAATTCCAGCAACTGCACCACTAATAATACCTCCTGCATGTCCAGCCAACATAACTGGAGCTAGTGGAGGAAATATGAGAGTAGAAATTGTACTTAGTGCAAAGCACGAGGCACCAACTACCATGTTGGTCTTTGATCTTTCGACGCTTCCTTTGAAGAAGTCAGAGTCCTTTTGAATCTGACTTTTGAGAGTGTTCATTTCTTCATTGAGTTTCTCGATTTCATTCTGAACAGATTCTTGCAATTTCTTGAATTTGTTGGTAAGTGCAAGGAAATTTTTATCAAAGCTGTCGTTCAAAAGAGATTGGTCAACAAGCAGCATGAGAGATTTTGAGGTTGTTTGGGTGAATCTTTCTTGGGTGATGATAAGATTCGACATATGTTCAAGAATGGAAATCATTTCATCCAACTTTTTGTGAATTTCTGTTTGATCCCTCTTGAAACCAGCTAATTGTTCGGCAGAGTGATAGAAAATATCCTCATAAATCCACAGCTCATACAATAATTTAACTGTTTGAGCAGATGATGCAACAATGAGAGACCACTTTGTGACCGTACAAATATTTTTCCATGAAAAGAATAATCCCATTCTCTTTTCCAATAAATACTTTACGGCTTCAGCTTTAGCAACTAGATTTTCCTTGTTGGTAATAAATACTTCAGCAGCAGGTTCGGCACCAGATGCTACATGTTTGATTGTGTCCGAGCCTCCATTAGAAATAAAACTAGTAAGACCCGTCCACATTTTGTTTATATTCTCTGAAAAGGCTTTGTTGTGATTGTAAGCAAGTTGGCCTAAAGTTAAAGCCAAAACTACGGCACTCTCTGGTGTAATATTGATTGTAGATTGTTGATTATTGTTCGTTCGATTTTCATCATCAGTATTTGTTTCCGATGCATCTATTGTTGCTGCATTTTGGTTTATCGTGATTAAATTATTAGATGATCCATAACAATTGATCCAAACCATTCCTCGTGATGATAATATACTAATAATCGTTATCAGCACAAGTAGTTGGTACCCGAGTGTGGGTTGGCGCAGAGGTTGATGAAAGCCATTCCCGATCGAAAGACTTTTATTCGAAGATGATGAATTTTTCCTCTTGTGTATCATTTTTTTTGAAGCTCAAGCTGCATTCATCTGTTGTATGATGTTGGTCACTTGCTTTCCTTGGCAAAGAGACTGATTCCTGTATGAGCCATGTTTACTGCAAACTACGGTTGTTAAATCCAAACGTCCTTGGGACGTCAATGATTTGATGTATATTATTACCAACATGTTTTTCGGGACAATTGAATAGCCCACTTGATGGTTCCCGCATGTTCATCAAAGGTAGTCCTCCCACCAACAAGTGTTACAATTATTAAACGATCATACTTTTTTGTATGTATATGGACGTCAAGAATGTACATTAAGAGATCCAATGAGAACGTTCCATTTGTCGTATTCAAAAAAAACAAATGAAAGTTATTGCTCTTCCCAAAGTATTGATTGCTGTGGTCTTGTTGTCCATTTTGGCCTTGACATGCATGCCATCTGCTGCACATGCAAGAATGCCTCTCCTCCACAAACGTGATATTCGTCGTGTCTTGAGAGAAGTCTTCCAAGAATTGAGTAATGAATTTGCTTCAACCACCACCACCACATTGAGTGATGTCGACATGTCTGCAACAACTTCCAACAATGAAATCCCATGTCCACCAGCCATGTTCAGAGCTGATAAAGATGTTGACTCCTTCTTGACTACTCTTCAATCTCAAAAGTGTTTGGATGAGAAATTGGTTGCATTGGAAACTTTTATTGCTGCATCTGCTCTTCCATTCTCTTCTCAACAAGCATTGAAGATAATTGCCGTGTTCAACAAGTTTGATTTTGTGAGAAAGCATGTAACTCAAACCTTGTTGTTGAGAGTGGTTGAATTGCAATCATCAGAAGCCATCTCATTGATTAAGAGTATTACTGAAAATGGTGCAGAGAGATTGAAGATTTTGGATACCATCAAATCCAACATCAAGGATTTACAAGCCAACAAGGCAACCGTTGTGTCTTCATTGTTCACTGAGGAATCACTCAAAACTCAAGCCAATACCATGTTAAATAACGTCAAGCCATTCGATTGTGTGTTTGGTTCAGTGAGTGGTGATCGTCTCGTTTTCACTTTGGACATCTCTCCATCCATGACCATCAAAGTGTCCAAAGATTCTCAAGTCACTCGTCTCGATTTTGCCAAGCAACACTTGATTCAAACTCTTCAAACATTGAGACCAGAACAACAATTTGAAATTGTCTACTTTTGTGAGAAGAGCACACAAGTCTTTGGAGCCTTTGTCCCTGCATCCACTGAAAAGATCAATTATGCCATTAAACATTTGCAGTCAGTCAAGGATTGTGGATCTACCAATATCGAAGCAGGTATGAAATCATCATTCCAACTGATCAAATCGGCTGTGACTGGAACGAATTCCGTTTACCTCTTGTCCGATGGTATTCCAACTGCTGGTGTTACTGATGTGAAACAACTCGTTAGTATGGTCAAACAATGGTCTGAGCAAAGTAATGTTAAAGTCAATACCATTTCGCTTTCATTAGGTAACGGCGTTGGCAATTTATTTGAGAGTGATGCAGATAAGGAAAGTGCTGCACATGTGATGAGTCAAATTGCATTCGTTACTGGAGGTACCTACAAGAGACTTCAAAGCAATTAATGTGTTTGCTCAATGAGAGAGAAGCATCTAGTAAATGTTAAATAAATACATTAGATACTCGGGTGAGGCTTCTTGCAACGTTCAATAAAAATTTCGAAAAAAAATGTCATCAGCAGAGGATTATTTATCGTCGCTCAAAGATAAAGCCGAAGAAGAAGAACATGAAGAGGAAGGCTTTGAAGACAATGTTGAAGAGAATGGCCAAGAGGAGTCGGAATTGGTTGAAAACGATGATCACATGGATGGTGTTGAGGAGCATCAAGAGGGTTCTTCCTCTTCTCTGACTGAAGAAGAAAGATTAGAATTTTGAGAGAACAAATGGGAGAAGAATATGTTCTAGATGATGATAGTGCAAAGACCCAACAAAAAAAACAGCAACACTACACACAAGAAGAAATTAGGAATTTGACAGACACCAAGAATTTATTTCAGTCTCCACTTTTTCGTTTTTCGGTAAGTAGTTAGTCATGAATAATCATTGCCTCATCGCTCAATTGTTATTATTCACATGGAACTAATTGGCCTATATTATGATTCAACAAATATATTGACTTTCATCACATAGTTTGCAGAAGTATTGAAAAAAGCCTCGTTGAATTGGAAAAAGTGTACCAAAATTGAGGATGCATTGAGGAGTTTGAAAGAAATTCTAGACTCTATTTCTCAGTATAAGGCCCAACATTTGAATGACATTTATTCTTCAAAGTTTATTGCAATTTCGGATAAGACTAAAAAACTGGCTTGCAATGCTCCACAAAGTATTGCAATTGTTGGCTCTTATTTACTTCGAACAATTGCAAAGCCATATAAAAATATTGACGTTGCAGTTACTATGCCTAAGGTTAGTTGTTAACACAATTTTCACATACGCTGATTTTGAAATTATGCCACTAATAGGGATTTATCACATCTAAGGACTATGGAAAAACATATTTTGAAAAGAGAGCTTGGTATCTATGTGCTATGGCAGAACACTTAAAGAAAAATGAAATCTTCTCACAATTAGAAATTATTCCTTTCAGAGGAGACTACTGGAAGCCAATTATTGTTTCAAATGTGAAAATTGGCAAAAATTATTTCAAAATCAGAATTATGCCATCGATCACTACTGATATTTTTGCTAAAAGTTTAAAACCAGAGAATATTGTTGAGTATCACAGAATTGCTGAAGACCAATTCTTCCATAAACACTTAGAGATGTTACACAACGAAATGAAAGATTGCCCAGTTTTGGTAGAGACAGCAATCTTATTGCGTGTTTGGGCAAGAAATAGAAATATTTACCAGGCAGATGACAGTTTGAACGGGTTTTTACTTTCCATGCTTATTTTGTATTTATTATCTCAAAAGAAAATTAACAAGACAATGAGCTCCTTCCAAATGATCAAATTATTGATGAACTGGATTGTTAAATCGAATGACCAAGTGGCTAAGGGATTATCCTTCTCTCCAAACCAGTGGATCCCGTTTTTGTCAAATCTTTTAATGTGGCATTGGTTGACAAGGAAGGAGATTTCAACATTTTCCATAGAGTTTCACAAAATGCATGGAACGAATTGAAATCAGAAGCAAAATTGACTTTGGCGCAAATGAAAGATGAAACAAGTGTAAAGTCCGTGGAGCTACTTTTCCTTACAAAGCACACATTTTGGCACAAATTCGATGCTATTCTCAATGTGAGCATACCTAATTCATTTAAGCATGACAGCGAGGTTTCTACAAAGGAAAAAATTACTTCTACACTAAATACGGCACTCGAAGGAAGAGTAAAGTATTTACGAGTTGTAGGAAGTGATGAGGACAAGGTATTTGTTGGACTAATATTTACCAAAAATTGGTTTGAGCCTCTTATTAAGGGTCCTTCTCCACACAATAAGGAAAAAACTGAAGCATTTAAGACATTTTGGGGCAAGAAGGCATTCATGAAGGACTTTAGTGATGGATCTCTTAGTATTTGCACGGAATGGCAAGTAGGTGAGGACGAACGTTCAGTGAAAGCCATCGAGCGTATTGCAAACTATGTGTTGAAAAAACATCTAGATAAGAATGTCGATTGTTCAGTATCAGCATCGGATATTTATTCATTGATGAAGATTTCCAAAGTTGAATCTCAAACAGCCAATTCTGAAATGAGAGAAGCTTTTGAAAAGTTGGAGTCCATAATTATGGACACAGATATTCACCTGATACCAGAGAATATTTGTGTGATTTCACCTGAATTCTATGAAGTGGCCATTACTTCACCAAAGGCAACGAATCCATTGTTGACCGTGTTGCAATTTAGAAGCAATGCAAGATGGCCAGATAATATCGAGGCTTTGGACAAGCTGAAACAACTGATTTATCTTAAATATAGCGAAACGTAAGTAGTTATGAAGTCAAACCGATAATAATACTGACAATCACGGGTGCCACAATTGACACAATGTTGAAATCTGAATATGTTACAGATTGAAATTAAAAACAACACCAACAAGAAGATGGATAGATATCGTTTGTAATGGATTCACATTCCGTGTAGTAGTCTTTGTTTCAAAGGAAATTAATCTTATTAAGAGATCAGGACGTAAGTACAAGATTGAGATGGCATTGTATCACATTTATTGAACTGGTTTTTTGATAATTGATCAGAGGCCCTCAATCCCAATGTGCACGAGTTGGAAAAAACACTTAACATCCTTCCTTTACATTGTAAATACTCTGGAATTTTCGACAACACCTTTAAGGAGTATGCAGAGACTGTGAGATTGGCTAAATCATGGATCAACACTCATTTCATGTCCGACTATTTGGAAGATAGCGTTGTGGAATTGTTATGTATGCACGTCTATACGGATGTATATTCCCCTTACAAAGCCCCAAAAACAGCTATTTGTGCTTTTTTCAGATTTTTAAGTTTATTGTGTAGTCATTCATGGTTTGATACACCTCTTTTTGTAAACACCTCAATTGGTGATTCAGATGTAGAGAGTACTCAACGAGAATTCTCGAGACGGTCAGAGGAATACGAAAAATTAGATACCAAACCAAGCATGTATATTGTTGCTTCCTATAATTTGGATTATGTATGGACGAAAAAGAATCCACCAGCTATTGTAAGTTTACATTTGTGATATTATTTCCTGAATTTTTCTAACTACACGTACTTGGCGCTATGGAAACCATTGCTCTTTTTTCAACAACACTAGATTGTTCACCGAATGGTTCAATTTGCTAAAAACACAGAAATTGAATTGAACGAATATATTCTCTCACCTGTGACATCCTCTCTGCCCTCACTCTTTACAAGTACAGACATGGATGGATACGATCTCATCATCAAACTCAAGAGTGAACAAGAAATTAGAAGCAGCCACACATCATACTACCCACTGGATTCAACCCCTACGATTTGTTTTATAGGGATCTCAAAGAACGTTTCTCTCGATTTGGTTTATTCTTCAAGGATGTTCACAATAACATGATTACTTTTGCCATGAACCCCAATGTATTACAGCCTCAACAAGCTTCCATCACCAATACCTGGTGTATGAAACCATTGTTGTTGCAGTCAAGTAATAACAAGAATGAAACAAACTCATCATCCTCAAAGAATACATCACCCTCTGCCACGAATACCTTCAACAAACTCCAATTCAACATGGAACAATTCATTTTCGAGTTGGAACAGCTCGGAAAGGGCATCATTCACTCCATCAAAGCCAACAATGACTCTTTGGCGCCCTACTTTGCCACAACCGAAAAGCAACAACCGACATCGGCTGATTCAACCCATAAGCGAAAGTTTGTAGAAAACGATGGTGGACAGAAGAAGAGCAAAGACCATCGTAGTAGCAGTAGCATTGGTACTGATGTTGTTGTTAGTATCTCTCAACCAAAATCCAAAAATATCCAAAACAAGAATGACATAGATGCATCGAACAAGAAGAAGAAGCCCAAGCTTAAATAATGTTGATCTGGTGTTGAGCCTCACTTCTCTGAAGTGTACATTTCATACCACGCATTAATGTTGTTGAGGTCCAATGACAAGACATCACTACTTCCAACCCGCTGCATCAAGAAACGGTTGTGTGGGCATGCCCTGTCGAGAGAGAGACTCTGATTACCTTCACGTACGCGACCCATCATCATTATTTACAACTCGACCATCTACAAAAACTACAGTTGGTGGTTTAAATATTTGGCGCTAAACCAAAGACGTTTCACAAAAATAATTACATTAAAAAAATAAGGCTCATACATCAGAGAGAATGGATCAAGATTCATTCATGTTTGATGCTACCCCAAAACGTCGAACGACCTTTACGCCCCGTGAAGGAAATCGTTCATCACTGACCATAAACACCAACAGTACTAAGGGACGAATGACGGAAAGTGTTTCAAGTCCAACTTCATCCCTTAAGGAATCACCAATCAGATCGAATTCATACTACAAAACTCCTAAGAGAAGGTCCAGCAGCACTACTAAGAGGCAAAGTGTCGTTATGGAAGATGAGAGAGAGGCTGACGATTTTGCAAAATTTCTAAGCCCAACCGGAGAGAAGTTTTACCGAAAGCTTTCCGAAGAGGCTGAGATGCAGCAACCACAATCAATCGATACAGACGAGGAAGAAGTAGACTTTAAAGAATTCCAAAAACTTCTAGAGAAGAGTAAACTGAATGTCGAGAGAGGTGAAGATGATGATTCAGTTAGACTCCTAAGACAACAACTCACTCAAGTACAGCAAATCAAATATGAGAACCAAAAGAAGCAAAAACTCATAAGTGATTTGCAAAGACAAGTCGATGACTTGTTACAAACTAGAGATGAGGGTATTCAATTGCGAAACGAGATTAATATTTTGAGAGAACGAGTAAGAGCTAAAGATGAAGAGTTGAAGAGGCTTGAGATTGAATCGAATGATCGTATTACCACACAAAAGGGAGTGGAGAAACAGCTAAGAGATGAATTGCTTCAACTCCAGCAAGTTCTTACCGAAGAGAAGACCAAAAGAGACGCAGAATCGTCTCAATTCAAGAAGGAAATCGATCAAGCAAGAGAAGAAGTTGCCATTTCCGAGATTAAGAGAGGTGAGCTTGAAAAGGAATTGGCAGATCTATCTATTTCTTTGAAAGAACAGCAGGAGCTGCAAGATAAGAGAAATAAGGGTCAAAAAGAGCTTGCAGAGAAGCTCCAAGAGCAAATCGAAATTCTTCTCAATTCTCGATCCGAGCTTACAGATAAACTCAACGAGTCAGACAACAAGCTTAAAAAGAGTCAAAAGTCGATCGAAGATAGAGACTTGGAAATTGACAAACTCAAGAGAAAGATCGATAGACTTGAGCAAGAAAAGCACGAACAAAACCTTACTTTGAACCAACTCCAAAACAACATTATCAACCTGCAAGATAAGGTATCAGAGCTCCATGTTGAAGAGAATTTAGTTGAAGATCTAAAGAAGGATTTAAGTATCATACCAGAGCTTAGAAACGAAATTACTTCCACCAGAAAGAAGCTAGAAGAAACTCAAAACCAATTGGACAAAGAGAATCACAGTAAGCAATTAGTTACTGAAGAGTTGAGAAAGATGAGCGAGATTAATGATAATCTCGAATTGTACATTGCTGATCTCAAGGATGAGAATGACTCTCTAAAGGACAAGATCGACGAACTCTCTAAGGTTAAGGCTGAAAATGATTTCCTTCAAAGAGAACTTGCTCATTACAAGGAGACCACCGAAAGATTGACTGATCAATATAACGCCACTGTTCAGCAACGAGATCTCAAGGAGAGCGAAATTACTCAGCTCATGGAGCTTTGGCCAGTGAGTTCTATGCCTTGATGAAGACTATAGAACATGTCATGGAAGGACACGAGTACAACAGAACAGAAGATGACTCCCAAATCAGCAAGAAAGGTATCGAGTCGGTCAAGCCAAACTACAAGGGACTCAGAACAAAGGTTATGGATTGTTTGGATGAACTTATTCTTTCCAGAGACAAGAATAGAATTTTACAAGACGAGCTTGATGGATTGTCGAGCAATTTCCAAAATCTTAATCATGACCACTCTGACACCTACAAGGAGCTGATCAACTTGAAGAAGCAACTTTCTGACAGTGAGAAGGTTTGTAGAGCTCTCAAGGAACAAAAGCAAGAACTTGAAGATAGCGTCAATGAGTTGGAAGAGCTCTTAGACAATCACCAAGAAGAAGAGAAGAACAGATTGAGATTTGTCTACTCATTGTATAAATTGTTGAAGGAGACTCCAACCAATGACAAGAGAAATGGATCACCTCTGAGAGGCAGATCACAACCAATGGAGAACGATGAACCTATTAGCTGGGAGACCTTCCAATCTTTATTCTCTGAGCAAGTTACGACTCACCTCGTAGAAAGAGAATCCTTGAAGAAGGAAGTTGCTGCTCAAAAGGAAAAGCTCAACGATCAAGCTCAAAAACTTGATGAAGCCTTCAAGACCATTAAGAGCATAACAGAAAAGTATGAATCTGAAAAGAATGAATTACAAAAGAAGAGTCAAAATGAGCTCGACGAGCAACGAAACAAGTTTGAACACCAAATCGAAATGCTCGAGATTGACTACTCTGAAAAGATTAAGGAGCTAGAGGACACCCTCCGTGAATTACAAGAACAATTCTCTGAACTTCTGGCAAGTTGAAGAAGTCAACCATGATTGTTGAAGTTCTGAAGACCGAGCTCAGAGACTCTCAACTAGAACAAGGAAAGATGCACTCCGCTTTGAAACTGCTTGCCAGAGGTTTGAGACCAATGAAGAACAGAATTGATGATCTCAAGATGCACAAATCAATTCTTAAGGCTCAACTCAAGCAATATGACAGATTGTTGAGAGGTGTTTATGAAACAGTCAAATCATTATCTAATGAATTTGAAATTGTACATGAATTTGAGTTCCCAAGGAATTCTCCACAGAGAAGACCAAGACATCTTTCAGAGCAGCTGTCATTGCTGTTATCATTGGCAACAGATTCAACAAGATGCTCAAAGAAAAGAGAGAGGAAAAGGAAGCCAACACGCTTTACTATACAGTGGGTGGAGACAAATTGGCATTGTTGTCAGCTGATGCAATCAATGAAAACAAAGAATTCCAGATTTCCAGCGACGAATATAAGGGAGCAGTTCATACTTACCTCCAACTCGTGAATCATCTTGACCCTCAATTTGAAGAGCAGAAAGAAGACTACTCCATGATCCGAGGCTTGCAAGATGGCCTCTCTTCAAGCATCAATAGACATATTATCACTGGATACAGATTCAATGCTTCTGAAGCTTTGTCAACTCCAATCAAAAAGCAAGCCAAAAGCATTGTTCACCAAAGCCCACAAAAGAGAGGTTTGAATGTTGTTCAACAAACAACAATTGGAGTTGTCAAGGCCCTTAGAGAGTTGAAGGCTGAAAAGACAGGACTTCAAAAGAAGACAATGCAATTATCAGACGAAGTTGAAAGACTTTCAAAGAAAGTTGAAGAAACTGAGGAAATTATCAAGAAGAAATCTGACTTGATTGCCTTCATGGAAAATAGAATTAATGATCTTGAGGAAGAAAATCTTAACCTTATTGAACCTGAAAAGTACGACCTCATCAAAAAGGAAGTTGAAAAGCTCAGATCTAACTATACCACGGTTCAATTTGAGAAGGAGCAATTCAAACAAGAGTTTGAATCTCAACTTTCTCAGCTCAACCAATACCGATCAGACTTGCAAGAACTTCAAGACCAACTTGCTGAAAAGTCACAAAAGCTTGACTCTGCCTTGAGAGAGTTGGAAGTGAAGAGAGAAGAATGCAACAGGTTATTCAACACCTCAAAGAAGACCACAGAAATGCTGTCTGAATTGGAGAAGGAAAAGAGCAAGTATGAGAATATGGTATCTGATTTAAGACAAAAACTATTCAAGAAACCAGGAAAAGATAACTCTATCTTTAGCGATAGTGAGCCCGTTTCATCCACTTCAGCAACTGCTACTCCTTCCACTTCCAAGTATCTTTCATCAGCAACAAAGTCTAGTGGCACATCCTCAGCTCAATCTCTCAAGACTGAAGAAACTCCAAAGCCATCTTCTTCTGCATACTCCTCACAAAAGTCTACACCTTCCTCTTCTTTTGGATCTGTCAAAAGAAGGTGGAAAGAGATTTGTCTGCCAGCCACAAGATTATGAAATCTCTCAATGAATCGAATGCCAAAACTAGCAGAGAGGTTCAAGAATTAGACAAGGAACTCAAGAATGCAAGAGCTCACTTGGCAGAGTTACAAAATAGCTTGAGTCTAAGTGGAAGCAGTCCTGCAAGAAAGATGACCAGCCCTGGCAGAAAGAGAGGCATGACTGTTGAAGAAATTTTAAACAGATCCAATGAATTTGACTATGATCAATATGAAGAAATAACCTCTTCATCTCGCTCGAAGAAATACTCACAATACTAGTTTTGAAAACATGGATTTTGTACATTTCACAAATAAATTCAATTTTTAGTTTGAATAAAAATGCTTGCTTGGACATGGCACAAGACTTCTCGCATCAAGAGCAACCAATTCCATCCAATCCTCGCTAGCCATCGGGATCGTATATATTATCATAATCAAACCAAATATTTATCAATTCCAGCCAATCGCTCTTCCTATTTTTGTTATTCTTTTTTAAATCATGCCATGATGAAAACCACACAATACCACACCAGCCAATCCGCTCTCCACAATTCTGATGAAGAATCCAATGACGCTATCGGAAAGTATACATTCAAAGTCAATCAACAAGTAGAACAATATTTAAAACAAGCCAGACAAAAACATCAAGAGCTCTCCAATTCTGTCTACGCGGGCCAACCAACAAAACCCACACAATTTGTAGAACTTAAATTTCTCACAAAAGTTACAGAATTATCTGACAAATTTGAAAATTTGAAAACCCAATTGGCACAACTCGAAGAAATGAAACAAACAGAAAAAGATCCTGAATTGAAACAAATGGCTCAAGAAGATTATCTGGAAACAGAAAAAGAATTTTTGAAAATTCAAAATGATTTAATTGGAGTGTTATTGAATGCTCCTCAAGTAGATGGCAATGATGTTCAAATATCCTCGAATAATAATGCAATTATTGAAATTAGGCCAGGAACTGGAGGTGATGAAGCTTCTTTGTTTGCAATGGAATTATTTAAAATGTATGAAAAGTATGCCTTAGCTAAAGGTTGGAAATTTGAAGTGTTGAGCTTGAGCGTAAACTGTGGAGGAGAAGGATGCAGAGAAGGAATTGCTCTCATTTCATCTTCGTCATACGGTGGGGATGAAGATTCATCCTTAGGTGTGTATGGAAGTATGAAATTTGAAAGTGGTGTTCATAGAGTTCAAAGAGTACCGGTCACAGAGTCACAAGGTAGAGTTCATACATCGTCTGCATCAGTGGTTGTTTTGCCAGAGGTCACTGAATCAGATTTTAAGATTAATTTATCAGATGTAAAAATTGAGACTATGAGAGCGAGTGGAGCAGGTGGACAACATGTTAACACAACAGACAGTGCCGTACGATTGACTCACATTCCAACGGGTACAACTGTGTATATTGCCGATGAAAGATCGCAACATCGAAATAAGGAGAAGGCCTTCAAAATTTTGCACTCCCGGCTTTTCCAAAAACAACAAGACGAAAAGATGCAGAAAATGACATCTGAACGAAAGGAACAGATAGGCAGTGGAGATCGATCTGAAAAAATTAGAACCTACAATTTCCCTCAGGATAGAATAACAGATCACAGGATTTCTTTTACTCAATATGGTTTGGATAAGATGATGGATGGAGAAATACTAGACTCGTTTGTTGAGCTACTCTCTAAGCAGCAGAAAATTCAACAATTCACAGCCATGTTTGAAAAACAAGATACATTCCAGTCGAAACCCGGTAAGAAGAAATAAATTACTGATTCGTTGTTATATTTTCAATGGTTGAGGTGTTGAAATTGTACAGTGGCGCAACAGAGCTTGAAGTGTTGTTGGATGAAAGAAAAATTCCTGAAAATAAGCTCCATAACGTGCTAATGATGTAAAAGGCTAAAGAAATGAGTGGAATTCGATGATTAAACACAATCAAAATCACCACAACATAGAATAAAAAACATGCTAAAGTGATGAAATGATCTCGTCTCTCCTTCCATTTTAACTCTCTAATTATTTGGTGCTCTGATTTACCTTGTCTTGATACTCATCTTGTGACTTTACAGCCTTTTGAAATACACTTGATTGCTCCGAAAGTTGTTCCATGGAATTGGACGTTCTTTCTATATTTTGTGCTATAATGGCTTTGGTTCGTTTGAGAGAGTCAGTAATTTTTCGTGATTGTCGTGATTGGTGTTTTCCGCTTTGATTTGATTTTAACGTCGTCTTCCTCTCTTCTGACGATGATCCTAATAATTTACCCTTTTTAATTGACATTTCTTGTTCCTTGTTATTGTATACTTGTACTGCCTTTCGAAGAGTTACTTTTAAAGTCAACACTTGTTTCTTCAGTTGTGGTAATCTTCCCAAAATTCGGCCATAGCAAGTCTCCAAATGATGATCCACTGATGGATCTTTAATCTTTTCTTCACAATACAATTCCAGTTGATCCATCTTTTCCGACGACAATTTCAACCCTTCATCAATGTTAAATTTCAATGATTCAATATCGGGTATGATTGCCACCGACTCCTGTATCTTGTTGATGGCTTGTTCAGTCGTGTACACTAAATTAGATATTTCTTCAATAATATTCATTGCATGTTTAATTTCATTTTCAGTCATGGATGATGATGTCATTTTTTTCAATAATTGAAAGCACGTTGCAAAGGTTTACAAAAAAAAGCTTAATTCAATGGAGTTTGCAATTAAGGATCATCATGTTCTTCACTTCTTCCCATAGTAGCACTAATCTTGTAATATTTGAATCGTAATTAGAACACTTGTGCACCTACAATTATGCCTCAAAGCATAAATTGAGTGATACCCCTTTTTAGTTCTATTTTCAATTTTCGAATTGACATTTTTCCAATTCTGTAGGCTTCTCGAGAGAAAATTCGTGTTAGAGTTCCTACTAGTTGCTGAATATTACTTCGCAATTTCCATTCTTCAAACGAGGAGTCGAATATTTTTGTCAACAGTCATACCAAAATTTCAATCACACCCTTTTCTTAGAGAAACGTTGTTTTAGAGTACTCTCAGTTTCGAACTCTATAAAACGGGTTGACAACATGGCAACTACTCTGATCACCAAAAAAAACAAGTCAAATCAATTAATATGAGATTTCTAATCCTTGCCTTATTGCTTGCAATTTCCATTGCAGTATTTGCCTTGTGCAATGCAGAGTATTCTCTTGCAGAAAGCAGTGCTCTCTCTACTTATCTTCCAAGAAAAAGAAAATATGGTAGAAAATATGGTAGAAAGTATGGCAGAAAATTCAGAAAATACGGTAGAAAGTATGGCAAGAAGAGCAGAAAATATAGAAAGTATGGCAGAAAGTATGGTAAAAAGTACGGCAGAAAGTATGGTAGAAAATTCAGAAAATATGGTCGAAAGTATGGTAGAAAGTATGGTAAAAAGTATGGTAGAAAATTCAGAAAGTATGGTAGAAAGTATGGTAAAAAGAGCCGAAAATATAGAAAGTATGGTAGAAAATTCAGAAAATACGGTAGAAAATATGGTAGAAAGTACGGAAAGAAGAGCAGAAAATATAGAAAGTATGGCAGAAAGTATGGTAGAAAGTATAGAAAGTATGGCAGACGATATGGCAAGAAGAACAGAAAGAATAGAGCTCGTCGTCACAAGAAATACTAAATCACTTCACCCAAGTATCCCACTAACAAGCTCCAGAGTAGAACACTTTTGAATCATTTTTGTAATTCGTTGAAAATGAGTTCGTGAGACCCTATAAACATCATTAGTCAACATCATTGTCTTGAAATAATTATTGTTCTAAACATTATGTATTCACTTAAATCTGTGCTTGTCCACAAAATCTTGTTGCACTTCTCGTTCTGTACTTTCAAGCACCTGAATGACTATAATTATTGTCGTACAAATAATGTATTCCATTGGATGTAATGATTGTTAAACTCACCTCTATTAATTTTAATATACTGGTGCGTCGAGTATTTTCTATATACATCCTTGATTTGCTCTAAGGATTTTCCTAGATAATTCAATTCTTGTTGAAATAGCTCTTCATATCGATAATATTCTTTTTTAAACATGATGAAAATTTCTCGCACTCCAGAAATGTATTCTTCAATTATTGTAAAGTTATAGAGAGATTTTTCATTTCGTTTTCCTTCCATGCTGGAGAGCAATTCTCTGTGCAATTGATGATAAAATAAGTCTGCTTCCTGTTGAATAATATCCAATTGATCACAAATATTTTCAAATTTTGCACTAAAGTAAGTTAATTATTGACAGATTACCAAAATCCATAAAATTATTATTTTCATGGTTGCTAGGTATGAAAATAAACTACACCTACAGACTTGCGAGAATCATCTTATACTTTTCATCCAATTTACGTAAATATGTTCCTTGAGTCATGTTCACTGTGAGAGGAAAATACTGAAAAATTCCAAAACCCGATGATGATTGTCCATTAAACATTGAATTATGATTGGATCGATGACTTGTATCGTCAGTACTAGAACGAATATCATCATGATAATCCTCACAACCTCCGACAATTTCCCAACTCGACAAATCCTTCACCAATCCAATAAAACAATCACAATTTTCTTTATGCAATGCTTGCCAGCTCTCGGTCAAGTCAAATATTTTCAACATGAGCTTTTTGAATTTTGCGTTAACTCCTTCCATAACAACGTTCAATATTTTTTTTAAAAACAATTCCAACAAGAACCATAATGAAGGCAAAACACTCTTGGAAGATTAGATGTCATAGACGTTGGGGAAAGTCTGCGTTTTGGACAACTTTACATGATGACACTTCTTTGTACACCTCTGAAGAGAATGTGAGGAAGAACAAAAGACTTTCGCATCTAATCTGACCCGATTTTCTGATGAGACTAGGATCTCTCGGAAAATCCGTGATATGGCATTTTGCATACCTTCCCGCCAGATTTTAATTACAGTATCGGTTACCTCACATTTTTATTTTGTATGACATAAAAAAATGATGAATCAAGAGCTGAATCCTGTGGCAGAGAATAACTCTCCTGCTAATACACTTGTAAAATATGACACACCAATTTTGTTATCGGAAGCAATCAAGAAGAAGGGAAACAAGGCTTTAATGGGGACAAGCGGGAAAAACAAAGGTCAAGCGTTGCCTCCTATTCAAGTCGTCGGAGCTGAACGAATGACTCAAACGGAAGACATTTTGAATTCAATACTACCACCTGTTGTTTTTTCAGAGAATAGTCAACAATGGATTCAGTATGTTTCGTCAACGCCAGCCACAAGATTGGACGTAACCAATTTGGAGGAGTCACTCGATGCACAACTTTTGAAAAGGAAAGCAAAGGAAACTGGAATATGTCCTGTCAGAGAAGAGTTGTACTCTCAATGTTTTGATGAGCTAATTAGACAAGTTACTGTAAATTGTCAGCAAAGAGGTCTATTAATGCTTCGAGTGCGAAACGAAATACGAATGACTATTAAAGCATACAAACAGTTATATGAAAGTAGCGTAGCATTTGGAATGAGAAAGTCGCTACATGCAGAGGACGGAAAAACAGAAATGGAACTAAAAATTATACAACTCGAGAAGGAAAAGTCAGAGCTAGAAAAACAAGTGAAAGAATGGCAAGCAAAATGTGAGGCAACCGAAAAGCGAGAACGAGAGAAGAGCAAGCAAGAAAAAAAGAAGTTCGAAGAAGAAATTGCGTTTTTGAAAAAGCAAAATCAGCAGTATTCTCAAGAGCTGGAAAGATTAACTATGGCAAAGCCAAATAAATAACTTTAATTACATGTAATCGCTTAGAAAGTAAAGATAGATAGATGACAGATAGCTGACCATTCCTCCCGCATTAATCGTACCGAATAAGTGTGTAGCTCTTGTGTCACTGTCATAAAACCACATTCGTCCTTGTGTGTCTGAGAGACCAGCACTGTTCAGAGAGCACTCTAGATCTGTCTGCTTACACAAGTACAGAGAGGTATATGTATGTGACGGTATCTTGGTATTATTGAAAAACGAACTCGATATTCCATCCGTATTAATCACAGCCAGATTACCAAAGTCTGTGTCATTGAAATTACCAATTGCAAAAATGTGACCATCCGTGGTGGAAACTTGCCTTACTGAAGAACTAATACGCTCAAACGTGTCAGTCACCTTCGTCCACTTTCCATTTCTAAAATCAATCATACAGAGATTCTTGCAGGTTGAGTTGGAATTACCATCTTCGAAAGAAAATTCAAAGTTTCCAGCAATAACATAGTTCCAATAGTCAAATAGATACACCCCAAGGGTGGATTTGTGGAAATGAATTTGTGTCACTTCTGCGTTTGTATCATTGATCACAATCTTGCTCCAATTTTTGAAGTAAGGGTCCCAAGTTAAAATGTAAGGAAAACTACCACCCAAAAACGTTTTCCTCGAATGGAATGTTTGTCCAAAATCTCTCTTAAATATTGAATTTACAGTCATTGAGAGAGTAAGGTTATGGTCCATATGTTCTCTCATTGAGAACCATGTCTTAGAGTGCGATTGATACATCGCAACGTTAATGGCTGTTTTTGTTCCATTTCCATCACTAATGTTCAACTCGAAAGAGCCAGCAATCCACACGTTGCATTGACATCTAGAAATCTCGGATGGAGTTTGAAAGCAGTCAACAGAAATTGATCGAACAGAGCTATTGTTTTTCCACGCTACACCTTCAGAAATGGATTCCCACGTTCGTTTGACAATTGACCACCTTGCAATGGGTCCCGTGTTTAAATTTCCAGCCTGAGTGAAATCTCCTCCTGCATACATGTTGAAGCATGTATCAATAAACACAGTTCTAATGTGTCCATTTGTTCCATTTCCAAGACCTTTCCAGGTTCTCCCATTGAATATAGCAATGTTGTTGAGATTATTAAATGTCGTGGTGTTGACTGATATCGATGTAAAGTTTCCTGCAATCAACCACCTTCGTTTATCAGAGTTATAAAAGGTATCAATGTTCAAAGGAGGGCTGTAGAACTGTGCAAAAGTGAACGGTATCATTGACAAGATGTGTATCATAATAGAGAGGCAAAAGATTATTTGGAGAAAGTGTTTTAGGGTTTTTGGTGATAGAGTTCCTAGAGTAACAGTTGAGGTTACAATCCGCAAAAACGAAGAGAAAAAAAAAGAAGAAGCAAATTCCGATTGGGGCCTTTGAGTGTTTGCATAATTATCGGATTCATGTAAAGATGACAGGTAGGATGAAATTGTTCCTATTGAATATCGTTGATGGTCGTATCGATGAAATTTGTCTGATGAAGAAGCAGAAAGAGGAACAAAAACCCTAGAGCTTGAGTAGCCATTCAGTGCTGATGATGATGCACGAAGCTTCGTGCTTCTTGGCTCGCTGCTGTCTGATGCGGTTTGCAGTCGAGACATTTTATTTGATTTTTGGCGCCAGAAACAAACTACTGACGTTTTAATTCGTAACAGCCTACCCGTTGACAGTAACCACAACACGAAAAAGGCGGTTAACCTGTGGAGTGATTCCCTAATTCATATATGCTTATATGTTCATAGAATGTTCATATCTGGATGCCAAGTGCATCCGTCTTCTAGCACTCTAGGTTTTTTAGTTTGAACACAAAACCTCCGCTAGTCAAATCGATCGTGTAGTTGAGTAGAGTCGTGAACGTGTTCGTTCGTTTGGTTCAACACGAGACACAGAACGAACACACCGCCAGGCTTCTTCAAGGCAACCTTAAAAAAAATACCTCTACAGAAGAAATCTTCCCTCACCACCACAAATTCTCAACATGTCGAAATATAAAATCATCGTAGTAGGCAGTGGATCCGTGGGTAAAAGCGCGTAAGTATTGAATCAGAATGTTCATCATCTCCTCTTACTCTATGTTTGAAATTGTTTTGCTTTCTCATGAACAAGCCTTACAATGAGGTACATTCACCAAAAATTCGTGGAAAGATATGATCCCACAGTGGAAGATAGCTACATGAGACAAGTAGAAATTGACGGTTCCGCAGTAATGTTGGAAATTATTGATACCGCTGGACAAGAGGAGTAAGTTTTAATTGTAATGAATCAACAAGCCTTCATATTCATTACGAAATGGACATCCATATTATATCTTCAATAGATATCGTTCTCTTACAGGAATGTACATGGAAAAGGGACACGGATTTGTGATTGTGTACAGTATGACCGACATTGAAACATTCCATGAAACAGCCAAGTACTATGAAGAAATTCTAAAAGCGAAAGATGAAAAAGAAGGAGCCAAAATCCCAATCATTCTTGTCGGTAACAAGATTGACTTGGAAGACCAAAGAAGTGTAACCAAAGAAGAAGGAGAAAATCAATCCAAGAAGTTTGGAGATTTCTGCAAGTGGATTGAGACCTCTGCAAAAACAGGAGAGAATGTGGACTCTGTGTTTGAGGAATTGGTAAGAATGATTAATACAGCAGAAGGAGGTGAAGAAGAGGAAGTTGAAGAAGCTGCAGCAGAAGGTGCACAATCAAAGCCTTCTGCAGGTACAGCTGCTTCCGATCCAGCTCAACCAGGCTCTTCCGAAGTCAAACCAGCCACAAAACCAAAGAGGCAAAAGAAAAAGTGCATCATCTTGTAAACGAACATAAAACATCTGCTGTGTTGACTTGAAATATTTACAATTTATTTGTCTAGAACAATAGCAATTTCTGGCAGTGGATTGTATCGTTTGACATAGAGGCGAACAGGAATCTTGTCGAAGAGTTGAATGTTTTCTTCCTTTTCATCTTCAATCCATACGAATCTCAAAATTCCAGTTTCCTTGTCATGCTTTTTATCTTTAATTCTTGATCTAAAAGAGTCAATTGGCAATTTACATTCAAGAGAGTATTGCGGAATGACAACTCGAATCGTCTTTCCGCTCAATCCACGTACAATGGCATGAACTCTATGGAGGTCTGGATTTTGTTCGATATATTGACAAAGATACAAGTGCTTTGTTTGGTCTTCAGCACGTTTTGCAAGTGTTGACTTTTTGTTGCATTGGTCAATCAATCTTTTCAACTCATTCGAGTATAAAACTGGGCGGTCAGAAAAGAGAGCAGATGCTAATTGTCTGTGAACAATAACATCCGAATATCTTCGAATTGGTGATGTAAAATGAGTGTAATAAGGAACGTTGAGAGCGTAGTGATGTGTGGGCATAACATAACTATCTCTGTCATTGTAGGCAAAGTATTTAGCTGACTGCATTGCTTTTGTGGCTTCTAAATTAATAACAGTAGAGACTTCATCATCTGTAATCATTCTCAAGCTATTGTCTAGATCAGCAGCAGATTCAACATTGATGTCAACTTTGGCATTGTTGCAGAACTCAACAAATTCGTTCATTTTCTTCTCCATTGGGCTACCGTGAGACCGCAACAACACAGAAACGCCTTGATTTGAGCTTGTTCGCAATAAGTGCTCTGCTGTTAAATAGTTAGCCAACAACATTAATTCTTCAATCATGTTATTGCTTTCCTTTTCTTCCTTAATATTGACAGACTTGACAGTTTCCATATCTTCAGAGAGTTCTAATTGAATTCTTGGCTTGCTCAGGGAAAGAGTTCCATTTTCAATCCTACTTTGTCTTCTCTTCATGGCGAGCTTGTGAAGCAGTAAAACATCTTCCACAAGTGAGCCATGGACATTTGGGCAAAATGTTTCAGTCTCTCTTGGGCAATCATCCATAGAAATTTCAGAGTCAGAAGTAATTTTTCCGCTAATGATATCTTGGGCAATCTCGTAGGTGAGCTTAGCGCAAGACTTGACAATGGTTTTGTGGAATTCAACCCTTTGATCTCTTAAAACCTCACCATTTTCGTTCATGAGTACATAAACGCTAAAGGCAAGTCTCTCTTTACCAGGTAATAAACTGCAAATATTGTCACATAAAAAGTGTGGAAGCATTGGAATGGTCATGTGATCCAAATAGACGCTCGTAGCTCTCTTTTGGGCAATTTTGTCGAGCTTTGAGCCAGGAACAATGAAATGAGAAGCGTCAGCAATATGAATTCCAACTTTGAAAATGTTATCATCGAGTCTTTGAATTGAGATTGCGTCGTCAAGATCCTTCGATTGCTTTGGGTCAATAGTGAAAATTCGTTCGGATCTTGCATCTTTTCTCTTTTCCAACTCTGCTTCTGGAATTTTCCATTCACCAACAGCTGGAATGTTAAGTTCAGCACGAATCTCTTCCATCACTTTCTCTGAGTAAGAAGTCACGTCAATTTCATAGTCAATAACCACAGCTTCTAAATCAGTTTTGATGTTACCAGCTCTGCCCAAGTGCTTAATAATCTTTCCATAAGGAAGAGTAGCTTTTTCGCTCCATGTAGAAAATTGAACAACATAAAGTTCCATTGCATGGACAGTGGGGTTACTCTTGAAAGATTCTGAGCATTGAGAAAGAGGAACGACCATTCGAGGACATCTCTTATCGAGAGGAACAAAAATACAATGCTGATCAGCTTCATCGATAACACCATTCTCGCGTGATGTTGTCAAAAAGCCTACAAAATCTCTTTTCTTTGCACGTTCCTTAATTGCAACAACTCTGCCTGTGGGTTGAAGCAATTTTCTAAAATTATCTGTTGTTGTTGTTGTTGGAGTACTTTCATCCTCCATACCAGTTTCGTTGCCCTCATCTTCAAATAAATCTGAGGGTTCATCTGATCTTTGTCCAATGGCTGTAGATACCTTTCTTTCTTGCCATTCACTTCTATCATCAATTTTGATAATCACTCTGTCACCGTGGAAAGCTCTATTTCTTCTTGCTTCTCCACTGATTCTGACATCCATGTCATGTTGAAGTTTTTGTTTCAAAGCTTCATCCAAGACAACAAACGCTAATTGTCTGTTTTGCTGATTAATATGAAGAACACCATCAAAAAGTGTACCATTCTTTAAACCTTCGTCAACCTCTTTGGATGACAAATATTCCACAAAACGAGTTTGTCCTTTGGCATTCCCATTCTTGTAGTTTTTCTTGGTTGTTTTGCGAATAACATCATTCGTGTTGCCATCATCACAAGTACCAACTTTCTTTTGTGATGGCTTGCTGGCTTGGCCTCTCTTTTCAAAAGAGTTGCCAATAATAGGAATTGGTGGGAGAACAGTTGCTGAGCTCATTGTAGTTGTTCTAATGTTTGTTGCTCTAAACGTTTTTATGAGCAGTTCTGCCAGCTATTAGCCCAATAACTATTTCCTCCAACCACTACTCCGTTGCTGCTACTACTACTATTCACTCCTCCTACTACTCCACAACAGCCACTAAAGCCTCCTCTCCTAAAGCCTCTAAACACTCTAAATTCTTCTTCTTCTTCTTCTCGTTCTTCTTCTTCGACAACAACAACCTCCTCTCTATTATAATAGCGATAGCGCAAATCTGATCCCTTCTTTGAGTCGTCCAAAAGCAATGACTTCAGTAAAATATCTAACAGAAGCAGGAAATCTAATTGATCTTTCAAGGAAATATCAGAGGAGGAAGATTTAGAGGAGGGTTTCGAGAGTTGTTGTTTCTGTTGATGTTGTTGTTGTTGTTGTTGTTGAATGGGGATTGGTGGTGGAATTGGAGTTGGATGGTGATGAACGGTCTGAATGATGCCTGCTGCGATTGCCGCAAAGGCGGCAGCAATAGCTGCTGTGGTGGTTGTTGTGGTTCTTGTAGTAGTGGTAGTAGTAGTGTTGTTAGTGATGACGAAGAATGAGTTATTGTTGTTGGTATTGTTGGTATTGATGGTGTTGTTGTTAGTGTTGTTATTGTTGTTGGCGTTAAAGAACATGAAATATAATTTCGACAGCGTTTGATTGAAAGTAATTTTGCGAGGTTCGCAAAATGTTGTGGGTGATGATGGTATGCTACTTGTTGGTTATGTATAAGATGATTCAAAAAGCGTTACTGATGGTATGTATGATCGCCTTTTGAATGCTGAATGAAAAAGAAGATTCTACTCGTAAATGTCTGTTTGCGGTTTGATGAGAAAATGTTACACGAAAGAAATAATGCTAGAGTTTGCTTGTGGTGATTAGCTTTGATACTTGCGGTGTTGAAAGAGCACGTTTGAAAATTAACTGCTTGTGGTCAATATTCAATATGATGACGATGATTCAAATAAATTTTTTTGTTCAAATTTTGCCTTCGTTTTCGACTGCAAATTCAAATCTTCGCAGGTCTCTATAAATAGCTGGTCAACTTGAATTTCAAATATCGGCTTCCAAAAGAAAAGATGCCGATGATTTTATTTGCAGGAAGAATTGTTTGAGGTGCTTCCAAGTTCAGCCTTTGGGTCGTGCATTTTCAATGGAGCAGAAATGATGCAATTTTGTTTTTGAGATGTCTCCCAAATGCAAAATTAAAGAACTACAATGCATTGTTCTTTGCTTTGGCTTTGTTCGTGAAGAGGGCGGAAATTGGAGGGAACAAAAACGTGGATTGGTAAAAGCCAGGTCATTGGCTTCACCTTAAATTTGTCTTTTTTCTCGGAAAGGTTTTTTGTACTGAGAACTTGAACTCTTTCATCGGTAAGGGTTCCATCAATGAGGTAAAATTTAAATTGCAAAAACCAATCGACTTTGATGAGATCAGATGAGAATTGAGATGGTGAGTGTGGAGGAATGATCATCCTAAAATCAGAGGTGATAGTATTGAGTGTATATCGATCAAATCTGGAGACTTTGTTGAAAGTAGCCTTATTTCTTAATGGTTGATAGTATTCAGGATCAAATGATGTATATTCCGAATTGTGACTGTTTTCCGTGGTTGATTGTGTTTGCTTGTAGTAATCTACAATGATAGTTGATGCTACTTGTTCTTGATACATTAATTTACATTTCACCTTCGCACAAAGTTTCACACTCTTTGTAAAATCAAAAATTCCTAATATTGTGTCTCCTATGTAAAAAGCATTACTCGATAGTGAAACTCTACACACTAAACTTGATTCATCTGCAATGTCATAATGATCTGTTGTGAAAAATTCGTTCGACATCGTTAAGGTTTAACTGGTTAAAATTCAATAACTTACTAGTTTTGGAATTTTGAGCTACAATATTTGAAATTTGACTAAATGAGTAGAAAAAGGGAGAAATATTTGCGTTTGACGTCAACATGTACTTGTAAGAAATATCTTCTAATTGTACATTCTTGTGTTTCTTGGACAATCCATGAATGTCCCATTTAAAATCAAAGGTATCTAAAAATGAAGAATTAATAGAGCAAATGGAGGAGAATGGATTATAAACTTTGAATGGAACAGTAATCACTTTCTTATGCTGTTTTTGTTGAAGTCAGATGTTTGAATTGACAGAGCTAAATAGTAATTGTATCTAATCACAGTGCCCTTAAAGCTTGGCGGTATTTCGTTTGGTATTGATACAGAGACAGTTATTGTCTTTTTTTCTAAGGACGAAAGAGAAATGGCTTCATCCAAAAAGCTTTTTGGTTTGGATGCAAAAATTGGCTTACTATTTGACTTTACAGGCACTAATGAAGGAAATTCCACATCACTGTTCTTGGGGTTATTTTCATCATCGTTAAATAATGTTTGATTCGGTGATGCCTTCGGTGATGACATGTTGATGTCTTTCAAGCATTTTGCATCTCCTGAACACAATCCAAACACTTGTCCATACAATTTATCCACTTTCCATGTATCCATTGGTTCAGAAGATTCTTGGCTAGTTGTTGCAGATGATGAAAAGAACCATGAAAATAGTCCTCCAGAAGAATTGCTTGTTGTTGAATAATAACTCGTGTTGGGTGATGCTACATTTTGGCTTGATTTATCTTCAACTCCGAACACATCTAGTCGATCAGAAAAAACATCCACCAATTTTCCATGATATGGACCGTTTTCATCGACACTCTCACTTGGTGCATTCATGAGTGATATTGAGAAGGATATGCTCGATCCAGCAAACACACAGCTCTCTCGCAGTGCAGTATACAGCACGATCACCATTTTTTTGTTGCAAAGAAAAGCACATCAAGGTCCTGCTGACAGACGTGTTGCAACAACAAAAAATCTTTAAAAAATGCTGCCGAGCAAGGCATCTGCTCTTTCAACTCCCGAACAGGGAATTGAAACGCCTTCTTCTCAAACAGAGAAAACTTTTGAAAAATCAATGCGAGCATCTAAAAATCATGTTGTTGGCTCCTCTTCCGAAAGCCCATATTATTATTCGAAAATTACTTCTCATAAATATTTTACTATTGCACAGACATCTATGGAACTATTTTCTGATCATCCAAGCGGAAAATTGGGAATACCTGTACTGAGTACAGCACAACAAACTTTAAAAAGCGCGTTTAGTACATCATGCAGACAAATTCATACTCTCGGAAATGACAAAGTGTTGTTGACACATCAATGTGGAGAATTACACTATTGTATTATTTATATACGAGAAGTTGAAAGAAAGAAAAGAGGAATTGGTACTGAAATGGAGAGTGATGAATATGAGGATGAACCCAAAGAAACTACAGCAGCACTATTTCGACAAATTAATCTTTTACACGATTTGACAAATTTCTGTATTGTGATCAATCCGTTTAATCAACATGGTTTCAACAATAGAACATTGAACCAGTCTGCCATTCACAGCATACTCAAACCTATTGTAGAAACAATGAAACGTCTTTACAAATCACAGCAAAGCATATTGGTCCAAGGAATTGAGTATGTGGATTTGAATCACATAAACAGAGCTTCCATCATAGACGCCCTTAAGAAAGGAATTCAACAATATTCATTTATTCTCCATGCCGTGCTTTTAGTTGGTACAAAATTGGCTGCTATTTATTCTCGAGACAAAACCTGGGTTCTCCTTCCTCGTGATTTACTTTGTCTAATAATTTATAATCAGAGCACTTTTTACAATGAAAAACCAAAGTCCAAAACTCCAACTACTCCCAAAAATCTTTCTGTTCCTCCATCAAATCAATCAGTCTCTTCAGAAAGTAGCGATCAGTTTATTGATCAACGAATGATGGGAAGAAATAGCTCAGTTTCCTCAGATGATGAAGACGATAACAAAAAAGATATACCAACCATAGATTCAAGATTTGAATATTTAAATTTTCATGTTACAGACAATCAGGGAGACTATGATCAAAAGTTGTGTAGATTTGGAGTATATTTTGAATTTGACAAGGACCAAGACATGACTCTCATGCTCATTTGCGAATCAAACATTAAGGATATACAGTCCAAAGTCGTTGCTGGATCTGTAGAGGCAAAAAGCTATCAATCGAATGCTTCAGTTTCTGCCTCTCTCCCCAATTCTTATATTGAAGATCAATCGGTAGATGAAAAAGACAAAGAAACCATTCATGACCAGTTAAAGGAAGCAGCAATTAGAGTGAATGAGGAAATTTCCAATTTTAAGAGATTTTCTTTTTTGAAAATTAAGGCTGATTCACACGTCACAATGCTTAATTATTTACATTATTGTCCAGGACTGGTCCATTTCATTTTCGTCGATCGTGTTTACAACAGAGTATTTGCGCCAAGAATTGTTCCTCTCAACACTACGAGCTCCAATCAAAAGAGTGACGAAGAACAAGTAGCCTTTTTAAAGAAAAAAGTTTGGGAAATGTGTTATACTCTTCAGCAATACAGAGATGAAGGTTATACAGAAATTGGAGTTTGTGGAGATGGAGTACAATATTGGTTCAAAGAGTGGCTTGAGGATGAAAAATTACTTGAACTCAAGATGACACGAAACAACTTGAAATATGCCAAATCTCACTTTGAACTCTATACCATGTATCTTCCTTTCGTTTCACTTCAAGCTGTTTCGCATCATAACAAGCTACTGGTACAACTCTTGCTGGATCGAAGGGATTTGTCATAATTATTACCAAAGCATTTTCAACAGTAATGCGGACTATACTTCCGATCCGTTAGCAATTCCAAACATTCCGATTTCTAAGAAATAACACACTGACCCTAACCATTGAGGACTCCATCATTGGGTACACTTTTGGTACACTCAATATATTTTGCTTTTTTTAGCCTCGGAAACATGAGTTGACCGGAATTGGCAAAGCTACAAATTCACAACAGTGCGCATAAAGCCAATCAAAAAAAACAAATCAAATTTATCAATAACACTTCACCTAACATACACCATGATCGATAAGCTTGTCAAGAGTGTGGGAAGAGCCATGAACCCATGGTACAGAAGACCATTTGGATTCCCAAGTCACTTCTTCAACGATCCATATTTTGATTCCTTGTTTAAGGAATTTGACACCCAATTCCCAACATCATCCATTACCAGCTTTTCACCAAGCGTCGATGTCAAGGAAACCGACAACAGCTACGAACTCACAGCAGACGTTCCAGGATTTACCAAAGACAATATCAAGGTCGATTTGGACGAAGAGAACAGAATGATTACCTTGAAGGGTGAAATGAAGAAGGAAAAGGAGGAAAAGGATAAAGAGGAAGATACTTGGTGAAGGAGAGATGTTCTTCCTCGTTTGAGAGAAGATTCTCTCTGCCAGAAAATGTAAAGATTGATCAACTGAAGGCTCAAATGAAGGATGGTCAATTAAAGATTGTGTTGGAAAAGCTACAACCTGAGCCAAAGCAAGAGAAAGTCAGAAAGATTGATATTCAGGAAGATTAATGCGTTTTAAGACTTGCTAACTGTCTAATTATTAGAAAATGATTTATTAATAATTACAAATTAAAGAAGGATAAGGCAGCCTTAATTTGCCAGCGTAATCAAAATTCATAATACTTTCTCACCAGAAAACTGTTTTGTTTCTGAAGATTATGAATTAAATCTTTCTCATTGTGACTCGAAATAATATTGCAATTTAAATGCAATACTTCAAGTTCTTTTCTCAATGGTCCCATTACAAACACCGAATCATCAACTCGTAAGACCTTCTCAGTAATGTAATAAGTATTTCCATGTTTCAACGTGTTCTCTAAATTGATACTGGCTACTGGTTTCATTGAGGACTTTTGTGCTATTTTCTCTAATTCAGAGAAAAAATCTATCACGTTGGCTTTGTTGCTTGTAGAAATAATTCTCTCTGTATGAAGAAAAGGAGCTATTTCGTTGGGAGAGAGTTTGTGCAATCCCTCGTCAGAAAAAGTGCTCACCAATTTTTTGGTTTGGTTTTCATTCATGATATCTAAAATCATTGAGTATTGTGGCAACAGTCTTGGTTTGCTGTCCTTGCTGTTATCATTAGACCACCACTTTTTTTCGAAAGTATTTCTCTCATTCTCAATGATATTTTCTTCTAAATAATATTTCAAATAAATTGGGAAGCTTGTGGCATAGACTATTTCATAAAATTCAGTATTGCTTGCAAATCCCTTGCTTCCATTTTCGACACTTCTAATGATATAATGATACATGAGAATATCATGGTCTTGTCTTGGAGTGTGACGATGTTGTGAATGTTTTGATTTGTTCATCACCTCTAGTTGAGGTGTTTCACTATTCAAAGGCTTTTCCACAGAACATTTCACCTTTCCATAGACCTTTATGAGTCGTTCGTTATTTTCAGACTCATCTTGACCTCTATTACTAATAAATTTTGCGTCCTTGATCTGCTTAATTAATTCTCCCACTTGTGTTTTCATCTTGATTTGAGTTAGCACAAAATACAATACTATCAAAATCGCAAGAGGAGCTAACCACTTTGGAATTCGTATATTCATGACATATTGAACTACTTCAGTACTTCCAACACTCTGAGTAAAGAATTTTGACAAGTAGTATTTACTTCGTTGTCCTTCATTGGAAAATAATTCTTCTTTCACTTCATGAAGGAATGGAAGACTACTTTCGGAAGCCCTTTTAATCTTTTCATTGGAATTATTTTCTTGATGAACATCATCAGCGGAAGATGTTTGTGGTTTTTTGGATTTTTGATGGCTTGTTTGATCTTGGCGATCATTGGTTTCTTGATTGAAAATCTTTCTTGACGGATCAGCTTGAGAAGTTTTCCGTTCATGATCAGAATGGTTGAACAAAGTCTTGGAAAACATTCTACTGGTTACGTAATATTTCGAATTCCAAAAGGAAAGAGAAGGTGAATTGAGAGAGAGCCGTCCAAAAGCTTTGCCTTTTAACATTTTTTATTTCAAAACAAGGGTCATGCTTAGACTGCCACAACCATGTCAAAGGATTGATCTAAATCTTAATGATTGGAAGTTCAACTGATTGGGAGTGCATTGGTTGTTTACCTTCCAATCTGTTTCAATGAATGAAACAGAACTCCAACTCACCATGTGCACTTTTAAAAAAAAGAGCACTCCCAATCAACATCTCAACAGCTGTTGCCGTGGATTTCCTTCGATCGGAGTTCATTGCTTTCCAACATTATTGTAATCAAGAGTTGCATCATCATCATCACATAGAACTTTTTCAAAACAAGCATCAGTTTTATCTAGTCGTTGCACTCGTTCATGAATACACCAAGATGGGAAATCAATTAGAAAAAGATTATACCATCAGCGAGAAGCCTTTTGCAACAGGTGGACCCATGTCGTTATGGAGAATACACACCGGAACACATAGACAAACAAGAGAAGAGGTCTCTGTGTTTTGCTGTTCTTTCAAGGATATTGAAACGGTCTATGGAAAGAATAACGTTCAGCAAGTGATTAATCACTTCAAGATGGAGAGTCAAACACTACAAAAACTTCGGCATCCACTTATACTTTCTCCGCAACAACAATTCTTTGAAACAAAAACACAATTAGCCATGATTACGGAACCTGTATTAGGTTCAGTTAGCAATTTACTGTTCAAAAATTATACACATATTCCCGAAGTGTTACCAATGATGAAGAATTTTAATTTGAGCAAATTGGAAATTAAATACGGAATGTGTCAAGTGATGGAAGCATTAACGTTTTGTCACCAAAATGCCAAGCTTACCCATGCAGGTCTTCATCCACACAATATTTACATCACAGTTGATGGCCATTGGAAAATTAGCGGATTTCAGTTTTCCTTCTATTCACAGGGAGCACCAACATCAGAGGGAGGTAATACAACACCAACACTGTTCCGAAGAAATTTCTCAAAGCGAGATTTCCTTCCTTCACTTGACTTTACTGCACCGGAATATGTTCTAGAGCAAAGTCCTGGCTATGCTTCAGATATTTTCTCTTTTGCATTGATTTACCTGCAACTGATCATGGAGAAACAATATTCGATTCTAGAAACGGAACAAGATATCAACGCCTATACAAACAGTGTTTCCAGACTGAATGAAGTAGTTCGAAATTTGAGAGTTTCTCAAGAAATTCGTGAGTCCTTGCTGACCTCTTGCTCCATAAAACCTCAAGAAAGACCAACTTCACATTTCCTACTTTCAAATTGTGAGCTTTTATTCGGAAATGAAGTCAAGGCATTGAGGTATCTGGCAAATATGGAAATGAGAGAACCAGTTAAAAAAGCTCAGTTTTTATCGTCTCTGACTCCCATGCTAAAAGCACCAAAACCACATCAATTGGTCAATGGTGTAGAAGACACCTCAACAGAAGAAGGATTCTCTAACAGTATAATATTTTCTAAAGTGTTACCTCCATTGTTAAAAGAATGCACAGACGTTAAAATGCTCCTTTATGCACTTCCTAATGTACTGTAAGTAGTAGTGTTCGTGCGCCATTACCATTAACCATTTATACATTTATAATCAGCGCATTGAGTGAGAGAATGACAACAAAAGAATTCAGCAAGCAAGTAATGCCTACTCTATCCAAGGTTGCCTTGGTTCAAGCATCTAATGTAAAAATACCATTGAAGTTGTTGGAGAATTTTAATTTAATGTGGGACAAGACAACTGATGATGACCACATGAAAGAATTGACTCCATTTTTAATTCGTTGCCTTGACAGCAAGTTTCCTGATGTACAAAATGAGGCATTGAAAAGATGTGAAGAATGTCTGAACAGTGAAAGAATATCCTACCCAGAGTTTAAATCCACTCTTCTTCCTCAAATTGAAATTATTTGCCACAACACGACAAACCAAAGCGTAAGAATTAACGGAATTGTTTGCCTTGGTAAAATTTTACCACAGTTGGATCCAGAGTTATTTCTGTAACGGTCATACCTATATTGGAGGTATCTCTTGCTCCACTGTTTGCAGCCGATAGATCTGGAGCTCAACTTTCAGCAGCTCTTCTCATGACATGTGTTGGAGTGTATCTTAAAATTTCGAAACATCTCCAAAAAATTGACGATCCTTCACTAGGAAAGATTATTGCCACCAGAATTATTCCATCAATTTCACCGATTGCCATGCAGACCTCTCTCAATGTGGAACAATTCACAAAATACATGAAAGCAATGAAAAGCATGATAGAAATGATGGAGAACATACGATATGAAGAATTTCGTGAAAACGACCCAGAGGCAAATATTCCAGATTCAAGTGTCACAGCCTTTTCGCAACAGCCCGTGTCAACGTTTAGCCAACCACCGTCATCAGCCTCTTCATTCACATCCACACTCACACCAACGTCTTCATTCCACTCAACAGAAAATCCAATTCAAAAGATATTGAAAGAGCCAGTACCTGTAATTGATCAAAAATCGTATTTCTTGGATGACGAAGAAAAAGAAAAGTTATTAAGACAAAAAGAAGAAGAAGAAAGACTAAGACAGGAAGAAGAAGAGAAACAACGAGCATTTTTAGAAAATCAAAAATTATTTGACGCTTTAATGAACAAACATTGGTCTGATATTCCAGAATCTCCAAAGAAACTTCCATCCCCCAAGCTTAAAACCACAGCTGATATTGACTTTGATCGATTACAGCAGAAAATGATTAGCTCAGGTCTCGATGACGAGGAAGTATCATTACCTCAAAAGGTAATCAAATCGCCATCACCAGTGCTTGATACTAGCAACGTCACGGCTCCATCAATCACAAAAACACCAAGTCCAAAAACAAACATCATAGAAACTACTTTTCCAACTAAGGCTGTTGGTGGATTCGACGAAATGCTTTCCAGATTTGATGCAGGCAGCGATGATGAAGAAGAAATACCACCAAGAAAGTTAACACCATCGTCTTCTGGATTGAATTCAACAACAGTTGGTTCCTCTCAACCTATTTCCACAACTGTTTCATCACAACTTCCTTCTTTCGATGACGATCTTAGTCCTGTCATGCAAAGCATGGAAAGTAGAGCCACCGTTTTTTCATCCAGAAAACCAATTTTACCAGCCATTGGAGAAACTAGAGATCCAACGGACGACTTTGATTCCTTACTAGCCCAACACATGTCAGATGATGAAGAGTAAATGATTAGATATTTATTTTCCTCAAATGAAACACAAACTCTTGTTTTTGCTTGTCGACTGCTCTTGGATCGATGGTGACCCTAACACCAAAGTATTTTAAACAGAAAACACAAAGAGCCTCCATTACCTTCTGTGACTTGTGGGTGTCAAGCATCCTCAAAACCATAAAGTTCAATAACTCTGGCTTCATCTCAAACGCCTTATCCAATAGCATGGCCAATAATGGTTGGACGTTTGCCTTAAAATCATTGAGAGTTTCGCATTCCTTAACAATGGATTTTCGCAATAGAAATTGAATGGTAAGTGGAGTAATGAAAAGAGGTTGAGAGGATATCAAATCCCGTGCTTCTTTCAACATGCCAACAAAACTCAACGATTGAGAAAGCAAGTTCAATAAGGGTGGATCTATATCCGCTGGGTTCAATCTAAATTTGATTTCTTTAAACAGACCTGACACCTTTTCTCTGTATTCTTCCTTGCTAATAAAGAGTTGCTTCTCATTGGCTGTTTTCAGGGCAGAAAGTATCATGTTAAAGGTGTGGCATGTTGGTTGACATCCACCGACTTCCACCATTTCTCTATATATTTCAAACAGCAATAATACATCCTCATGACTGGAAAACCTGTGATTAATTAAGCTCATCAATAAAGAATTATAAAATTTGATATCTAACGCATCCTTTTTTTCTTCTTTTTTCAATTCGTCATAAATTATAAAAATTTGCTCAAATTTTCCTATCAACTGCAAATATTGAACCATATATGTATGCACAAATTTGCTCTTGTGTTTCGTATTGTTATACAGTTCAATCATGGCTTGTGGAGTAAACTTGGTGGTCAAGTGTTCATCCATCGGTTCGCCACGGAGTGCTGCCATTAATTCATTGCTCTCACTGTTGCTACGTATTCCATGTACTAATACAGCAATCAAGTCATGAAGAATTTTGCTATTCACTTTCAAGTTTAACTTGTTCAAATCCTCAAAGATCACAATTTCTAACTTTTTCAAAATTCCCATGGTAGGAAGATCTCTGTTTTGCTTGGCTGCAAAGAATACGTTTTCTATGGTATTGATATCTGGCTTGCTTCCTCCTTTATGAGAAAACTTTTCAAATATTTTGCTGTAATATTCAAATACTTTTCGGAAATTTCCAACACCAGCAAGTAAATTGAGATATTCATTAGATTCTTCCAATGGAATTGAAACGAAATACTTGGGAGCTTCTTTCTCAAAATACCACACGCAGGTATCTATATCTTTTTCTTTTAACGCTTTTCGTAAAGGAAAAATGATTTGTTGAAAATATTTACTCTTTTCTTCGGGCGTGTATGTAAATTCTTCCTTCTTCTTTACAACAGATTTGGGTGCAGAAGATTCCTTTTTCTTTTCTGATTGTAATATTAATTGTTTCACGGTCGGAGGTGATTTCCGTTCTTTTTGAATATTGATTGAACTATGAAACTGCTTGCTTGTCGTGATCATACTCGGATGGAAATGAACCCATAAATTTATATGATGATTGTTACTGCCGAGGCAATTTCCGAAATATGACACTGCAGACTTCCGAATGGCCCATTGCGTTCCCTTCTGTAGTTTCATTTTTTTATTTGAAGCTTTTTATTTTCTTTGGTGTTCGTTCATGCCGGTGCTGTGGCTGTAACAATGCAGATGCAACATTGGATGTGGGTAGGTATATTGCTTCGAAAAGTGTCCAATGAAGATGATGGTGTTAAGGAAGGACAAGAAGAATCAACTACTATGTTATTCTACATGTGTAAAAATTATGCAAAAATCTCCACACTCTCTAATTAGAGAGTTTCAACAATGTCATTTGATTGCAAATTGATCTTCGTGTTCAGAAAGTAGTGTATAGAGTTTGGGAGGACAAGTTATGGAAGTGTGATTGAGCTCATGATCGTACTGAATTTTGTTGAAATCACTAATAATTTGATCTGCATTTGGTCCATCGTTGAATTCCACTCTCTGTCTTGCTAATTCTTCTGTATTTCCTGTTGACATGTGTCGTCTCACTACTCGTTCCATCGCTTCTTCCTTACTTGCCGTGTAGATATAAATGAACACATCGAACAGAGGCCTAATATTATTCCATGTTGCCAAATAATTGCCTTCCACAATAATGACACGATGAGATACATCTACGACAATGTCATCTTCAATTGGATCTCCAACATGATGATCAAAAGATGGAGCTTTAACAATTTCTGTCGAATGATATTTCACTTTTTTCAATAACTCTTCAAAGGCTTTATCATTGAAAGTAAATGGTGCTCCTCGTCTACTGTGGGCATATTGTGGATTTTCCATGGCATCCAATTCTTTTCTATAGTAATGGAATCCATCCATCGGAACGATTTGAGTTGGAATAGAATGATTATTGATAAAACAATTTTTCATAATTTCGCTGGTTGTGGTTTTAGAAGAACCTGGAGTTCCAAATACTGCAATCATAAATCTATTGTGAGTTGATGTTGAATTTACGTTATTTAAAACGTGTTCTTTCAGATGATGATCCACGATGATTCGATTCACAAGCTCTTTTACTTTGTGTTCCATTTTTTGATTGCAGCAAGCAAAAAGTTTCTCTTCAAGATTAGAGCGAGAGGACGATCCAGTCATCCACTCACGAAACAAAAATTATGAAAGAAGGCAACACCACTTTCAGTGCTGACTACACAAGAATTCAATCTATCGCAAGTGCAAGGATAGAGAACTCTTATGACTCTCAAGCTTTCATGATCGCTCTGAGTCTTTCAAGGTAAGTATGAGAGTTCAACAGCTGTCACAAACCAAAGCTTTTAATCGATCTTAAATTGGCTGTTGTGGACGGGTAAATTATGGTTGTTTTGTTGCATGTTGTTGAAGGTGTATCAAAAAAAGTCCACTACTATTTGTTGGAAGATGAAGGGGTTCGTTTCGTAACAGAGGCCATCGCAAGAGTTTTCTTGGGAGCTGTGGGTGTCATAATGCCTGTGACTTTTGATGTAGCTGGTGAACTACCGTCGCCACTACCAACGAATGGCTCACTTTGCCTTACTGATTTTCTTTTCAGATTATCTGGTGTGTTTGTTGTAGTGGAATTTATGGAGATAGATCTGTTGGCAGTCTTTGGAGTATTCGAAGTCTTTTCTTCTTTGAGAATTCGTTTTTGCTTCAAACCAAAACTCAAGCCTAAATCTTCGTTACTCTCGTCTCGGGTGTTTGTTGTTGAGACTTTAAGAGTTGGTAAAGAATTTACAGTTGTCCTTCTAGCTGATTCCTTATTGTCTCTAGAAGATGACACATTACCGTTGAAGCCAGCAAGTTGTTGAGCTGTTTTCTCCTTATACTTGTCGATTACATCTTGTTTTGTTTTGAAAAGTTGAGAATCTCCGTCCAAGTCCATCTTATGTAAAGCCATTAGTTTCCCTCTAATTTTTGAGAATATTGAAATACTTTCTTCAGTGTCAAAACATGAAAGGCATTCATCGAAAAAGGTAATCTCGATATCAAGCTGAAGACATCCATTAAGACAAATATCTTCAGGAAGCCGAAGGCAACAGTCATTGAAAGTATTAAGCAATCCAATTTTGATCTCTCTAAAAATAATATTTGTAAAGGATGATTTAGCTTTCATATCAATAATCTCATGGTGAATAAGAGTTAGCCCGAGTAAAGTCTCAATAATGTAACTTCTAACTGACGTTGGATTCAACACGTTAGACCACTTGAAACCAGGGTTTAACACCCCTTTCCTAAGAATAGCTGACAATGACGTGATTTTTCTTCTCAACCATTTGTTTAACACGATATTTGAAAGCTTCTCAAATACATCAAAAACATTTTTGACTAAATCGCTCTCTCTAAACTCTTCTTTTGGCTTTCTGGATGTTTGAGGTATATTTTCAAGATCTATATCATCAAAATCTATATCTTCTAGATCGTCTCCATCAACTTGCTCCTCCCAACTATTATCTTTGGTAAGTACTTTCTCAGAGAAAGAATGAATCATTTTATCCAGCCCTCCATCACTCTTGGTTAAGAAAAATAGATTTCTCACCACAAGTAACAGTTGCTTATCTGCAGTTCTATGTCCAATTGAGGTAATAGATGTGTAATGAGAGGAGCTTGCCTGAAGAGAGCTAAGTATGTCATTCCCGTCTATCTCTTCTGCCAATACATAGACAGAGTCTGCAAATGACAGTAAAGCTTCAATGAACAAAGTTTTAACGTCCTTGCAATCCTATCCGATGTAAAAAAAAAAGAAAATATCTGTGAAATTAAACACATACCTCAACATTTGTCATAATTGCATTTAAGATATCAATCAAAGAATAAACGTGTCGCATGAGCATCACAGGAAGTTTGGTAGTATTGCTTTCCTTAATAAGAATCCAATCTTCCAATTGATGTAATTGTTGAATTGTTGATATTGTTCGCAAGCAATATTGGGTTGTAATATCATTCTTCATTTCTTGCACGAAGTGGTAGAGTGGATTGATGAATTTTGCTTGAATTTTGAACTCGGACGTGGACAGCAATTTTGTTGAAAAGTACTTCAACGCTTCCTCGATATGAGGTTGACTGATTTCATTGGTATCCATTTTCTCGAACAGCTCTCTTATGAGTATGGAGAAAGTGTTATAAATTTCGTTGAAAAGTCCCAATATTTCTGCTTCTTTTTTAACCTGACGCTCTCTTTCTTGCACTTTGACCACTTGTGAGTTTTTCTTATTGCCAATTCGTTCTTGTTTATACCTATCTTCCAAAGAGTATTTTGAAAACCTCCAAAATATTTGCAAATTTTCGAAAAGCAAATTACATAATTTTTTCACAGATTCTACATAAAGAGTGAAGTTCATAGCTGGATTGAATTGTGTTTTTCCAATAACTGAATCTAGAGACCATAATATCCCCTCTTCGAAGAGCATGCTCTCAACTCCTTCTAAAAAATTTTCACTGTCTCTTTGTTCGACATCGAAAAATGGCGCTTTTATCTGATCGCTCACTTTGACTTTCTTGGTCACATTTTGTTGACGTTCATTCTCAATCACACCTGCAAAAAGGTTTTGCATTTGGCTGACAATATAATTGAACTGATGAAAAATGAAAAATGAAACAGGATCTTCCTCCTTAGCATCCAACATGTATAAATATCCAATGTATCTATCTTTTTGATCAATAGATATTGATGGATCTTTCAGCTTATTAAATAAGTCTGTTCTTACTTCAGCCACTTGTCTCAATATATGTGTGTAAAGAGAATTTAGTATCTTTGATGAGCTATTTCTGATAAAGTATTTTGCTTTTTTGTAGTCCAATATTATTTTCTTGTACTCTTTCTAATAAACTTAACAAAAAAATTGTCTCCAAAATAATTAAACATACCCTTTCTCTGTTTTCCTTAATATCCGAAGGAATGACAAACAAAAATTTTAGTTTGTCAACAATCACTGTCATGCTTCTAATCTCTTCGCTCAGCTGCTGGGTTTTAATAATTGGTGAGAATAAAGCTTTGGCAGTTGTTTGCAATGAATTAAAAGACTCTTCTAATCCTTGCACAGCAGTGTCATTAAATATATTTCTACCCTCTCTGTCTCCAATAAAAAACTCTTCTAGCTTGTCTTTCAAGTAAACGTATTTTTCTAAATTATCTTGAACAAATTGTCTCAGCTTGCGTGACTGACTTTCTTTTCTTTGTCTACATGTCATCCTAGATTTCTTCAAAACTTCGAAACTGAATTTGGAATGAAAGGAGGCTATATACTTGGTCGGGATAAATCCTTCTTCGTATGGATTTAATCCATTCTTAAGCTTTGATAGCTGCAAGGCTCTGGTGATAGTTGTTGGTAGTTATGAAACAATAAAAACGTGCATACCTTACTAAATCCAAGGGATCCTCACAAAAATCCTGATCGGCAGAGCTCTGCTGTTTTTTGATGCTTCCGCCTTGGGTATCTTTGTGCAATTGTCTTCTCTCAAGAATTTCCTCTACCATACTTGCTTGTCTCCACGTTTCTGGTACGCTTTCAAGAATCTCCTTTTCATCAACGGTATTTTCGTCGTCCTCGTCATCGTCAAACACCCAGTCATCAAAATTTTCTTCCAATTCCTCTTCTCCTTTCTTGGTGCTCGAGAGAGTTTCGGTACCTTGATCATCGTCCTTATTTCGTGTTTCCGACACGCGTAAGGCACTCTTAGATTTTTGATGAGCATCATCATCGAGTCTGGACATTTTTTAAGGGTTAGAATATTGAGTACATCAAATAAATACCTGTTTAAAATTTATCAGATAAATTAATCCTGTTGGTATTGAAACTCACATCATTATTATTCATGAGCATGTTTGTTTGATTTGAGAACCGTGTCATTAAATGATTGAACATCCTTCTTTTGTTTTCCATATTGATTGTCGAAATATTGGTCTTCTGGTGGTATTCTGAGAGATTGAGGTTTATGATTGATTGGATGATCGGACGCGTAACCGAGAGAGACAATCACTGGCACTGAGAAATTCGATGGTAGTCCAACAATTTCACGCACTCGTCTTTCATCAAACCCTTCCATTGGACATGTATCAAGTCCGTGGCTACTTGCTGCAAGCATGAACGTTTGTACGGGAAGCATGGTATGTTTCCAAACGTGAGCTTTCATATTGATTGGTGGAACGATCATGGGTCTAAACAAGCTGATTACTGAGCCACCAACAAATTTAGCCAACTGAAACAAGCATAAAGGTCCAGTTCCTAAGTAAGCTGTTGTCTTTTGATACATTTGGCGTGCTTCGTTTTCAGTCATTACTCCATTTTGAACTTCCATTGAAATGACTTTACTCTGATTTGCAAGAGCATTCAAATTGGCAGCAAACACTACGGTAATAGGTGCCTCCAATATTTTCTGTTGTGAAAGAGAGGCCGTGAAAAGAGCTTTGCGTTTTTCGGGATCTGAAACAACCACAGCAACCCATGGTTGAAGATTGTATCCTGATGGAGAACGTTGTGTGAGTCCGAGAATATGACTTAACACTTCTGGTGGAACAGCTTATCAGGTATGAATGATTTAATGGCTTTTCTTTTGAGAACAATTTTCTCAAAGATGGCAGCTTCTTCTGGGAACATGTCTTTTCTTGCATCATTGAATTGTTGTTTTGAGAATGATTGTTGTTGTTCTTCTAACGATTTAAAATTGTAATGGAAAAAACATTTGTTGGAATTATTCGTTCCGAATAATTGAATCGGTGTGTCGTTGTTTCTGAAGAGTAATTTGTGTGTCGGGTTGATTTTGAAAATTGAAGGGCTTTCATTTTTTTTGATTGACAAAATCAATTTAACAATGCATTTTAATTCACAAGCATTTCACACTCTTAAACATTAATAGCTGTCTCATTGGAAGGAGGGTTGTAGCCTTCATTACGATCTTTTTCCTCGTTAAGTAACGATGAAGTTAAATCATCAACAGATGGAGGAGCGCTGTCACCATAAGTCGACAACTGTTCCACTCCAAAATGACTCTTAGAGTTGGGTAAGAAATGACTTTCACCTGCAACATCCTCCAATGCAACGCCTAAAGTGTCTCTTGGCAAGAAAATACCACAAATTCCAGCTACAAAGAATGCAATTCCAAAAACTAAGAATGGGAAGAAATAATTCGATTTCAGTAACACTTCTCCAACAATTGGTGTAATTGTACCAGCCAATCTTGTGAACGCAGAGCATGTACCCATACCAGTGGCACGGAAGGCAGTTGGATAAAATTCAGGAGTGTACGTGTAAACAACTATTCACATGTGGACGCCAATTTGTGAGCAAAAATGTGGTCAAAACAGAATGAAACACTTACCAGCCCAAGGGAAGGAAGAGAAAAAGTTAGAAAGCATTGAGAGAACCAAAACATAGACTGTTGACAACAATGGAAGTTGTGATAAACTATTTCTAAGAAATTACTTACTTGGATCTTCACTCACTCCAACAACAGCAGTTAAAATACCTGTCACAATAAATGTACTGCTCATAAGAGCTCTACGACTAATTCTATCAATTACGAATAAGGTGATAATGTTAGAAATAAAACCAACTCCAGTCACCCAAAAAGTATTCAAATACACGTTATTGTCCTGGAGTTTCACAAAAACAATTGGCAACAAGAAATTAAATCCCCAACCACCAAAGCTCATCATAAACCAAATCAGCCATAGTAAAAGCGTTCCCAAAATATAGTCTTTGTGGAAAAGACATTTCAATTGTTCCCAAGGATTTAGTTGCTTCTCAATTTTGGGTACTCTCAATCTCCATTTACTTCTTTTATAGACCCATCCTAAAGCAGGGTTATCCTTTGAAACGCAATTAATTTCGGCCATGCTGTTAATAACTCGGTGAACTTCTCCTCCACGTTGTCTCAAAAGATTATATCTTGGGCTTTCTGGTACAAAAAGTCTGGAAATGAAAATAATAAATCCAGGAATGGAAGACAATGCAACAACCCATCTCCATCCAGTATCTGGCAATAATTAAAATTATAAAATAATTATTTAAATAATTTCTAACAAAACATACCCAAACTAAATCCACCAGCTTGAAGACAAATCCAAGCAATTAAACACTCAAAGGCAGCTCCAACACTCCAATAAATGTTCAAAACTCCCAAAATTGCACCTCTTTTCGAAATTATATTTTTGTAGAAACATCATCTATATCAGCAGCGTCACAACCACCTACCTATTCTTTGGAGGAATAAATTCCATGAATAACGAAAAATCAACAGGAACCATCGCACCCAAGCCCAGTCCGACGAAGAATCTCAAAAATAAGAATGCTACATATCCATTGGAAAACGACGAAGCAAGTCCAAAGGTTGCTGTTATAAAAACACTTCCACAGAATACAAGCTATTACGAGACAAAAAGTGATCATGCACAATTATAATCTCACTTACTTTTCTACCAATTTTGTCAGAGATAATTCCTGAACGTGTTGTTATTACGTTTTGCAATTGTATTTCGAAAATGTAAATTGTGGTGATATTCAGAAAATTTCATCCTCTTTCATCAAGAATCACTTTTTGAAATACAAACCTCCAAGCCATGCTCCAAACATCATACCGAGGAAAACAGCGCTTCCCAGAGATCCAGCTTGTACTGGTGACAACGACCATTCGTCAGTCAGTTGAGGAACAATAAAACTAATCATGGTCAGCTCAATTCCGTCAAACAACCAACCAGCTCCACAAACATTCATCAATAATATCTGATACCATCCAAATCCGATTTGAGCTACAACTTCTTCAAAAGTCAAGACTTTAAACTCCTTTCCACCATTATTGTTGTTGGATGATGATCCGATAAATGGGGACTGATCGGCAGAATAATTATTGGTGTTGTTATTGTTGATCGGAATCGTATGATTATCATCGCTAACTTCAAAATTTGATGG